TGGTGTACACAGATCCAAAAAAGTAAAATAAATAAATAAATAAAATAAAACACGAATATACGATACCATTACAAGAAAATACATTCAACGCACCGCTAAGAATCTAAAATTGTGTTTTTAAGGTACATTTCGTACCACACTGGATTGTAAACTAGATGCATTTTCATTTTAATAAAATTATAATTGGTAATTAAAAAAAAAAAAACCAAACAGAATAAATCGATTATTCTTTTACTCTGAGTTTGAAGAGTATATGTAATGAAGACACATTATTTAAATGTTTCATAAACCACTCGTATAGAGATTACCACAGAGTGGTTATTGGTGTTCATATGTAATATTTTGAAGTTTCACAGTGTGTTAATACGAATAATAATATTTATCAAAATTATTTCTAAATTTTCTTTTGAATCATGAAATGTTTATTATCATTTTTTCCTCGTATTATTTTGTAGAAATGGTTTAAATTATTTAATCAATTAAATTAATTTTATGTTTTTATAACTTTTATTCTTATAAATTTATTTTATGAAATTTGTTTTGTATTTAATTGTACCATACCAAATTTAACTAATCTTACTTTTATTCGAATTATATTAATTGTACTCTGAACTAAGTCACCAAGGTAAGTATTGGATTTTATAATTTTTTTTAAGATTTACAATAATCATTATTAGTTATGATTAATTGTGTATTTATTATGTATTTTAGATAAAACCCGATTATTTATATTTATTGCAATTATGATAATAATGTTATCACATAATATTTTGATAAGCTTAAATCATAGACCAATAAACTGAAATATAGTCAAAGCTTCCCACACTGCCAAGCCATTGATTCATCCAAACGACATAACTGAGACAAAAATAACATGTTTTGGGCTATATCATGGAGGAATTTTTTCATTAAGTTTTACATTAATCAAAGTTACACAGTTGGTTAAAGAAACAGTTAGGAATAGTATTTAATACATTTTCAAGTATTGTTAAATGAAATAATACAACATACAATATAAAGATAATGATGGTGCACCCGCTACGTGAAGTTAGCGAAGAAAGGTAAGCCCCCTTGTGACTTTTAACTGTATATAGCACTAATTTCGAAAACGGTAGGATTGAATAGCACTAATTGAGCACTAAATAATGGTGCCATAGCGGAAATTAGTGCTCGAATTTTTCCGCTAACTTCACGCACCTTCGTCAGTCGCGCGATTAGAGACGCAACAGCCCCTTGGTGGTATTGGGAATAGATTTCATTTAAATATAGGAAAAGCAGTTAAAATTAGAGTCGCGCTGCGTCAACCGCATAGGTCGCGCATTTATAGACGCGTTCTAAGGAATCGCACCTTAAACCTCTTATTTCTCACTCAGCTGCAGTCCATTGTAATTATTTCAGTCCCATGCAAAAAAAAACGTACTAAATAAACATAACTATAAGACGTACCAGTGGATTAGATCAATTCGTTCGTACTGAATCTCTTGTAAGCGAAAAGGAACCGGCCGACGACCAGACGGAATAGCAGGAATATACCGTCGGCCAACTGCGCGGTGCACGGGACGCAGGACAACTCGTTCCGGCGACATGTACATCGGGATGCCGCACACGGAACGGTTGACAGCTTTCGCGGTCGGCGGGACGAGTACGCAACGTTCACGCACAACCCGAAGTCTGCCAACCAGACGTGTCCCTGCCGGTCCAGCAGCTCGTTCTCCGTCTTGACATTGTGTGCACATACTCTAGCGCCGAGCACAGCTGCGCGAACCACTCGTACGCCACCGGTTCGGGCACGCGATCCACCTCTGCGAAGTGATCTAACACAGTGCCATCCGGGTAGTAGTCAATGTTCGTGTACACTCTGTATAACAATTTTTTGCAACAATAAATGCTCAGACAGTTGGTTTGTTTGATAAACGATAGAAACAATTGCAGTTAGCTGACCATAAAAAAAATATTGCTTCCCGCATCGGAAATCGAGCGCTTAATTTCTGATAGAGGACTGAACACGATTGTTAGACATTTTACCAATCATTTTACCTTTTCGATTTTTCAATGATTTCGTGGTACACGTTGATGTAAGGATGGTCGAATTTATGCGCGAACTTATTTTCATTGTCGATGGGTTCTTGTAAAACATCGTCCGGTACGCTATTCGAACGCCTTTTGATCACTTTAATGGCCATTCGGCTATGATGCCGTGAAGATCTAGCCGTCAAAATCACTCTGAATCCTCCATAGTCAATGCGTTCGGTTATAGTGTAACCACAATTTACCAGGGCTTTTCGTTGAATAGCATTGCTCTTCAAATAATCTCCAGACATTTTCAACAGTCAAATTATGTGGTAATTGAAAAAGATATAAAAGTATTTATAATGATTTATAGGTTATTCCAAATTATACGCTAGACAGTCAAAATTAAATCATTGACGTCTTGAGAAACAACGTCAAATCATTTTATATTGTACCCTTGGTTACCGACCGTATGGAAGAAATAATTCATAGAAGTTATAAAATAAAACAATTTATTTTATATTTAACTGACTATTTATTTTCTTAACAAAGCATTACAATTCTGGTTAATTTTGAATGTAGTATATAATATAAATATCATATTAATAGCATATTTTATCATAGTTATGGAATTGTTGTATATATGTTAAGACATAATGTACTAATATTATAAAAAGGGTATGGTGGTGTATTAATTATAATTGTATTTATATTCTCGTCCTGTTTAGGTTAATCATGTGCATATTATGGTAAAAGTACACACAACGTACAGGACTTTTATGCCCTTGTACGTATATTTTAAGGTACGTTTTCCCCTATGCGATCGCGAACACGCGACTACTGATATAGTATAAATTAAACATATAGGTAGATGGTTTGCCTCTCGCGGTCGCTATAGGTGATCTAAATTTGTTTTCACAGCGATTTATTTTTGTTTAGAAAAAAAAAAATATTATATGACACTCATTTTATGATTGATTGTTGGTTGACAGTAGTAGTGTCTTTCTACAATGAGTGCTTTAATGACCAAATTTAGTAAGTAAGTGCACTACCTACCTAAACTCAAAAAAAAAATTGAAAACCTAAACCATAATAATACAACTAAATACCTGTAGTGTTATTAAGATTATTTTTCAAAATATAAAAATATAAATTCAGAATATTATGAAAATAATATAATATTTAGATTGGGTTATTCCGAAAGCTAAACGAGCAGGCGGTTTTCCGCGACGGAACGGTATCAGTGTGTCAATATATATATATATATATTAATCCTTTAGAAAAACAAAACCAATATTAAAATCGTTAATGATTGGTAATGATTTTCAAAATTTATATAGAATTGAAAAAAGTTAAAATCGATATTTTATAACAAAATCAAAATCATTTTAATAATTAAAATGATATTATATCAAATTAATTTAAAATTCAACAGCCAACCGGTCTATTTATGTATATTGTCAATTGGTAGACATTACTATATTTGGTAATAATATTAATTATACATAATAATAAATAACTAGTACCTGTTTTGTTTTCTTAGAATATTTAAGATAAGGTATCAGCGTTCGATGAGCGATTGTTGTTTTTATACACACGATTTATTTCATATAATATACTATATATAGACATTTTGTAGTACATTACTTTGATTTTATAATAGACTATATTATAAAATCAATGGTACATTATTATGGATAAGATATGAATTTATAACACTCCATTGGCTGTCATCCGTGAGTTATACTTTTAACCTTTTAAATAGTAATTATACAATCAAATAACCTAAAATAGTTTTATTTTGTACTTTTGAAGTTTTGCTAGGCGTCGTCATATTTATCCCACTTATAGTTTAAAATATTGTTCTCATATTTAGTTAAATTATTTCTGAGTCTATAAATAAAAAACTTTATTTTACATTTTAATCATTTCACATAGATGTATCCCTAGTTTACTTCATTTAAGCTTCACTTTCATATTATGTTTTTTTCATTTTTGAGACACTTGAATAATAATTTTAGTTTGTACGAAATATTTTATAACATAAGTGATAAAAATATAGATTTAAATATATATTACCTACATCAGTAGCTTGTCGCTACAGCCTACAACACTATTATGCTAATGATATACTAAAATTTGAGAAATTATTATAAGTCATGGATAACACTCTATTGTGAACCCGAAATCGAAAAAAAATAAACAATTTCTGAAACCGAAATTGAAAAAAATGAACATCGATATTCGAATTTAAAAACGAAATTGCAAAAAATAAATATCAATATTTGAAACCAATATCGAAATTAAAAAAAACTAATATCAATAATCAAAATTGAAATTAAAATCGAAATTTTTTATTTCGATTTCAAGCCCTGGAATACATCCTAATAATATCTCTTACCTCGAATTAAAAAAAAAATGTATTTTTTTTAAACATTAAGCGTTTTACTATATAGATTAATAGCACTAAGATTCGTGAAAGATATTGAATCCGGAGTATGCCTAATATTCTTCAACAATACCATTGATTATGAATAACGAAATAAAACGAATTTGATCAAAATGTAATTTGTAGTATATTTAGGAAAACAATGAACGTTTATTGTAATAGTTTTTTAGTATAAAAAAAAAAAATTCAAAATTAATATATAAATAAATGAAAGTAAAAATGCAACGAAAATGCAGCTATTCTAACAGACAAGTGGTCAACCAATGGAACCTGTGACGTAATTTTAAAACGACTATTTTAACCAAACATAATAATCGAAAAATTATTTTAAATGAATTCATAATTTTTTCCTTTCTCTAATATTCCATAAAAATATATTTTTTTAAATTCTTCATAGATTGTCGTTGAAATATAATGGTTAGCTGTGTTTGTTCAGGTGAATATGCAGTATATTTGTGCAACTACCTTACATACATAAAATTTGTATTGCACTCCGCATAAGTTAAGTCTTATAATTAAATGCTTTAAATTATATGTGAATTGATAGCGGTAAACGTTCAATACAACTAGTTTGGTTATTCTTTTATAATTTAATTAAAAAATATTAACATAATGTTTTCAAATGTAAAATTAATTTTTCTTCTTATGACAATTTGTATTCTTGATAATACGTATGCAAGTAAGTTATATATAAATGTGAAAAACTTTGATATTGATGATTTTCATTTTTTATTGTAATTAAAAGCAAAATACAAAATTGCGTACCATTTTGTAAAAAATAAATATTAATATGAACGATCGCGGGACAACATATAACATTATATTTAAATTTAGTGTTTGAAAATTTCATGAAATTTAAAATTGTGAAATATTTCAGTAATATAACATATATATATTTTTTTTTTTTACATACATTTTATTTTTATGTATAATTGTCAAAACTTCACAATTTTATAATATTCAGGAAATCAATGATTATACCTAGAACTAAAATGTTTCGATTTATATAATTAATAATTTATAAATAACCAACATTAATATTTGTATTAGAAAAAATTTCAATGTTTTACGTTTTTTATGAAATATTTCATACTTCAAACACTATTTAGATTACTTCACTTTTTCACACTACTTGAAAAATTCAATCTATTTATTCATGTGCCCAATTTGATTCAAATAATGGTTACATTAAATTTATTCCAATGATTAAAAGTACAAATGCATAGAAAAAAATCATTATTATAAACAATAAAAAATAATATATACCTTATGCACTCAGTATCAAAGAACTCGATTCATAAAACGTATGTAGATACCTATATTAAACAAATGTATTTGGATGTAGTATGACTCAAGTACAGTTTAAAAGTATAATATTATTTTATGTGGTATCAATTTCATTTTCTGCCATTAAAGGAATCTAAAATTTAAGTCTAAAAAATGTTTAAGCAATAACGGAGAACTTAAAAATTATAAACTCATGTCATTTTAATTTTTAATTTTATTATTTCATTTTATTATAATTATTAATAATTAATTGTAAATTACATTTAATAAAATTAAATATTTAATACAAAAATACATAGAATAAAAATAAATTATTAAATTATGTATTAATACATGTGTAAGTATTATCTAATTCTATATTATTTATGTCATGCAGGTCAAACATCATGTGAAGGTATAATAAATATTAATTTTTTTTTTCTTATATATATATATATTTTTAGTGTATTAATGTTTTAAACATAATATTTATACTTCTTTATTATACAATAATTGGATAATATATATGTATACAGTGTCGGATTACCCATTAGGTGGAGTAGGCACCCGTCTTAGGGCCTCACTCATTTAAGGGGCCCTATGAAAACGGAAAACTACATATTTTTTTATTTAATAATATCTGTATTTTATTTACGAATTTACGAAACAAAAGTCACTATGAAATATAATATACTATATTTCATATATTAAATTAAGTTGTAAGTGTTATATGCAGTAATAATAATAAAATTATTTTGAAAAAAATCGAAATAATATAATAATTAATGAATTTTTCTTGCTAATAAAAAAATGTTATAAACATAATTTTATTTGTTAATAATAGTTCGTTATTATTAAAACTGTTTATTTTAATTATTGAATAGTAATGTTAAAGAATAATTAATAGTAATGTAAAAAATAATTTTGTAGGACCCAAAATGTTATTGCCTAGTGGCCCATAAATGTTTAATCCGGCACTGTATGTATAGATAAAAATGTAATAGTTATTAATAATCATGCATTAGTCATCACCAATAAATACATTCTTATAAGTAAAGTATATTAATGTTTGATATTTAACAGAATATTTATTTTGTCATACAGGCTTATTTGTATAGATTTATATTTTTCCAACTGCACAAATAAAATATATGTAAAAGTGATAAATGGTGGGCTTTACCATACACTGAATACTAACTCTATCAAACTTCTATAAAAATAACCTTTATACGAAAATTTGTCAAACTACGCGCAACTAGCCGATGATTTCACGTACTAAAATAATATATAGATTATTTTTAAATGACTTCGACAAAGTAAATTTTATTTATTTCTCAATTGGACAGTTTCGTCAAGTTAACTGCACATTTTATATTTCCTAATGCACAATTAATGTCTTACTGCACATTACAATAAAGCCTGTTGTCACCAATTGTAAATTTGAACGATATTGATAATTTAACCATAAGGATTCGTTTACTAATGTTAGTTGAAATCACATCTTAGTTACAATCGTATTCAATTAAAGATAGCCGGTATTCCCTAATATGTGGAACGGGGAATAGTAAGTTCTTACACGAGAGTAGCAGGTAAACAAATACATACGTTAGTTCCTACACATGTAATGCGTTAATTCTTATATGAATATAAAAATAAGATGTGTAAGTCAGGGACGGCTGGGTTAATATTTCAGGGCGGGAATTTTTTTTGCCAGGCCAAAAATTAACAGGGGACCAACGATTTGGTCATAAGTAAAGCTCGGATCTTAATGCGCTTAAAAAGTACTAAATATGCATGCACTTATGCGCTTAAAAATGTACAAATATGCTCTAATATTTTATAAAATTATAAATATAGAAAAGCAAAGTAATAAAATTAATTCTGATTTTTAATTTTTAATCATAATTTAAAATAATAATAATAAAATAGCATTAAAAATGTTTCTTGAATAAAAAAATTGCACTTGTAGAATGTTTAATAATAATTGAGTTATTTTCCTAGAAAAGTATTTATAGAAAATCATCGTATTTCGATGGCAGCTGTTTCTATTTGATATTTGTATACTTTATTTTAGATAAAGCTAGTAGCTAGCTATAATTTATAAATATATATATGAATATATATTATATTAAGCAATAGAGGAAAAACATTGTTTTTAATGTTAAATGGAAATTTGAAAAATACGATACAAGAATATCAAGAAAATTTTCTTAATATGAATGTATTTATTATTTTATTTTTCGAATTTTCATACTGAATTTTCAAAAATCATAAAATATGTTCTAAAAATGTAAAATCAAGATTTATGCTCTAAAATCTAAAAATCACTAAATATGCAAAAATATGCACTTAAAAATTTTGATATTTTTTGTCGTAGTTTCTTGAAATGAATTTCTAACTCACTTAGCAATATAAATCCAATGGCACAAAAAAACATGCAAATGCAACAACTTCCGAGCCCTATTCATAAGTTTGCAAAAATATTAATAATGATAAAAAACCTTTATTATTTAAAAAATATTTTCAACATTTTATGTAGATATATGAATAAAATTACACATAATATATAAGAAACTTTTTTTTATAGATGCAGTGTACACATTTTAATATAATACCTATATATTAAAATTAACTCTAAAAGTAATTCCTTTTTTACATAATTTTACATTTTTTTTTTCATAACTTCACTAGGTTCCCCAATTCTGTCGATTAAAATATCGTAATACTATATTTTTAATCTCTAAAATATTATGAGGCCATTTAACATATTTTTGTAACGGGTCAGCGGGATTTGTCCCGGTGTCCCGCCAGCCCAGTCCGCCTCTGGTTTAAGTGCATGGTAAAAAAAGAGGTACGTGTGTTAGTTCCTACAAAGCAGAAAAAAATTGTATACTTTGTAAATTTTACATAATAATAAAAATTACTTATAGTACATCTGACAGATTTGAGGTTAGCACAGGACTCAAACAGGGTGATGCCTTGTCGCCAGTTCTCTTTAACCTAGCGCTTGAGAAAGTGATCAGATCAGTGCCAATGCGACAAGGCATGGAGTTGTTATCGAATAGTACACTCCTTGCATATGCAGATGATATAGTTATAATAGGCAGTACGCGACAAGATGTAGCGATAAGAACTAATGATTTGTTAAAAGCAGCGAAGCCAATGGGTCTAGAAGTATAACAGGATAAAACCAAATATCTAGTCATGACTAGGGGAACAAAGGATATCTCGAACCTAGTAGTAGAAAACTATACCTTCCAACAAGTGGAAAACTTCAAATATCTTGGGGCAAACATAAATCAAAATAATAACATGCATAATGAAATTAAAATTAGGATATCAGCCGCTAATAAGGGTTACTACGCTTTGGAAAAATTGTTTAAGTCAAAGCTCCTCTCTAGACGATCAAAGGAACGCCTGTACTTAAGTTTCCTACGGCCAGTTCTAACATTTGCATGTGAAACATGGTTGACTACTAAAGAAGATGAGGAAAAAATGGCTTGCTGTGAAAGAAGAGTTCTTAGAAGGATTTATGGACCTATACTAGAAAATGGAGTATACAGAAGAAGAACTAATGTAGAAGTACAACAAATTTATCAAAAACCCGGTATCAACGCGTACCTTAAGAGCAAACGAATTGAGTGGGCAGGCCATGTATGGAGGTCAAATGGTATCCTAAAGAAAGTTCTGGAAGGAAAAATCAATGGAAAAAGACCTAGGGGTCGCCCTAGGCAGCGCTGGATAGACAGGGTTAATGAAGATATAAACAAGTGCGCCCAGGAATTAACTTTAGAAGATAGTATTGACAGAGATAGGTGGAAAAAAGTAGTAAAGGCAGCGAAAGTCCTTCAAGGACAAAAAAAGCTAAAGAAGAAGAAAAAGAAGAAGAATAAAAATTACTTATGTCAGAAGGTATTTTTAGTATGCTTAAGTGTTTATATTTTTTATTAAACTATATTTCATACATTAAAAGTAATAATCACCATCATTAAAAAAGTAATTTCTTAAAAAAAAAATCACATAATATATCTCATATATAAATAAATAAGATAGTACAAAATAATAAAAATGGCATTATAGAATAATTTAGGTTTATTTCTAAAACTTAAAAATTTTACACTATCGTATTGATTCATTTGGTTTTTTGTGTAATGTAAAATGTTCTCATTTATAATATCTTCTTTTTCAGCATATTTTTTTTCAGATATTTGTTTCTGTGTGGCAATTTGTGGTTCTAATTTAGATATATGTATTTATTTGAAGAACTTGATAATTTAAATAATTTTAAAAACATACAGAATTCGGTGATAAAAATGTAAATCAAAATCTGAGTGAAAACTCTCAAATGCGTTTATCGTACGTATTCTATCAGAATATCGCCCAAACTTTTAGAGGAAAAATTATGTAATTTCATACATAGTTATTAGGATTAATAGTATTAATAGTTTTTTTTCGAAAGAATTCACCATATAATACGTATGGCGTAGGACGGAAACTGACATATTTTCTGCCGTGTAGGAACTTAATAATTTCATATTTCGACATGTAGTGATAACTGTGCAGGACACTGCGACAGGTTATCACAAGTATTATTTAAAGACATCGCACGTTCTTCGTTAGTTTGAGATGATTGTGAGAGAGATAGGTACAAAAATAATAATTAAATACTTGTATTTTTAACACTTATAAAAATTGGAACTTTTATTACTTAATACGAGAAAAATATCAAGCAGTTAAAACAGCTTAATGCTATAGAATAAAAATCAGTTTAGTTTGGGTAAAGAATTATGTAATCAAGCCGATGTGAATGTAACAATTTCCAAGATGATTAATAATTTATTAAAAGGGAAAATTTACCAGCCTAACACTATCTAACTGCCTATTTTTTACCTTACATTAGGTGTCGCTCTCGTATTTATACGAGGACTCAAATGATGTTGATATATGATGACTGTATTACGATGTGCTCAATTACGTAATTTACAATATTCGACAAAATTAACTAGATAAAGAAAAATAATAAATTTGCAAATTACAGTATTCTTCAAAAGATATGAAATTATGTTTTTTAACCTTCTTACGCCTACGTACTTTATATATTAATTTACTAACTATTTTTATATAATGCAATTACGTCTAATTTATAAATGGTAATCGAGTTTACTACAGACAGTATAGAAAATAACATATCTATTTTTTCTTTTATAATTTATTTATTTATCTTAATATTTTCTTCGTCATTTAAAAAATTGAACGATAGTAAAATAAATTTATAACTTTCAATTATAGATCTATGATATAAAAATGGCTCATTAATATATCTAAAAAATGATCTACAATTGGCTTGAATAAAGATATTCTGTAATAAACATATAATCCTGAGGCAAATTAACCTGTAAATTGTATCTGTTTATTTGTTTGTAAACTATATTAGGAATATATATATTTACAATATATGTTTAAGTCATCAAATTTGCATTTTGCATTAGCAAATATAATTTTAAATTCTCTTTTGTTATTTAATCTTAGTTTTTAATCACATTTTTCACGTCGTCAGTGATTTGAATGGCTTCAACCAAATCCATATTCATTGTCTAAGAAACTACTTAATGATAAACTAATACTCAACACGTTTCTCAGTGTATAAGATGCTAGTATAAAGTCTGGTTATTATATAACACACAGCAATATGTTTGCTCCTGATGAAGCATTCTTATCAGGATAAGTACAAATTATTGATAACCTACCTATCAATTATAGTATCAAATAACTCAAGAAAAATAATTATTGAATCATGTCAGTCTACCCATATCGTTAAACATAATAATTTTAAACGGTTATAGGTTGATTGAGGAACATACATATGATATTACTTCATATAAACATTATATTTTTAGAATACTTAAAAAAATATAGAATATATTTTGCTTCTGCAAAATCGTTGTGGGGCACAGAAGACGGCAAGCGGTAGCCACAATACAGAAACAATCTTCTTTACAACCTTTTTAACCTTACTTAATTAAAGTTTAAAAAATTATTGGGATAGGGGTACAACACCTAAACCCCTTCCCCATGGCTACGTCACCGATTATTTGTATATCCAACTCTAGACATAGTATTGAATAATATAAAAAATAACCCATTTAGGTAAATGACATCCACCATTGAACGACGCTAATAACACGAAATTAATAGAAAATAAATATAATACTTATTTATGATTCTCGAACATACATATAATATAAAGTTACTCATAAATTATATATTTACAGAAAAAATAAATCAATCATTTTATCTAAGACCTTACTTAGGCAACTGTAAGTAAATCATTTTATGCACATTTATAAATGTATATTTTATTTAATTATTAAGGAAAAAAATATATAGTCTATTTTTACTTGCGATGAAAAATATTATTTAGTTAATTTTATAAATACCAATAAGTCATTTATAAATTCTAAAAAATATTTTGTCTCAACGCAACAAAAAAAAAAGAGCTAAACTAGGTCAAATGAGAAAATACAGAAATGGGTAAATTATATTGCCATATTGATCTTTCAAACTTGATACATACCATTATTACAGTATTACCATTGAAACATACCATTGTTAAAGAAAAAGATTCTAAATAAAAGATGTCAGGTAGAAAATTTTATATTTCTTATGATAGTTGATATAATTGTAAAATAAAATTTCTCATTAAATTAGGTTGAATTTTAAATGTTCTAACTTGAACAAAAATGTATCATCTAGTTAGGGAAGTAAATGATATTTAATTTAATAAGTTGCTTTTTAAATTTATATAACGTGTTAAATTCAAGTTAATTTTATATAGAAGGAAAAATTAAGTTAATTTTTATACAAACCAATTTTTAAAATAATTTTGTTTGTCTGAGAAATATTATTATAGTATGTAGATACCGATATTTTCTTATATTGTTACAAAAAAAAAAAATCAGTGAGAATAAATAAATAGATTTACTATGGATATATATATATATATATACCATATATTAAAGTATGACATTAATAGAATACCACTTGTATTTATAAAATGACTTATTAATCGTAGAAATGCTATTTTTATTAACAATGAAAAAGTATATTGAGTCGTATTAATACGAATAACAAACTCGAATGTATCTTTAATATAGTCTTTTATTGGTATCCATGAAATCGTAATGTTCATATAGAATTTGTGTCCGATATGCCAACCAGTAGACAATTACCATCGATGGTAATATAATACTGATGATTATTATTTAGCCATACAATATGTACTGTCATATAATTTTGATAATGTACATATATGTATGCTTAATATGTTACAATGTGTAAAAAAAATTTTAACTTGGATAATTTTTTTATCCACTAATGTTTAACTTAACGAAGTTAAAAAATATATTGGTTAACTTTTAACTTAACTTACTTTTTTTTAAATTAACAAAACTAACAAGTTAAAAAAAAACCTTTAACTTTCTTTAATTTACCCAGCCTTGTTTATAGTAAATTCAATATATTTCTCGTTTTAAAATGTGGTATAATTATTTTTTTAAGCAAAAAATATTGAGGATCATTGTAAATCATTACGTAAGTAAAATCAAGAAGTTAATATTTAAATTTAAATATTCGAAATCATAAATTTGTTATTGAATTTCATTGTAAAATGTAAAAATATAATAATAATAATATCTTATTGAATATAAAATAATCAAGTTTTAGTAAGAACGTGTTCATTAACAATGTTGATGAATAGTGAAAATAAATTATTGTATTTATATATTATACAATATATTTCTCAAAAAATGTGTATACAATATTTTTTGATTTCATAGAAATTAATGACATAGAAGAATTAAAAGAAACAGAGATTGGTAAGTTAAGAATAAACTTAATCATTAATTGATTGATTACGACGCATATGTCTTCTTCGTGGGGTAAATATAATCAAATATTTTATTGATTAACCCAAAATATTGGACATCATACTTTTTTTATTCATACTAGGTAATGTACCAATAATATATGAATTATCTAGTACTTAAAATAATAAGTCGATCAATCCGCAGTACGAGATTAAACTAGAACTACTTAAACGCACAGCAACATAACATACAATACTCTCCACGTGTGTTATACAGAAAATATAATTTTTGTTAAATCTGATTTTTCAAGCCACATCTGAAATAAATCGTTCCATCAACATATTATGTTTTGGGGGATAGATAACTGGCTGAAATAATATGTTGATCGATTTATTCGCGGTCGTCGAGCGTGGATTACAATTGAAGGGCTTGGAACAACAACCAGGTAAATCCACTTTTTGAAATTTTTCAGGGCTGATAAAAAACCGTTTTATTCCATGATAATCAATACTTAAGCTATTACAATTCAATTTTTCTATAATTAACATGATGAAAAATAATACTATGGACTTAGAATTTAGTCAACTTTTTCTTTTTTTTAGTCAAAAGTTGTCCAAAGTTAAGAAACCTATGGATTTATCTGGTTATTGCGCCAAACATATTGTTTTTTAAAGGTTATACTAATAGTAATTTTAAAAAAATTTACTCAAAAAATTGAAATTTTAATTTTATTACTTTGAAATATAATAAAACAGTGCCTTGAGTTTTAAATTAAATTATAACAAAACAAGTGGCACACAGACTGATTAAATTCACAACAACAAAACAAAATTTTTATTTGGTAAAATTAGTAAAATTCATTATCACAGGATTCCTTTTCCTTTTTATTTCTTAAAATACAAAATTTATGTATAACAGAAAATCATAAAAATTTTCAAACAAAATTAATCATATAAATTTAACATATTAATATTTTAACAACAAAACAAAATCTTATATTTTTCAAAAGTATTAATAATAGTATCACAAAATTCCCTTTCCTTGTTATTTCTTAAAATACAAAATTTATGTATAACAAAAAATCATAAAAATTTTCAAACAAAATTAGTCATATAAATTTAACATAATAATATTTTAACAACAAAAAAAAATCTTATGTTTGTTAAAAGTAAAAATAATAGTATCACAGGATTCCTTTTCCTATTTATTTATTTTTTTTGCTTGAGTTACATAAAAATATTAATAAAAAATAATATCATCAATATTCATAATCAGATAGATCAGGATTATTATTTGTATTGTCTTCAAACTGTCTGTAGAACCACATATGTTCAGGTGGTACATATTTCAGAGCTAGTTCCTGAACGTCTTTTAACTTCGCTGCTTTAATTTCAAGTGTTCTATGATACTATGATACGGCATTGGAATATTTTCAAATGGGCTTTTATTGTCAATTTTATGAAGTATGTAATGTTCTTTACCAGTATAATTTGCAGTAATACTGCAAAATAATCCATCAATTGAATAATCTATCTGGCGATAAGACATAATAGAAAATTTATCTTTTTTTGAGTTTGTAATGTACTTTTTAAAAAATGGTTTAAAATACTCGGAGAAATTTAAAATCATATTTTGAGTCACGTTGATGACGTAAAATTTGTTTGGGTTGGTTTCTTTTACTATTGTATGATATGTTTGTGGCAAAAATACTCGTTCTATTTTTCGTTTTTTTTGTTCAATTAACCCAAAACAACGATCGTACGGAAGGAAACTATGTCCTGGCTCAGGTCTGGCAAGTATCAGATTTTGGGTTACCAAATGACAAATTAAATTTCTTATTAAAATAATCTGAAAAAAACTCGTATTTCACAATAGGCTTAACTTTTTCTCCGTTTTTTAATTTTTCAAAAATGTCTTGTTCGTGTTTTTCCAAATATTATTTGTACATTTTACTGATACTTAGTTCAGGAGACAAATATCGCTTTTCATTATTATCTTGCCTACTATAGTGTGAAATAAGTCTTGGAAAGCTCTGAATGTGTTTTAATTTGAAATAAAATTTGATCAGAAATTTTTGAAGGCCAGTTTGCGTGTTTTCCGCGTAGATCTTTAGAACTAGGATTATTTTGTTTTATATTTGAAAAAAGTCTTTCTACAACTGCTTTACGCACACTAAATATCGAACAAAATGCATTTTTACAAACTACTATTTCGTTTGTACCGTCAATACGCACTTTATAGACGCATGCGAAAGACCGATTAGGTTTTTCATTAGTTATAGGCCGACGTCTAACAATATTATTAACAGTAATCAATCCAGCTAAAAACGTATCCTGTTTTACCTTGTTGCCAATATCATTAAACAACTTTGAAAGTAAGACTTTTTTGTTCATCTGTTACGTTTTTGAAACACTCCATTTTACATGTACACTGAGGACCAGTTTTTCTCGGTGGTACTATTTTTTTTTTTAAACTTGTATGGACTTTTCCTTCAGCACGCATCACTTTTGCAATATTCCTTTTCCAAAATACTGGATTTGCAACTCTTTTTTTGCCTTTAATAGTAACATTTTCGTCAATTTCGACCTCACTATTTTCTACCTCAACACTTACATTATTTTCACATTCGTTATTTGCTGACAATAAATTATTTTCGGTTACATTTTCATTATCTCTTGTTAATAAAATATTACCTCCTCCATTTTTAACCTTAGTACCATTATCTTCAGCATAAACTAAAAGATCAAATCCGTCCAAAGTATTATCGGGTAAAATATTTTCACTTACTATGTAATCGGGGTCGAGATAATCATCATCTTCAGAAAATTCGAAAGAGTTGTCTAGAGCATTAAGAATTTCTTCATCATCCATTTTATTTAAATAAAAAACACTTTAAATAATATAAATTAAATACTTAATAACAATATTAAATAACAAATAATAAAATGTATTAATATAAAGCGTTAATTTTGAAGTTTTGAACACTATATCAGAAGATAACAGAATAATATGTTTTAGTAAATAATAATACTATTTGATATGGATATCATGTGGTAAATGCAGTGTGACCACATTGGAGCAATAACCAGATAAATCCGGATTTATCTGATTGTTGCACCAAAAATAAAAACAAGATAAATCCAATTCCATCATAAGCTATGTTTATATATATATCGGATTTAACTGGTTGTTGCACCATAATGTATTACATTTCTTCCTGTACAATAATTCATGAAAAAGTGTATTTTCGAAAAAAGTGGATTTACCTGGTTGTTGTTCCATGCCCTTCTATTACGATATCGTAGTCATGGGTGTTAGAAATGATTATATTTATATATTATCAACGGTGATTGTAGTCCATTCGGCTGACCGTATTTCGAATGCACTCGTATAAAATTTGTATCGGTTGTACACCCCGACACGGTCGCGATGCGCGTTACGCTGTTGTCCTAACTGAATCCGTGCGTTGCGGCTATACGTTCGCCCGCAACGCAACGTATTGTTGGCAAAATTGACGTCGATGAATTCGTACGTGCAAAAGGTTGTGCAAAATAACAATACAGCCGAAGAGATGTCGTTAATCAACCAACAATGTAAAATGTTATTATGTTCTATTGCTTTAGCTAGTATTCACTATAAATTACAGTTTAAATTTAAATTACTTGATATTCATAGTTCTTTGGATACAGAATCCCACTGCCTGTCTGTCACTACGCGATCTTTTTATTTAGGTTTCCTCTTATCCTAAAGTTCCGGTATTTTTTGTACTTCAGAAATAAGAAGTTCCATTTTGTAATTAATACAAAAGTTCAAATTCGAATACACGAATGTACTCGTACAAAAATTTCGTCTTGACCGCACAACGTTGTGTTGGAAAATAGAACAAGTTCTATTATGTGCGGTGCGTTAAAACGCATCGCACGCATGTTATGACCAAATAGGACATGTCTGTACTTGATTGCAGATTACTCGCAAATTTTTTATGATTTAATTTCATATTTGTGTGTGATATAGTATTATAAAAAAAGAAAAATTGTTTATAAATCAAAGCGTCAGTTCGAAATTATTTATTCTAACACCCGCTTTGGCCCAAACAGTTACATAAACCATGATAAATATAAATAAATTGAAATATAAATGAAAATATTACATTTATAAATCAATGAATGTGTGGTCTGGAGTATTATTATGTATGCACGACCGGTTTCGATTTTATTGACTTATATAGTAATCTAGGAGTATTAATTAATTACTAGTTTTTGTTTTATTTTATTATTTTACTATATTTATATCTATATTTTTTATTAACATAATTTTTTAGGTGTTGTTTACAGATATGTGAAATATCTGCATTACCGTACAGGTAAAAAAAAAATATTTATTTTAACAATACATGATATTGGGGACGTGTAGTTTTTTGAAGGGCTATAATCCACTCCCTTCAGTAGCGTACCTGTGGGGGGCAACAGGAGAATGTGTTCCCCCCTCGAGAAGTTTTTTAATGCCATAATGCAAATTAATTGTTCAGCTTAAATAATGTAAATTATAAATATTTTTAATTTTCACTGATTATAATCATGTTTGATATCAAATGTTTTTGATATCACTTATCAATGTAATATAAAATATTAATATTCGACCGAATGGGGTTTAGGAGTGATGGTCACATATAGTTACTATTTTATAATGTGGTTATCATTGATATCAGATGATCAACATGAGTTTTAAGTATTTAATAATAATTTATAATAAAGTTTTAGATTATATTATAACTATAAAAAATTGTGCAATTAATGTATGCCCCCTTCCCCCAAAAAAAAAAAAAAAAATGTTTCACAGGTACGCCACTGTCTCCCCTAATACTCAAACCGTTAAAGTTTAATTTAAAAAACCAATTTTATTTTAGAATTAGAATTTATATTTGAATTATTATTGTATATAACCATACTGATAAGATCACCATAATATATTTATATAATGTAGAAAATTATTCTGTTTTATTATTAAATAATACTATATTAAATTATATTTTCTCTTAGTTTCTATTAATCGGGACAAACTGTATGTACGGACCCCGGGACATGCCTTTAAATCCCGTACCATCTCGGTCAAACCGGGACGAATGGCATGCCTACTAATAATAATGACATTTACTGGTTACTTAGTTAATATAAATGGTCACGTAATTGTGATAATAATCAAAAATAAAATGTTGAACATGCGCCCATCTTAATTATTTTTCTATAATATAACATTAAATAATAATTTTTAAATATCAAAGTTTTATTTATTATCCGTAAATACCTAAAAAGTCAATTTAAAACTCGAAAAATAAACATTGTTAGTTATAATTATTGAATACTGTAAGAAATAATAATCTATAGAATTTATACTATCTATACTACTTAATTTATAGAAGGACCGATAGAAGTACAAGAATGGTGTGATACGTGTAAGTTCAAATAAATATTATTGTGAGATTATATATTTTAAATTGGTTTCTTCTTAATAATATTTCAATCACTCATATTTTATAACTATCTTGGTATTTAAAAATAATTGAATAATATAGCCCGTCAAACAATATCATTACAACTTTTATTTGTTCAAAAATAACGAAAATCATAGTTTTCCACATAAACAGCTATTTTCACGATTGTTTATAAACATTAAATGTCTAGCGTATATATGTATATGTATATGCATAGGGATAAATATAAGGGGACAAATACTCGCCTACACCAAAATTATTTAAACGCAGTGCGCTGCTTGTATAAATATATATATTTATAAATTATAACTTATATTGCAGTATTTCATATTCCATATTATAATTATTACTTATTAAATGTATGAATATTTTACCATTACAATTATTTTTTTAGTTTTATTTTTACATAGACCACCTACCCCATATTTTCATAAATCACGTGATTCAGATGTAACCCCTTTGTGCCACCATTGAACGAGTATATTGAGTTTTTGTTTTAATATAGATGAAGAAAAGACTTGCGTAGGTAAGAATACAAACAAAATTTGATTGATATGTATTTTAGAAAGTCGATTATCATAACAGAGAGTATCTTAAACATTTTATTGTAAAATACTTATATATATTAGTAAGTGTATACAATATATAGTAATAGTAATATATACGATTTATTTTCATTAATTGATTGCTTTATTAAGCTGTTCTACTTCCTCGACAGTTTCTGGATTCAAAGAATTCCAACATTTTAAACTGAATATCTAAATAATGTTAATTATTTTTAGTAAAATATCATCAATAATTAAAACTCTACGAGTTAAATTTTTTATTTTTTTATTTTTCGTAAATAAAAATAAGTTCCTTATGCATAATAAAAATTATTAAAACCATGATCAAAATTATTTCCTAATCTGTTGTTAGTAAGTAATGCATATTTATACTTTATTAGCTTCCATGCACTAAAATTTAAAATCTTAATAGATTCATTTAACGATTTTCATTCCTTCAAAAATTGTGAGTATATTATTAGTGTATAACAATTTAAGACACTATTTTAAAAACTAAATCAGGCATACATTTTCATTTATTACTGTTCCTTAAATTACACTGTTTACTTTTAGATGAGCTGCATGTCCCCAGCCCCCCCCCCCCACTACCTCGAACTTTCGAGTTCAAATTTTTACATTCGTTTGTATTTTGTTTGTGCTTATTTGTGCTTAATCCGTTTCCGAGATGTTAAACATTGAAGGAGAGAGGGGCCTAAGGACTTAGCCTCCCCATTAATCAATTTTTTATTTCATATTGATCTGTTCATTTATTCCACGTTTGTGCAGATTTGTGATCAAATTTCAGCAGAAAATTCTGATTTACTTGGGATTTTTTTTTATAATGACCCACTTTATTTATTTTTTTTTTAAATTAATTTGTGTACAAAAATTTAAAAATTCGACATTTTTACGTGTATTTTAAAATAATAAGAGCTTTTATTTCCAAAACTCCGAAGTGATATAATCATTATTGATGAATTTTCATTTTAAAAAAACTTAATAATAATAATATCATAACACGTTTTTACAATTGTATGAAACCTTTTTTATTTTGTCATTTTTAAATTTAGGTAGACTTTTAAGCGACCATTTTATCCAGCCATGGAATTTTAGAACTGACAGGCTACTGCGAATTCGCACTGAAATTTATGTGTACCTACGTGTGTAACCGTAAACACGGTTTGTAAACAATACTCTTAAAAAAGTATTAAGATACTAATACTAGTATTCGATTAAAAAGTATTAAAAATACTTTTAAAATACTATTATTAAAATGTATTTTACGAATACTCACAAAGTATTTGAATACAAATCAATTCAAATCAAATCAATATCAAATCAATACAATTTTTTTAATTTTACGCTATATAATGTATATGTATATTGTACACCAGTATAGGTATAGGTATAGGTATATCTATTATGTTACTATTTTCCATGGATCTTAATAATTATTATAACATGTTTGACTATTTAGAGATAAATATATTTGCATAATTTTTTTATTATTGTTAAATATAGCAGAATGCAAAATAAATTCGTTTCTTGGTGTCGTGATATCAGATCTAAAATTTGAAAGTAATATATTGCATATATTACATATATATATTTTTGCATGTTTGATAGATTTTGCAGGAGAGTGCATATTTTAAAATTTTTATGTTTATTTTGCATACTTTGATAAATTTTTTAAATTTAAAATTAAGAACTAAAGATACATATCAATTTTTATATCAATACATATCGATTTTCAATCGATCGAAAAAAAAATATATTAAGAGGACTTAATACTTCCAATAATACACTATCTGCAAGCTACCTCTCGTATCTCGTTATAATTTTTGTTAAAGTATAAATAATAATAAGTACTATAACCCGTATCGATCGTATAACCCGCTGGATATCAATCGGATGTCGATAAAGATAATAGTAGATATAGAATTACAGATTGTTTGTTTAGTGTTCAGTTCAGTCGATTATTATCCGTCGTTGTTTTTACGTCTTGCAACCACACAACGTCGATTCATACGTAAAACGTCGTACGTGTATACTTTGTAACATTGTGTAATGCCAAAAGTACAACAGTTTACGAGTAGCCGAATAAACGAACAGGTCAATAATAAATAAAAAATTGGTTACTTACATATAATTAATTCACTTTATAAAATGTGTTAATAAAACAATATACACTAAAAGTTTGTTTGAATATATTTTGAATTTATTAAGCATGTCCTTAGGTCCCTCCCTCCTTCAATTTTTAACATCTCGGAAATGGGTTAAGCACAAACGACAGAAATATAAGCACAAACGAAATACAAACGACTGTAAAAATGTGAACTCTAAAGTCCGAGGTAGTGGAGGGGCTGAGCATGTCCCTAGCCCCTCCACATTGAAAGTTCGATAACTCAGAAACGAGTTAAGCACAAACGACGGGAATAAAAGCACAAACAAGCACAAATGACTGTAAAAATTTGAACTCGAAAGTCTGAGGTGGAGCGGCTGGGGACATGCAGCTTTTTAGATGATCTAACCATTTAACACTCTTTTTCGTTGTGTTATTATTACTGTTCCAGAATTTTAGCTAAATGATTTACCTTTAAATTTATCGATTTTTAAACTCATTTTTTTATTTTAAAAATGTTTTTAATTGTCCCTAGAAATTATGATTTCCCCGTTAAATACATTTGAACATTTACATGCTGTACCTAATAAATAAACAAGTTATTTTTGTTCAGCATTCACCTTTAAAAACTCTATGTCTGATTTTAATAATTATTATTATTATTATTATCAGTCGCTGCCCCTCGCTTATGAAATCTAATAGCAACATTCTACCCCATTAAATTAATACTTAATTTATCCCAGTTAACTTGCCAAGTCAATTGTTTTTTTTCCTTCCTATACTTCTAAAAGTAAACTTATGTTACAGTTATTTCTTTTTTATAATATACTATTATATACTGCCCTTACATCGTCTGATTCTGGATGTTTTATTTTTAATCATAAGTGATATAAATAATACACTAGTAACTTCTAATGTAATTTTAGGATTTAAAATGATTGAAAATTGTAAAACAAAAATATAAAAACTATTAATTTTTTTAAGGCACTACAATAGAATGTGTAGTTGAAAATATCAACAAATTTGGTAAGTTATACAAAAAAAAAAAACATTTTTAAAATCATGTAGAGTCCTTATGTGTAGATACCCTAAAACATTGAATCTACAAAAATCCTATTTAAATAGCAGTGTTGGGATTATCTAGATAAATTATCTGGATAAAATGTTTGTTATCTTTATCTTATCTATATAATAAAAAATGAACCATTGAAAATTATTGAAAAAATTATCGGAAATAAAAAAATCACTCATCTAGAAGATTTTAGATAAATTATTAGAGATCGTAAAGATATTTTTCAGTTTTCCAAAAATTTTCCATACTAGTGCTAGTAGACACATTTGTTCGTTATTATTACATTTGTTTTATACAGTAATCACTATTCGCTAATCGGTATATAATATTATCAAAAATAGTGTTTATTTCAGTATTTATTCTCATTTATCATTGATGTGTTCACTATTACTTGTTCAGAAGAATAGCTTATCGTTAGTTTGCGATTGTTATTCTAAAAATAAAATATTTATTCCAATAAAACATGGAAATAATCAAGTAACACAATATTATGAAATATATGATACTGGTATAATACCCTTTGGCTACAGCACTACTAAATTCTAAAGTACTATCTGAAGTCCCGTGGATATTACCACTCAATTCAATGAATTGTTCGATAAAAGACTATTTATATTACACTATACATGGCGGAGCAATAATGCAATCGGAGAAACATAATAAATATTTTAGTCCCCAAAATTGAATAAATATATAACAACGTCTGTACACCTATCGACCTATCTATGGAAATTAACTGTGACTGTCTTACAATATATTTTGGCATTTTTTTAATACTAAGAACACGTCTATATAATATAATTGGCAATTGCCGAATTCCGTCCCGGGTTGCTGAAAATGACCGAATTCCGTCCCGGAGGCGGAGCAACTATGTCCGAATTCCGTCCCGACTAGTCTTGGACGGTATTAATATAAGTTCAATTTTATAGAACTTCAAGAGGCTTCACCTGACATCACACGTATCGTTTTTTTGTATTATCGCAATTATTCGCAATAAAAACGGAAACGATTTATATACTATGTATTGTGTATACCAAAGTCAGGTGTCGTCTAAGTTTTTACCAGCCTATTTCAAATCTAAAAAATAATAATTAAAAAAAAAAAATAATTTAAATACTAATTACACATAACATATATTATACTTATACTCTTGAATTTATTAAAATACTTATATGACTGTCATATTTATACATAAATGGCATATACTATAAGTGGAGTTTTTTTTTGCTCTGTATGTCAATAATAAATCAATAAGGCTGTTTTGCCGGATTTTACATTTTTAAACATGCCAGCAAAACTGCCAGTCCTAAGCCTGGAAAAAATGTGAAGGAAAATATTACTGCCAAATATATCATAGTTACAGGTAGTAGGACGGAATTCAGACATAGTTGCTCCGCCTCCGGGACGGAATTCGGTCTTCAATTATGGAATCATAGGGGGCCCGGGACGGAATTCGGTACCAGCCATATAATTGATGTTTAAAAATTTAATGAAGTAGTATTAATGCTTAAGGGGCCTCACTACTATTTCTTTTTTTAACAAAAACTACTGTTTCTAATTCCAACGCTACGGGTCGACAATTATCACGATTCATTCTGAAAAAATATACGGATTCTCCGTAATATGTATAAGGGACGATCGAGCCACATTTTTAATTTTTGTAATTTGAATTGCAATAAATATTGTTAAAAATTCAAAAAAAAATACAGAATTTCAAACTTAAATATTTAATTAACTAAATACAATTTTTAAAATGTGCCTCGATCGATCCCTCGTACATGTTGTAGAAAAAAAGAATGTTTTTTCAGAGTGCAAATCGAGATGATTGTTGCGACGTATTGTTTGAATTAGAATCGTACGTTAGAATGAAAAATAAAATGTGTAAATAAAGTAATGAGATTAATTTTTTATAATTTTTTTATTGAATTAAAGTGACTACTTTATATTATCTCCTTCAAAGTAATTGCCCTGAAAATTCACACAACACTGGAGTCGATGTTTCCATTGTTCGTAGCAGTTCTGGAACTCAGTTACTGGAATAGCTTTCAGTTGATCGGTCTCAGACATTTTAATATTTTCTAGTATCCCAAAATGTTGTCCTTTAAGGTGAATATTTATTTTTGGAAACAGAAAAAAATCACAAGGACTCAAGTCAGCTGAATAGAGGAATTGAGAGGCCACGGGAATATTTTTGGTTGCCAAAAATTGGTTAATTGAAATGTCTGTGTGACAAGGTGCATTGTCGTGATGCAGCACCCAGGTGTTTTTGATGTTTGGTCTCACCCGAATGACCTTTTTTCGAAGTCTTTTAAGAACTTCTTTATAAAAGTGTTGGTTGACTGTTTGGCCATGAGGTACAAACTCCTTGAAAATTATTCCCTGGCTGTAAAAGAAGCAAATCAGCATCGTTTTGATTTTTGACTTGCTCATTCTTCCTTCTTTTTACCTCGGTGAATCGGATGTGTGCCATTCTTAGCTCTAGCGCTTTGTTTCTGGGTCGTACTCGAAAACCCAAGACTCGTCTCCATTCTAAGAAAGAATGGTTATTTTCAATCTGCTCCAAGAAATCGAGACACCAGTCCTTCCTGTTGTCCTTTTGGTCTTGTGATAACATTTTCGGAACCATTTTTACGCAGATTTTTCTCATCTCCAAATCAACTGTCAAAATTTGATGAACGGTGATATGAGATAATCCCAACTGTTCTTCAATCATTATGACCGTCAATCGATGATCGGATCGGACAAGATCTCGAACTTGGATGATGTTTTCATCATTTTTTGCAGTTGAAGGTCTTCCACTGCGAGGTTAATCTTCAATCAGCTCTATGCCTTCTGAAAATACTTTAAACCACCTAAAAACCTGAGTCCTTGAAAGCATACTTTCTCCATAAGCTTGTTGAAGCTTTTGAAAAGTTTCTGTCGCACTGTGACCAAGTTTAAGACAAAGCACATCGTTGCTCAAAATTGTCGTCACCCATTATTAGAACGTACTAAAAAGAACTTACGAATATAATCGCCACAGGCTAACACGTGATACTACGAAGTTCAAACTCGTACTGAAGGTTCATTACATGTTTATCTATAACCCTTTTCAATCGGAAAGCCATTAGTGCTGCCAGATAACTAGCTACGCTATCATTCTCATTATTTTATTTACACACCTCGTACCTGGGCATTTGTAAAGTCCACCAGAATAAAAAGGTAATAAAAGTTCGAATGTAAACTCTGCCGGTTTTTTTCCTTACCTGTAATTGATATATGTAAACTCCGCCAGTTTTTTTTTGTGTTTTACATTGATATTTATATAGATGATATTGTTATTGATAAAATCTAAGAAATTAATTGTATAAAAGTTAACGGAATGTTCATATTTTTACTAAAGTTCTTACCGAATTTCAAACTCATACTATGCAGTGCAGTAATAGAACATTTCGTTATTATTACCTTCACTGATTATGATTATCAGAGTTCGTATTTTGTAGGAATTTTCTTTTTTTCCTATTAGGCTAAAACGAAGCAATGTAAGATTTAAATGGAATTTGTTGTTTTCCCATTTATACTTATTATTTTATTTATTTATTTTTTTGTTTATATTACAATCTTTATATTAGGTTCCATATATTTTTGTTGTAAAGACAGTGCTCGAATTGGAGTGGGGGTGCAGGGGGACGGAACTCCTCTACTATTTTTTTTTTTTTGCGTACCCCAACTATATTTTTTCACCGGAACAGGGAGACGCCACATTCATCCTAATTGATGTCCAAAATAATTTTTATGTAGATTTCAATTTACGTCAATTGGAAAATAAATTTTAAAATTTATAATATCAAAACTATTTTTATAATTAAAGATTATATGGTGGTTATGATAAGGGACAACATCGTTATTTCTGAAACAATATAAATAGTAATGTCTGTAAATTTGGTGTATTATACTTTATACATTATATCGACGATATCGTCATTTCGGAAAAAAATAAATGCCTTCACCACAACCTTAGACTAATCTTCTAAGACCGTGGCCCGCACTAAAGAGTAAAAATAAATAAAAACAAAAACCAAATATATGATTATATCATTCGATTCATGAGACTGCCTGATCGCCTACAATTACCTATGTTAATTATTATTTTATTTTTATTTTCCATTGTAACATATGGGATGTTGGTATTGCTATCAAAATATATTATATTTGGAATTAAAATATTTATTTAGCTGAAAAATGGTATTCAAAATATATTTAAGGTTGGTGGAGGGGGGAAGAGGGACGAAGCCCCCCACGGGTCTGTGTCAAATAATTGCGTACGTGGAACGCAGTTTTCAAATTGTTAGGTTGAACTCCTCTACTTAATTTTTCCCAATTCGATCACTGTCTAAAGATGACCGAGATTCAGCGATTTATATACTTTAAACTCTAACAGGCAAGATGATTTTTTCCTATTAATATGACGAATAAATTTGAATAATAAATTTATATAAATATAATTATAAATTTATAAAAAATTTTAATAAAATAGTAGAAATTACTTTGCACGGCAAACTATTTGCAAGCTATTTTTTTTTATTAATTACTGTTGTGCATCAAAAACATGGGTATCTAATTTATGATAAACTATAATTCAACAAATATGGTATACTACAATAACGATTACGATGAACGACTACCTGAATGATGGTGCGGAAAGAAGCGGTACCCGCGTTTACGCCATACACACTAAGGTTCGTTTCACAGTAGTCTGTTGTAACTATGTCGATTTTTATATCACAATCATATTGCTGATTGATTATGGTAATAAATATAAAATTTATCTCGAATTTATCTAGATAAAAAGTTAACTTTATTATCTTTATCTAGACAAAAGTATAATTAAATTATCTTTATCTTAACCTAGATAAAATATTTTCAGTTCATCTTTATCTTTATCTAGATAAAATTTTAGTTATCTGGACTCAACACTGTTAAACAGTAAAATAATTTTTAAATATAAAATATACTCGTACTATAGTGAAATTTTTAATAAAATGTTTTCAATAATTCATTTTCGTTTTGGATTGTTCAGATTCTAAAATTCTTATGCTGGAAAATAGTAAGTCAATTTATAAGTGTGTATATATTATGTAATTATATTATATAGATTTTAGGGTGCAATATTTTCATTAAATTTGCTAATTATCATACAGATAAAGAAAATAATGGGGGATTACTTTGATTTACGAATAAATTAAGACATTTAACAAGAATGATCCAACAAAAGTATTTGAATTGAAAATTGAAAATTAAATGTATGGTAATTCGACGAACGTCATGTATGAGTATGCATAAGAAAATCCAAACGGTGACGTGACCATTCTTATCTGTTACCAAGTTTTCATGTTTTTCCAATTAATCCTTTGTAAATTATTTATTTTTTTGTTAATTTCTATTAATTTATTTTTTATTTTTTTTACTGATTTTGAAATTTTAATAATATCTAATTTGACTAATATCTTATTAACATTATATTTGTTGAAAAAAAAAAATAGATAATATATTTTAAATTAATTATTTAGTTGATTGTGTACATTACAATTGTTGGCTATATAAGATTTCGATTCTTCTTCTTCTTCTTCTTCTTCTCCTTCGCCTTTCTTCCAAATATTTGGGGTCAGCCACCCTTGTCAAGATTTAAGATTTAGTATTTCGATTAATTTGAAAAATTATTTTGTATTACTTTCTGTGTTTGGATTTGGGCCTGAATTTGTTCCAATAAGATGGCTTATGTTTAGTTCCTTTCTTTATTTTTCATATTTTCTGCATTCCTGGAAGATGTGTTAGACAGTGAGTATGATTCACTTTCCGTTTCCATTTGGTTCGGTTCGATATCCTTGAAGATTTTGTTCGCTATTCGTGTAATATAATTTGTAGCACATTTCGATTTCAATTCTGGTCTTATTAGTTTAAGAGTTTCAATTGTTCTGGTATCGTTATTTCTGTTGTTATGACATCCATTGGGGATGGACAGTGCCGGATTAAGTGTTTCATGAACCTTAAGCAAATAAATCAGACGGACCTAATTGACTATAAGGAGTAAAAAAAGGTGTTAATTACAAATTAAAAAAATTTCATTGTCTTAAATTTTATTTAAGAATATAAATAATAATCGAGTCAAACACATTTTTAAATAGTTTTATACTTATATAAATGTATATTTATTTTAAAATTAGTCACTGTCATCATTGCAACTGTTGACTTGTCTCTCTTCTTCATCTATACATAATCCTTTTTTTCTGGCTTTTTCATTTGAAAAAGTTCGATTGACATCATCCTAGTCTAGAGGTTTTACAAATTCACTCTCGATGCTCAAAATTCCAAAATTCTGCAGATTGTTTTGTGATGGTGAAGATCGTAATACGGTTTTTAATAACTTTAATCGGGAAAAAAATCTTTCACCAGTATAGTTGTTAGTTTTTCCCAACCACCTTTCGGTTTTGACATTTTTTTAGGTAATTTTTGAACAATAATTTTTTTTCAACTACATATAATAACTTGACACTTTTTAAAAATTAAAACACTGTGTAATACTGTACATGTTCTAATGTTTACCAACGACTGTGATAATCTCTGTCGCCAAACTTTAAATTTGGTTGCGTTGATAAAGAATCATAAATATAAACATGCTATAATAAATTGTACTGTACTGTGTAATAGTAAAGTGTTGAATAAATGTATAATTTCCATAGACAATAAAGGTAATTGCTAATAGCTATTACTGTTATTACTTATTACTTATTAGTAGGGCTCGGGACTTAAAGGACTTAAAATCATTAAAATAAGTGCTTATAAAATCACTTAAAAGTATCATTATAAACACTCAAATAAGAATTTAAGAACATAAATTTAAACAAAAATATTTAACAAAAAAAAAAAAAGTTATTTTAAATAGGAAAATTTTTTTAAAAATTTATAAAAAATCGAAATTTTCTTTTTACATAAACTTAATAAAGTAGAAAACATATTTTTTAACTATGCTGAATATATAATTAAAGATTACAAAAAATATTAAAACAAACAAATGTAGTCTATATTATAATTTTTTAATTGAAAAATCAAAAAAATAAATAAATCTATGTATTATAAAAAAAGTCTAACTTTAATTTCGAGATATTTTGCTTTATTTTTTATGAATTTTCCGAGGAATTTTCTGAAAAATAAAATGTAAACAATATTTATAAATAGTTAAAAAAAATCTGGGTCAGATCAGTGGCCTATGCCATCGTTTATAACTAAGCAAATATGCAAAAAAGCAAAAATAATCAAAAAACAGGAAGTAAGCTTTTTCTTAAAAATTCATCGAAAAAAGGAAAAAAAAGCACTTTCAAATTTCATAATTAAACGTGTTATATCATGACATACACTTCAATAACTCTATTATATTTTATGTCGAATCATAAAAATAAGCAAATGCTTTAAGTCACGAACTTTGCTTATTAGTTATAAATATACCCGTATACAATATATGGCCGATAACTGATAAAAACGAAATATTTTGTTGTATAGAAATAAACGTGTATATTAACCATTTAATTTTGGTGAGTTTAATCGAAATCCGGATTTTTTCCCCAATAAACGGTCTAATAATGTGGTAAAAGTAAAATTGAGCTGATCATTAAACCGGGTCTAGTTTGACCATCGATTTAATGTACAAATTTGCAAATTTTAATTTTTTTAATACAAAAAAAAAAAAAAATAACGAGGACCTTAAGCGGTGTTTAATTCGCTTGTAATTTAATCCAGTACTGAGGATGGAATCTTCAATATTTTGAATAAGGTGTTTAAATTATCCAAACATTAATGGTATATTCTTTGTTTATCATTTCTTACTGGTTCAAGTAATTCATCTGTATTTTCGATAACTATTCTTTTTTCTCTTCATGTATCTTATTAGTATTTGTTTGACCATTTTTATATTCTGTTTGGATATTATAATTAAATGATAATACCAAAAAAAAAATAAATAAATAACAAATGTTGTTTTTTCCATCCTACTTTGTGATTCTGATATGTAAACTGATGAGTTGGCTTTTCTTTTGAGCGATTCCTTATTGTAAATGAGGCATATCATTTTATCGTATTCTTTGGCCGATTGTATATTATTCTGTGTGTTGAAAAATTGACTAATTAAATTAATTATAAGTGTGTCTTTATTGACAATTATCTGATTTATTATTACCATTGAGTTCATTTTCTATATATGAATTATTTTGTGAGTTCTGTATTTGAGCGACTTGATTAATTGTTTTTGTAGCTTCTTTACCGTCTAATTTTACTGCTGCAGGATTGTTGGCGGATTAATGTATAGGGCAACGAACGGAGGTATAGTTTTTCTGATGATACGCGAAACATGTTAGCCATCTGTCATAAATAGTGAATTATTTATGTTGTTGTCGTGTTGTTTCCTTAACACCTGGTCGACCATATTACTACTTACTCAATTCATTTTTCGCTAAGACCCAGTTATATGAGAGGCCATCAAAATACTTACTTAACAGTTACCATAATCACTACAGTGTTAAGGTTAATTTTACGTATTTTAATTTTGGGTGAAGTGTGTTTACCAATGCACCAAACCAATTCAATAAACAAAACTCCATTAATTTAAATCTTCTTCCCTTCTGTGCAATTATCCTGCTTCCTCTCTTGCCGTCACGTCATTCAATACGGAGTGCTATCACGTGTACATTAAATTGCCTATCCACCTGGATTTTAGTGTCAAGTATTGAGTAATTATGGGCAAGTAGACTAATTATGTTATGTGTACTACACTTATTTGAAAACATTATTACTTATTAATGTATTAATTATTGTTTGAAAACTGATTAGGTGTCCTACAGAGATACGCAGATTATATTAAATTTGAAATACAAAACGAGAGTACTCGTAAGTTATAAACTGTAAACATTATGACTCCTATAAGTGTGATAAAATATCGATACAGTTTTTAAAATAAATGCAAGACATTTTTAATAACAGTTTTACTTTAAAATTAAGATTAAAATTTGCGCCAAAAGTTTTACTGTTGTTAAATAAAAAATTAAATTTAAAATTTTTACATTTATGAATGAGAATTGACTTGATGTTTTTACGTTGTATTTTTTATAAATTATAAAATCAACTATAAATGACAAATTTAACTTACAAAATTTCGAAAAATTATATTTCAGGAAAAAAATAAGATACCGAAGTACTTGTAATTAACTATATTAACAGAACTCTAAATTTTTTTAAAACAGGACTAAAAATTTAAGTACAATTTCTATATGTAGACCTTCGATAGTTTACATTTTTGAACAAATTTATTCTCTTAATAGCTCAATTATCTATTTAATTTTCATCAAATTATTATTTGTAGTTATACAAAAAGAATAATTTATTAACATTTCCAACAATACGCTTGCATAATAACTTTATTGTAAACAGCAAAAATAATTAATTATTCAATTTTTTAGTAAGAACAATATTGTTTTGGAATGCTTGGTGTAATAAAAGTAATTATGTTATTAAAACAAATTTAATATTATAATGAACTCTTGTTAATGCAATTCTTAAAAGTGTTTGTGTATTTAACTACTACAATTCTAACTTATTTTATAAAATATGAAACTCTATAACTGCATGATCACTTTTAAACAGCGTGTTAGTTAAGCAGATTATCCCAAAGCTTTGTACAAATTATAATATTATTTCATTATGAATAATTTTTCATTCTATGTTGTATAATACTACTTAAATTTATTACTTATCGGTTTTGTCCATCTTAATGGACATATTGGAAATACGGATTTATAGGTTATCCCTCTATTTTAATATTAACAAATAATTAGCATAAGTATTGTAATTAAATTAGTATTTTAGCATTATAACGAATTGAAAAAGTCAAACCTTAAAATTTTCTAGTAAGGTCATGAAAAATTTTTGTGGCCTGTGGTCGCTATTAACTAGATTATAGTTATATTTTATAGTTCAATTAAGAACTATATACAAACGTTAATTATCAGAAAATATTAATGCTCAATTTTATTTTTATATTGTATGGATGCAGTCGAAAACTTATGTATGGGTAAGAATACGATAGTCATAATCCATTATAACTTTTAAGACTTATAATTATAATAAAATAAAATGATATCGATCAAACGGTGACGGCCATATACAGCATGAAAACGATTGGAAGTTACAATAAGAATCTTGGTCTACGACTGATAATTTATTGGTCAAATACATTAACGTACAATAGCGCTAATAAATATTCCCAACCTCTTTCCAAATAAATTAATATATCTATTGTCTGTAACGTATATTCAGTAATAATAATAAAAATCGTAGATCTTATTATTATCTTCTTCGATCGACTTAAATTTAAATTAAGTTAATTAAGTTTATTTTAAATAAACCAATAATACAAATTAATAAACGTACATCATCTTAGGATATTTCATTTAATTTACTGCGTCATTTTAAACAATAGTATATACTAATATTAAAGTGTAATTTTTACTCTATACCTATAAATCCATAGAGTTCAATTTTTAGAATTACTCTGATTAAAAGAATAGTGAACTTTCATATAAAAAAATTTGCGTATGTCGTACACTGAAATAGTGGATAGTAAAAATCTTAACTAAAGTTAAAACAACTTAACCGATTAAGTATATCAAAATATAAAATCTTAAAATTAACTATTATGTGTAGAATTAGTAACTTTATTAAATGAATAACTATAATTTATTATCTTAAGTTTAGTAATATCATATCATAATATTTATAACTGTACATAAATATACTTTTTTGGCATAAAAACATTGTGTAACAGGAAAAATATTAAGCTTTTTGTGTTTTCACTTATTTCATAAATTTAGTTCAAATGGTTTAAACTTAGAAAGTTAAATTAATAATAGACATTATTAATAGTTGGAATATTAATAATGTTGATATTTGAAAGGTCATTTATAGATTCCTAAACAAAATAATACAATACAGTTCTAAAATTATAAATACAATTATATTTAAATATTTTTTATGTCCAAAAAGCGTTTTCATTTTTACTCTACAAGAGTCATTTTTCATTTTTACGCAATGATAATTTATGATTTTAAGATAATATAAGAAAACTTTTATGAAATGTTTTACTACATTGTATAAACAGAGCCAATACGAATGTTGGGATTTACAATTGAAGTATGTAAGTACATTTTTCAAAGAAATTACTACCTAAATCATTATACTAACTTGGTTATTCATAAGTAGGGCGTGGATTTTTATGTGATTAAATAATTTTATTGAATATGAATTTCTCAATTCCAATTAAAAATAAGCACGTTTTATAACACCATGGATAGTATGAGACCTTTTTTATTTTACATATTTTCACATACTTTGATGTAAATACATATTTTTAAATATTTCATCAATATTTATCTATATTGTAAATATTTCACATTTTCATATCATTTTAATACAGTTTTTATTTAATTTACAATTATTATAATAGAATTAAATGAAATAATATATTTCAAATCTTGATTCAGATATTACAATCGCTATTACTTCTGATATTATATAAAATAATAACTTGCAAAATAATTTAGCATATATTTCCACAATTTTTTTTTCTTGGTTAAAATAATAAAAAACTAAAAATATTAAATCTAACGATAGTTGAGAATCTCGCGATAGTGGAAAATGCAGAAATTAAGTTCAAGGAGAATCCGGAGTTATAATAAAAATTAATTAAATTACATACTGGATAATACGTTGGTTTACAAATAAATTTAAAATATTAGAGATAATGTTTTTAATAAAAATGAAAATATTTAGTAACACCATCCGAAATATTCGGTACGAAATATAACCCATTAACCTCTGTCAACGTTGAATACACCCTCAGCCACAATGAGTTGACATTGAAATCTAACTGCAGTACATTAAAATTTGAAAATCTTTAAATGTACGTCGTATCCAATTGTTTTGAAGACAACAATGAAGATGATCAAATGAATAATTATGAATTAATAATAAAACATTAATGTAAAATACCAATTTTTTTTTAAATATTTTACGTTTTTTAATACATATTTTAGCAAAAATAAGAACATAAATATTTACATATTTATACTTTTTTATTACATAAAAATCCGCACCCTATTCATAGTTATGAGGTTTGTTTTTTTGTTTTACTTATTTACTTTATAACACTTACATTTTTTTTTCTCAAGATGCTATCGCTAAACTTAAAAATCAAGCAATCATAGACGGAACTTTGAAAAATTACGACGATGCAGAAAGTAAATATCAAATAACAACCAAGTAAATAACAATAAGATAATTAAACTTGGTATGTTATTTTATAATGTTATTTCGCTTCACGGATATAAACATATATACCTGTATGGAGAAAAACTTTAGCTAGAGCTCACTACATTTAGTCTAGGTAGTGTACATAGAGCACATAAAATAATATACCTAGTGCACACTGACAAAGTAGTATTTAGTGTTTTGATAGACCAATAAACTCTGGATAAATTAAACAATAAAAACTAATGAACACGTAGATAAGACGCTCTGTCTAAAGAAGTATACATTTATCCATCAATGAATCTATTCAACATCTTAAATTAGAGTGAATAGACCATAAATAGACAGTTAAAGGCGAAATGTATGGAGACAAATATGAAAATAACTACGGCATATATTTGAAAAGATCCTTAAAATCATTTGTAGACATTCGTATACAATTTTCCATTCGAAATGTTTTTTTTTACACTAATTTGTTTCAACAACTTTTTTTTCTTTTTTTCTTTTTTTTTTAATTTAAAAATATACTATAACTGCAACTTCAGCACGTTTTTGGTTCGACGTGTTCCGTACGAAGCACATAATGTAATTAATCATCTACATTCTAAAATGCTCTAGAGCAGAGGTTCCCAAACTGTGGGTCGCGACCTATAAGGGGGTCGTAATTATATTTTTAGTGGGTCGCGTTTTTTTTTCATGTGTTTCTATTACTTATGGTTGATGTTTAATTGTTTAATTAGTTTTATTATAAACTGTTATCTGGGTTTGTGACAATTACAAATTTACTGCGACCAATAGACATAACGATATTTCTTTATATGTCTATGCTCGACTGTGTCAACACAACGCAATCGGATTAATGATTATTGAAAATATAGCAATATATTTGATACCTGTACCTGTAATAAATTTAAAGAAAACAACGCGTGTCACTGCAATAGCGAACGACAGAAATATATAGTGCAGTAATCGTGACCGAAAAAAGACCGAAAAACGGATTTATTCGCAACGATGACACGAACACAACAACAATATAATAGATGAGAATAGAAAAGACATTAATCATAAGAGTTATATAATTCACGGTAAAGCTGATATGTGCACAATTAACATAAACGGAAGAGGATGAGACGGAGTATGAGCTTCGTGCACCGTCGCGATGCGTCGCCAGCCTAAATACCGAATTTTGGCAATTATCGCAATCAATTTTATTTGTTGCGGTTATTTCTGTAAAAATATATAGTTTTAAAACATAAATATTCTTTTATCAAATAAATTAATGAATTCACACTATATTTCAAATTATATAGGCATTTATTATAAAAATAAATAAATACCTAACATGTCTAAGAATATAATTGTTAATTTTTTCTTTAGCAAACCAGATTTTAATGCAAATACTTATAAACCGGAATAAACAACATGCTAACGAGATCAGTAAGTAGAAAAAAATTGAGTAATTGTTTAAGCCATACGTTTCTATACATAATAATATATGTATAATATTGAATATTGTCATTAAAAGAATTTTGATTTTTAATTTTTTCTTATTTGACAATCGTAATTAGTGAATAACTATTAACTTATTAACTTTGATAAAAAAAACTGTATATTTGTATGCTCTTGACGTATATTATGCAACACTTGTAAAAACAATGAAATAATACTATTCCAAAATATTATTAATAAAATGTCATAAATGCACAATATGCTTTATTTGATTTTTTAGATATGCTTGAAATACCATTCGAAGATTGTAAGTTAATTAACTAATTTAATTTCTAAAATTAATACGAGAACTATTCAGATAAAATGCATGACTGAGTTTGTTGCAATTTATAGATTAAGAATGTAAATATTGTTTAAAATATAGCTAGTTAATTTTTGAACAAAATATAAAAAGCATATTGATTTTGATGAAAATATATTATCCTTAGGTACTTAATTGGATAAATTTGCATGATGAAATTTATTAATATCATAGATACTTTTCTCGTATAATAATATATATATTATTACATTGTGTAAACCACAATTGGATACATCTAATATTTTTGCATAAATTAATGCAATTTGAATTCTGTTTTTTAGATGGATTTTTACTTAATAATACTCATTTTTATGGTCTCTGAAATTAAATCTGTTTATTATACTCGCGCAAGCGCAATGCAACTTTTGGCCACAAATAATTATTTTTTATACTTTTTTTTATGAATTTTGGAGATTCAATCAACTTTATATGTTCAAAATTGATTAAATTACAATGATTTAACGATAAATATATTATCAAAAATTAAGTGGTTATTGTTTTTTTTTACTCTTTTGCTCTAAAAAAAAAACAGCTCTAGATACTTGAAAAATTTCCCCTTCTTATTTATTAAAGTCTTATTCCATTTTGAACTACCCATTGTACAAATTGTATGTAAATCTTACAAAATAATTAGGTTTAATAAAAATAATTAAGTTAAAATTTACTACACTAAGTTTCGACTGTAATATGTTACTTTTTAATAGTTAAAAAAATTGATTTTATAGATTTTTAATGCTAAAACTAACACCAGTCTTAAAGTGTTTTTAATTATAATATTTGATGTATCTTATAACTTGTTCAAATTGATGTTCATTCTTTTCAAAACATATTTCAGTTTGCAGGATAAATTGATTTTTAGTTGCAGCTGAAATCTGTGCTTTGGTCAATTTATTACATGCTGCTCTTATTTCGTCTTTTAAATATTGAAGGTTTATTGGAGGATCGGTATACACTTCAGTTTTTATGTAGCCCTATAAAAAAAAGTCCATTCGAGATAAATCAGGTGATCGTGGTGGCCACTCAACTGGTTCATAAGTTCCGATCAATTGATTTGAAAAATATTCGTTTAAATAATTTCGATCTATCTAGGTAAGTGTTACGAGAAGGAGCCCCATCTTGTTGGAAAATTATATTTTCTCTTGTGGTATGATGGAATGTTATCTAACGTAACTGGTAATTAATTTTTTAAAAAATTATCACATCATTTACCATTTAGTGAACCTTCATAAAAATTACGTCTCCAACATTTTGCTACCAATTATACCACACTAAACGTTGGTTCCCCAAATGGTTTGGTTGTTTAAAGTATTCAATGCTGATTTTTATCGTCTCAATAACAATGATTTTGCTTATTTAAAATACTATGGTTGATGAATTTGGATTCGTCCGTCTATAATATGGAATTTAAGTAATTGGTTTAAATCTAATTCAGTCATCAACCAAACTACAAATCTACGCTCTACATTGCTTTCACATAAATGTTGAATTAAATCTGGTTTATTTGGATGTATTGTGAATGTTTTTTTTTATTATTATTTTTAATTGTGGTATGAAACAATCCTAGTTTCCTTCAATAATAATATTTATTTATATTTATTGGGCTAGATATTTTAAGATACCCAATAAAAAAACCCATAGCAAAATAGTAACTAAATATTAAAGTGATTATTTAAATTTATGCTCTATTTTGACCAAGATAATCATTAAAAATAAATTAAATGAAATCGATAATTTGGAGTTGTATAATAATAATCAATACACAAGTTTAAAGACAGAAAACTATTGAATGTTCTAATACTGATAATACTAATACTTAAATACTATTTCAATATATTATGTTTGTATTGAACAATATATATATTTTTTTAACTATTAAAGAATAACAGATTATAATCAAAACTCAGTGTAGTAAATTTAAAATTAAATATGCTTATTATATTTGATTTATCCGATCTACAGACAATTTGTACAATTGGTAGTTCAAAATGAAATAAACTTAAATAAATAAGAAGGGAAAATTTATAAGTGATAGATATAATAGGGACAAAAATTATATAATTTAAAAATATGTGTGCATTGCGTGAGTTTAACAAACAGGTTTAAGTTCAGAGACCCTAAAAATATATATTATTATTTATAACATCCATCTAAGAAAACAGAATTCAAATTGTATTGTTCTACACAAAAATATTAGGTGTATTCGATTATCATTTACCATTATTATTGTTTTTATACATACATACATAATGATCGGAATAAATAAAGTAATACAAAATTTGAAATAACGTAATAAAATAGAAATAAATTATCTTAACAAAATTGGAGATATCGCATTTGGTATCAAATGCTTCAGTTAAATATCCAATATTTAAGAATTCTAAGACCCCCGAAATTTTAGTTAATTAAAATATAAAAAAATTATAGTGTAACTGGTTTGATTCTTATATACTCGTATACATTTCTTAAATATACTTCTTAAATAGACGGGATTAATTTTAGCGATTATTTCATAGTAAAATAATTAAATTAAATTAAAAATTATAAATTCTTAACTATGAAATATTTAATTTAATTTACATACAAATTCATTATCGCAAGTATCGCCGCAACAACATCCAAATTCTTATTTTTTAGGGCTGTTTATAAAAAAATTTAAGGATTAATTTAATTTGTATTGAATATGGTAACTAGTAATACATTGTTGAGAAGTTTTAAAAATTGTAATTTTAATTTTTAATAATTGTAATTTTAATATCGGTGCTTTTAATGACCTTGATTGGTTGAGATTTGGAAAACTATATTTATCTGCATTTTGAAAACTTGTTGTGAGTAATTTTTTATCATACCCGTACATTATTGAGATGATCGAGAGGCCGCTGAATTAATTTGCCCCAGGCCCTAAAAATCCTTAATATTTCTCTGTACTTCTATCATACGTATGCAATTATTGTCAAAGAAAATATATAACAAATAACAAAAAAGTCAAGAGTTGTAAATAATAAATTATACAACATTTTTAGATATTCTAAAATGGTATATAGACAATTTGAGAGATGGTAAGTATGACTATTTAATTATAATGGGTCTATAAAATAAATTTATTTTTGTTTAATTAATCTATTCGTAAATGTTAAATTAAATACTCAATGTTATACGAGTAGTATTATACCTACCCATTCTGAATATTTTCCTGGCACGATAACCATACATATTTCAGAAATTAGTACTTATAAAAAATTATCTAACATAAAAAAATTCAAATTACGATTTCTATAAATCTTCCAGCTTTAAAGTCTTACCAAGAAAATATTTTCAGCGAAATTGAGAAAAAAAATTTTTTTGTTTACAATCGTTAACAATAGATGTAAAATACACAATAAATGTATTTTTATGCATATATATATATATATATATATACAGTAGAAATCGGTTATAACGAGTTTCAAGGGCCAACTAGTAATTCTCGTTATAACCGGTAACTCGTTATATGCGGTTAGAACGAACATTCGTTGAAACCGATTTAAAGCGGAAATACAAAAATAAAACCGACTTTTTTTATTTTAGATAAAAAAATTTTATTTGAGATTAATTTATACATGCACGTACATACATTATTTATACATTTATTATTAATTATTATAATTGGGGATTTAATACATACATAAATATAAAACACTTGAATTGATTTAATTTTTATTTAATTTCTTAAAATAATCTTTGATCGAACTTTGCTTCGTGTTAGTGTTGATCGATGTTTCTAATAAAGAAAACGCTTTTCTTTCAGCATCTGTACCTTCATATTTTGTGTAATAAAATCTTTCTAGTGTCCTCAATGTAGCACGAGCTTCGGATATTGACGGCACAGTTTCAAACTCATCATCAAGCTCAGTATCATTATCTAGCTCAACTTGTTGGCTGGCTATGACATTGTCAACTATATCTTCATCTGTTTGAATTTCTGACGTTATTAGGTCGTCATCAATCTGTAAGTAGTCCTCGTCGATGTTAATAATCTATCCACTGTCTGCTTGTAGCTGTGTAGTATCGGTCGTAACGTCACAAAAACCTGCATGCTGAAAACAATTAGCAATCCCCGTCGATGTTACATTACGCCAAGCTTTATCCAGCATTATTATGGCATCCAAAACAGTTACTTTTGATTCTATTTGATTTTCAATATCCTCAATCATTTTCAGTACCAACTTATTCCGATAATGAGCTTTAATGTTCCTTATAACGCCCTGGTCTATCGGTTGAAGTACAGCAGTAGTGTTGGCGGGCAAAAATACGAGTTTAATAAATTTCAAATGTTGCAATTATGGGTGTGCTGGACAGTTGTCCACCAACAGTAGAATTTTTTTTTCCTTACGGCATAATTCATCATCCCAATAATTAAGAGTCTTTTCAAAAATTGTTGAGGTCATCCAAGCTTTGGTGTTATTTTCATAAAATACGGGAAGTGATGAAACTCCTTTAAAACACCTAGGAATTTTCGATTTTCCAATAACAAGGAGTTTTCTTTTATCAGTTCCGGTCATGTTGGCAGCCACGCAAACTGTTATTCTGTCTTTGGATAATTTTCCACCCAAACATTTTTCCCCCTTGAAGCGAAGAGTTTTATCAGGTGTTAATTTGAAAAAAAGGCCTGCTTCATCGGCATTACAAATTTCATCATCACAGTAACCTGCTCGAAGGAACGGCCAAACGTTAGCCAACCAGTTAGAGCAGATATCAGTATTAACTGCAGATGACTCACCTGAGATCTTGCCGAAATCAATGTTGTGCCGCTGTCGGAAACGCTGAATCCAAGATGCAGAGCATTTGAAATTTTCATTTTTTCAGCCAGTTGGTCAATTTTTGTTTGCTAAATAGGACCACTTATAGGCATATTGAATGACCGTTGTTGTTTGAACCATACTAGTGCAGCTTCTTCAAGGTCCCTATGCTGTGCAGTGCGCAATCGTTTTGCGTTAAGTGATGTGGTTTGAAACATATTTTTTAACTTATCCCGGTTCTTCCATATGATCGAAATTGTCGACGAACAGGTGCCGAATTCTTTTGTAATTACGCTGTTTTCTCACCATTTTTTAAACGCCCGATTATACCAATTTTTTCGTCCAACGTAAACTGACGACGCGACATGGTGGAACGTCTACATACAACTGACGCTATTTGTAATTTTATTAACTTTAAAACACCAGAATTTGTAAGAATAATGTTTATTATTAATAAGTAATCCATATCTACACAACTAAAGATAATATGTCAATGATTAATCGACCTAAATACGAAAATAGTTCGTATCTTGCAGATACTTGTTCGTAGTAACCGGAAGGTCGTTAGTCAAGTTAGTTTTATTTTACTCGTTATAGCCGATAACTCGTAATAACCATACTCGTTGTAAACGTATATTTTAACATACAATCATATGCGCTCGTGCCGGGACCTAACGTTTTGCTCGTTGTAAGCAGTATCTCGTTCTAAGCGATGCTCGTTATAGTGGTTTCTACTGTATATATATATATATATATATAAGCCATGTTAGATCCTGATATTCATCAACTACTCCGAGTGCATATATGTTTAGTTATAAATTTCCCAAACCCAACTCCTATGGAACGTTCGGCATCCAATATATGTACGTATCGCATTAATGTATGTGTTTAAAAAATAAATATATCCACTTTCAGAAAAAGTTTTGGATATACAAACCTATTGTCTGAATGGTGAGTAAATGAAACCTATAATTAATTGATTAACTACTGCGTCCTTGTGGTAATATGTAGGTGTAGATAGAATAATTTAATAGCATAAACGTCATAATGTTTAATTTTACATATTTTTATATTATTTCATCTAGCATGCAATCGTAAGTATAATGTCTATATTATCATAAAATTAAATATTGGCATAAAATGTAAGGCTAAATTTCGTAATATTTTAATATTATTATTCTAATATTTTTTTTTTAAATATTTTATACTGATTGTTTTTTTTTTTTTTACGATCGCAATGTGACTCGTTAAATGTCTATTACATACATTATTAATATCGATAAACATTACTCGATAGTTATATTTTTTGAATTTTTCAATAGAAGCAGCAGCTCAATATAATATCACCGATAAACGTAAGTATTATATAATATTTTTTTAATAAATCCCAAACACATTTAGAAGATATAAAGTAAAAAATCGATCCAGGGACTGAAACCGTTTGCATTTGTCGTTATCGGTTCTCAAAATATAAAACAACTGTTCTGGTTATTAGTTAAGAAATAAAAAAATAAAGGTAACCGGTTACCTTCATCAATAAAATATAATATTATTTCTTACCTGGTAAATATCAGTGTTTACCAGTTAGGTCCGCAAGGCCCTTATTTAGTCTGATTAGGTCCCAGTGTTGTTCAGATAGTACACTAGTTGGGTCCCATGATTTTACAAGTACAACTCTAATTGGGACCGTACAGAAAAAAAACTATATCCCCTTCGTCGAGATGTCACGAAATCCGGATTTCGAAAGTACGCCCTGCCGTTTATCTATTAGAGCAGTGGCAGGGGATAGACAAACCGCGGACGAATCCGCGACTCGAGCCGGGTGCCAGGGTGATAGCTCTTGTACCGCCAGTGAAAACCCATAGTGCGCACGGATGAACGGTCATCGTCCTAATCAAGCTCCACTACGAGCCCCGTCGAATGCAACCGTAGTTTGAAGCTAGGTAAACCAAATACACCGGCCGGACACGTGACCGCATTTCCCGATGGGGTAAATTAATTTGGGGGCCCTTCGACCATAATAATAAGATATGATAAACAATAAGTGAGATGATAGTGGTGCAAGTTCGTTCTTCGTCCCTTCGGTCCTCGAACTAGATAATGTTGATTGGTGTATTGAGTTTTAAAGAAACGATAACTCATTTCTTTAGTAAAACGATTCTAAGCAAAGCTTCAGTATATAAATATACTGTTTAAATATTTTATCATTTTTAATCTAACTGTCGGTAGGATTTTTTATTTATCAACCTTTTAAAGTTTTCTTATTTGACAATTTAAAATAATGTTTTAACAAAAGATGACAACAAAGAGAATAACAGTCTATTATTAAGCAAAGCCTCAGTATAAAATAATTTTACCGGAGAAGAGATTAAGCTTTCTGAAATGTATATAAATCTCTTAAATAGAAAATAGAAATAAATAAATAATGGGCTGTTGGTAGACCGATTTATCGTATATGTATATAAGTTAAAAATATACGGCATGTGATCACGAAGAACTCCGTATTTAAATTCAGATTGTAGAACATTACCGGGTAAAGTTTATTGTTGTGTAATTTATAAGGTGCAACAGAAATAACTCTTTGATAAGGCTGTAATTTGAGTTCGGGTGAAGATAAAGTAATAACATCGATGGAAAGCTTTATCTATGTCATTTTAAGTATTTAACATGACTTGATCGGGAAAACATAGTGCGTTTGTGTCCAGGAGTTTATTTTAATAACGGCGGTTCACTGATATCGACCCAAGTGTGCAATAAATATTACATATAACTTATGCATAGCCACAGAGGAATAAAGTAATATGTATATAATATGTATATTAATTATTATAAATTACAGTAGGGTCTCGATAATCCGAACACAGGCTAATCCGAAATACGCGGTAATCCGAACGAGCTTGAGAAATATCACATCGCTATATTAATACATATATATGTGTATCATAATAATAGTAAATATGTATTTTAAATAATAAGGCTCATATATGTAATAAATATTATCTGTTCATACACACATATATAATTATAATAATTTTTTGTACACATTGTCTTTATAAATTACGAGTTTTTACGTGATTAATACAGATAAAAATAAATTTCATAATTTAAATTACAATAAAATTAATGATTTTATTAAGCCATAGATAATCCGAATAAATCAGTAATCTGAACGACTACTCTCACCGATCTCGTTCGGATTATCAAGACCCTATTGCATATAACTTTTATTTAAGTACCACATTCAACGATAAATAGTGTTTTCTATTATCAAATATAAATTTTATATCGATTGCATTACTTATTTATTAATAATAAATATTATTTCACTAAAAAGTAAATCATTCTTATATTTTATCATTTTTGATCTAATAGTTGGTAGGTCTTTACTATCAGCCTGTTTAATTTCTTGTTTGACAAAGGAGACATTTTTTAAACAAAATATCAAAATATTTTGTTCTATCTGTCTCCAAAGTTTCATTATGATTGAATGGATCAATTATTTTTCATAAACATTTAAATTGAAAATTTATGTACTTAAAAACAGTATTCCATAAAAATTCTATAATTATTTTCTTAAACGCTTATAAAAAAAAAATCCTGACTATCGATTTTAGAATTTTTTCAGTATCGTTGTTTACCATATGAGTAAGGTCATATTAAATTTTCAGAAATTTTCATCAAATATTAAAAATTGTATTACATAAAAATATTCAATAAATTAGGAAATTTCAAAATTCTATATCTAAACCAAAAGTGCTCAAATAATTTTGAAAATTTAATGATATATGGAAAAGTATGTCTTTGATTTATGGTGAAATTTTCAAGTTCCTATCCCTATTACTTTTAGAGTTATGACTAAATGACTAAAATGTGAAGAGTGTAAGTCTCGTTTACAGCACATTTTTACCGTATTTGACCGTTTTTATCGGTTTTTTCCCTCCAATGGAAAAAATATTGAGAAATTCGAAAAAGTACCTCTTTAAAGTTACCAATACCCAATTTCAAATCTAAAGAGTTGCTGTATGAAACTTTTGAACCAAGTTTTCTATGTGAAAAAGTGTTTACAGAATAGAAGAAGAAGAAAAATAAATAAATAAATATCAGTGTAAAACCATAAGATTCTTCGCTTCACTCAAAATTTAAAATGCTCACCGAGAATAACAAAATTCTTGCAAACGTATTTTTCGAAACCTTAAACAATCAAGCTTATTTAAATTCATGTATTATATACTTACATAATAAAATTGAATATTATTCATATTATTTATAATTTAATCTCGTTCAACGTTATCGGACAAGTCGCTACACACTCGCGCACGCGCGCGATTTTAATCGCCGACATGCAGCGTGTAAAATTGCTCAGTGTAATCGAGGCTTTATTATTAATTATTATACATCAAGACTTTATGGGGCCCCCTTAAAAATATTCCATTAATTGGGCCTAGTGCAAAATAGTCCCGTTGCCCTCCCCCCCTCTGAACGGCCGTAATTCTATGATCACCAGCTTAGATTTTATTATTATCTTTAATCCGAAGAAGCACTTGTTAGCTCAATTTATTATGTTCTGTATTTCCTTTTTTGTGGTTATTGCCCGATGCGTTCAATTTCACCCCTAGATACTTGAAGTTTAAACCAACTCAAACTTCATATCTCTTACTATCAAATTATTGTTTATTATTTTTCCGTGACAGTATTATATACTTTGTTTTTTCTTCATTCATAATGAAGCCCATTTATTTACTTTCATCCACGAGAGCTTCTGAATTATCCTGAAGGTCGTTCTCAGATTCGGATAGTAATACTATGTCATCAGCGTATGTTATTAATTTGATAGTCTTAGATTCTTGTAGTTTGAATCCTATACTGGTGTTTAATGCATTTCTAACCACTTCCTCCAACGCAATGTTGATGAACATTAGTGAATGTGCATCTCCCTGTTTCAGTCCTATGTTGATCATGAATGCCTTTGACAGTTGCATTTGACAATTTTTACACTCAAAAAAAGATTTATAAGTTCTTTGTACGCAGCAATATCGTTCAACATCGTCTGATAGAGACTTGTGAAATGAAAATTTTAAAATCAACGGTGACGTACACGCATTTTCTTTTTTCACTAAACATTACATTACATTTTTCCATTTCGAACAGAGAGTAAGTACGACCGAATTGAAATATGAAGTGATACTAAACATAGTTAATATTTGGGATGTCTGTTAATGAGTGAATACTGGCATTTTTTATATATATATTTTAATATTTTTAACATTATCAAGTGTATCAATACTTGAAAGTTACAGGTTTCATTGCCGAATTGTTCGGACCGAACTCGTATTTTATCGTTTTTATCACGGTTATCTACTCAGGTTGGAACATGCCCTATATCGACCCATAATAAACAATAACCTCGTTTCGTGTACAGCGCTAGCTGTATGTTCCCCGAATTATTAACTATGATAGTAAGATGATAACGTGCCACTTGCCGCCAAATTATAATCCAGTACAACCGTCATCCCGAGACCCGAGTTCCGACTCCAAGTATTCCGATAATCGACATTCGTCATTCACGCTAAAAATTTTAATTTTATCGTCGTAAATAAAATAATACTTTGACTATTTGAAATGTATAGAAAATGTATAGAACTATTTGTTATTTTTTTTTTGGTATTGTTATTTATGGCAAGTTTTTGCAACTATGGTGAAATGTTGTGTGGTTGGCTGTACTACAGGTTACAAATTCAACAATGAAAAAATGTCCATGTTTAAAGTTCCAAATAATTCACAGGATGTAAATAAATGGGGTTTGGCCAAGAAAAAATGTTATTATTACCAGTATAACTAGAGTTTGCGAAAAACATTTAATATAATTAAATAATTATTTAATTAAAATATAATATATAAAGATGAATAAAATAAAAACACGTACAAGATACGTATAACTTAATGCTTATGTTTTATTATTTGGACGTAATACAATCATTATTCTTCAAATAATTTCTGAACCTATTAATTAAGATTTTTATTATTATGCAGCCTGCACGAATACAAAATTAAATTAAATTTTTTTGTAGTTATATAAATTTTTTACAGATTGCAAGAGTCTAATATTCATATATCGTTTGATAAAAATACGAGCACTTCTTAATTTCATAAATTTTGAGTGTTTTGCAGTCTGAATATAGTAACAGTATTATTACACAGGGATAGTTGGATAGATCTATTTTTTCTTATTGTTGTGTATTTGTAAAAGAATATTTAAAATATGTACTTGCCAGCAAGACCAACATTCAATTATAACAGAATATCTCAACCAGTGAAATGCGGAAAGTACGCTCATAAGTACCTACGCTAATAAAATGCATTATAATAAACTATTAATTACTACAGTTTAAAATAACTTCCATCACAATATTTACAATTAATACTTCAATTGGGAGCCTCTATTCTCCCATCTTTGACCTTCGGTCTACAACAAACAACTAAACCTATATTTTTCTTCATCGAATTTAAAATGAATGAAGAAAACAACAAAGAAGTAACAGTATCTTCAGTCACAGTGATTTATTTTTTTTTTTTAGTATTTTCGCCAGATCAAAAATTTTCGAGAGTCGGAAGAAAACCTTATAAGAGTAAGTATATTTTAGACTGGATTAATAAAACCCAAATGTCGAGGTGAAATTTATTGATCCAGTCACTTTTAATTACCAAGAATTCATAAATCTATACATAAAAGTACTCTTAAGTGTTGCTAACAGAAACAATATATTTGGTGAAATAATGTACTTACATCTTAAATATTAAAAATATTACTTTTATTTGATCCTAAAAGGAAATTTAGAATCCAACATGAAGAGTACACAAAATTGATAAAATTAAAAAAATAGAATTTTTAATTATATAATTAATAATTGTAACAATTATGAATGATTTAATATTTATTTTTCAAGTATTTTATATGTAAAAATAAAATAAAACATGTATAAATATATATATATATATTATATACTATCAATAATATGAGTAATATTTTAAATTATTTAACATGAAGAACCAATTGATGAGGCATCCTCAAGTGAGTATTATGCGGTATATATAATTTATATATAAAAAAATTAAATATTAAAAATTATATTACCATTGAAACGAACAAAATAAAGTATTTATTCACTATGTATATAATAAAAAATGTTATTTAAAATTTACTGTAATAGTTAATTCAATTATCAATTATAAGATCATATTGAGAGTTCAATATTAAATTAAATCGGATGAATCAAAATGTATACAAAATACACTAATAGGTACCTAAATGTGCAATTTTTACTCAAATTTAATAAAATAGTATTAAAAATTTAACTCATTTCAATGATATCTGAATATTTTAATAGTAATAATTTTCTATGAGCGACTTAAATTTAAAAATAATAATTATTATTTATAATAATAATTATAATTATTATAATTATTAATTTATAATGATCAACATAGTATTAATAATATTTTTACAAATTTTTTATGAAGCGAGTAAATTTATATTTTAAATATATATATCTTATGAATATAATTTAGAAATAAACTATCATTCGGTCGTAATATATAAGTCAATTATTAATTTTAATGTTAAAATGCTAAACTAGAAGCAAAAAAAAAAAAAAAAAAACAAGATAAGTTAACTCTATTAACTCTAAATTACTCTTTGAGAGTGTCCCTTATAAAAATCAGATTTTTTGTAAAGTATAGAAAAAGGTTTTTATATATTGTTATAACTCTATAATAATAATTACGAGTACAACTCACAAAACTTTATTTTTATGAAGATTCCAAATAAATAAATATTTTAAATTCATTTTTTTTTTTTTTAATGGCTTAATATAGACCATTCAGATCATTATTTCAAATAATTAATAATCACAATAAATGCTATAATATCTAATATATTTAGTTTGTAATACATAAAATATACAAATATTTTAATTGTAAAAACATTTTATTAAATACATAGGTTCATTAAAAAGGTCCAACTCTCTTCCAAAAGAAAGTAAGTATAACATATAATAGATAATTCTTACATGATAAATATTTTTGATATTATGAGAATACAACTGTTTTTAATACTATCGTTAAAACGATCGTCTTTTAAAACGATAAATATTAAAAAAAAAAAACTTCAATTACTCAAAAAATCAGCAGTTGCAAAAAATCTAATTTCAGTTCTCTACGTGCCATAATTGAAGGAATTAAAAAACGATTCTGTAAGGTTAACTAACGCAATTGGTAGGAGCATAAGCGTGCGTACGGTGTATCCAGGTTGGGCACTTGACTACTCTACGAACCTTGCCTCCTTCATCAAAATATTCAATATAATCACAATAATAAATTAAATGTTCAAGCACTTTGAAAGGTCCGTAAACGGTAAATACATGTAGAAGAATATTGGAAAAATATAATAATTAAGTTACATGAGTTACCATAAACAAATTTGTTATTGTTGGGCCCCACTACTCTTGCAACAGTATGATTCCGAATGCATTTACACGACTGGTGTCTTGGCAGCACTACTATGTTGTTATTGTTGTGTCCGTCACATATACCAATGGATTACACTCTGTGCACACACACATATATGTGCTTGCATGTACCGTCGCCATTACGCAACACATTTTCAATTTCGCATCCTTTTTAGCACGGTCCGTTTTTTGTCGTTTACAATCTGCGCGTTGCCGGTCATTTTGTACGCTCGCGTGTGGTCCTAATCGCGGCTACGTTTTTACACGCGCTCCTTGCCGCAGCTTGATTCGTTTTCAACAAAGAAAATAGCGTTCAACAGCGCATTAAAATAGATCCTAGTGTATGACTAGATACTAGATACCCTGCCAGTCATGTCTGCGCACGCTTATGGGCATAGACGGTTTGACATTTTTCAGTTGGTGGCTTAACCATAGTTAATACCACGCACCCATCTACCTAAAAATCATATTAGGTACAACAATTCATCTAATTTCTATTAAATTACCAATTTTATATTACCTACCGCTGCCAGTTGCCAAGACCCATCCCAAACTTTTTGGTAGTTCAAAATTCATGATTAAGCCGCCTCCGCTTATGAGTAGGAGTAATTGAATATAACATTAAATGTCACTATTGATATAGACCTCTACTCTGTGCATAACGAATGTACTACTCCGTAAACAACTAATTATAATTCAAAATCCTATATTATGAGAAACGTAAATTAAAGCTTATAAAGAAAAATTAAAAAATATAAGTAAATTACTAATTTCAATGTTATAATGTTAAACCAGAAAAACCCATCTCAAGTAAGTTAAATCTAAATTAGTACTAAAAGTGTCTCTTATAAAAACGGATCTCTTGTAATGTGTTGATAAAGGTATTTCTATTTGTTTTAACTTCAATCAGTGGCGTCATTTGGGAGGGCCAAACTAATGAAAAATGCCCCACTTTAAGAAATTTTAAAAAGTCAGCAATTCTTTGTCTGATTTGATCAAATGCTAAAATCGGTAAAAAGTAAATTTTTATTTACTATTTTGTACTCAGAAATCAGATAATATTCTTTTTTAAATACACGTTCACGGTTTATAAAAATTTGGGAAACACTGGCTCCTTCTCGGTTTATAACAGTCGTTATTATAAAAAACCGTTAAAATCGTTCCTATTCACCCCAACTACGGAAAATTATATTTGAGATACAATTTTATGTTTTTATAAATAAGTTCTGTAAAGTATTAAATATACAAATAATAAAATTATAAGTATTTATTTAATTAGATATTTATTATTATTCCATTAAACCAATTGATAAGTAACTTATAACCTATACTATAGGCCCTAAAGGATAAGTAAATTAATTAATGTTTTACAATCTTTAATGTTATTATCGAATTGGATAAATTGAAACGTTTCATGTTCTTTATTTATCATCATTACATAATTATTCATTACTAATCCTTACATGTTTTGTTCCGAAAAAATATTTTATTGATAGTCTATCGTCTATAAATATTAAATATTTAAATATATAGGTAACCATAATTTTTTAAATATTATGAAGTCGGCAAATTTAATCGGTTGCCCCACCCTTTCAAAAGTTGAAATGACGCCCCTGACTTCAATGATATTTATAACTCATAAACTTTTTTCTCTCAATCTTTCAAATAAATAAACATATTAAAATAATTAACAAGTGCAATAAATGCTATAATGTCTAACACATTTAGTTTGAAATACATGAAGTAGTATACATTTTTTAATTTTAAAAACATTTTTCCAAAGACTCACCGGAGTTAAGAAGAAATGTCTATGTTCCAGGAGAAGGTAAGTTTAATATATAATAGATCATTTTTACATATTAAATATTTTTGGTTACATGTGAACACAATTTTTTTTAATACTATCGTTAGAAATTGATCAAAACAATGAATCCGAAAATTCAACTCTTATTCGCTAAATTCAATTTTCGCTAACTTAAATATCTCTAAAAATGACTGTTAAAACTCATATAGTCTATGATAGGGCGTAATTTTATCATTTTCTCCGGGCGTAAAAATTCCTTGTTCCATCTCTGCGTATCCCCCCCCCCTTGGTCCTCTTGTACATAAGCCTACATTATTGTAAATTTGTTATTTCGTGTGCATCAAATATTTTAGTACAGTCCACTAAATTATTGACGACAAAAATTTCTCTTTTTAATTGATCCATCATTCTCTGCTAACACACGATAACTATAACTCGTCAACTAAGATCAAAGTATCTTTGTCTGCATTGGACTTATTGTGTTCGAGAGCCTATAATACCCATCTTATTATTATACATATGTATTATGCATATGGAAATGTCCATATGTTGATAAGTTAAAATTTCCAGTAAATGGATTTCCCTTTTTTTGAACTTTCAGCTATTATGATTATTTTGCATATTACATTTTTAAGGAGAAAATCCGATAATGATAATTATAGCCTCTATCCTAAATTTTTTAATTTTATTCATATTTTTTTAAATCCCGGGGGTGGAAGTAAACCTCTTTGCACCCATCTCGTGGCACCCTGGGTTATATAATAGATCAGTTTCTAAATAAAAGATAGCTAATTTAAACCTATTATTTATTAAGAACGCTAAAGCATTAGTTATGAAATACTACTGAGACATACTAAAAAAATTAATTGTAGTAGAAATAATATTGACTAAAAGGAGGTTCCTTGGAATAAATTAATTTGCTTTAAAAATGGAAGGTTAAATAAATCTGCCATAAATTACGAATGTGTTTTTCAAAGAATACGGAAATATCATATGCGTTTCTCTTATTTTGTGCAGTTGTCCCAACAAAGATTAAATTGGATGCATATTTAATCTCGATATCAAAAAGTTGTCCAGTTTGTTTCTTACTATCAAAAAGCGATTATAATTTAGAAAATTAATAAGAAAATACAATAGAAGTAAAATAAAAATTAAATATATTACGGTTCTACAGTAATTCATTTTCATTCGTATATTCATTTTATCTTTTTAAATTCATTTTTCATCCGATCTAGGACAAACGGACGAAGCCATTTGAATGTGGAGACAAATGGACGTAAAAAAAATATATATATATATATAAATCAGTAAATAAAATAAATAAGTTATTTAGACTAAATATAATGTGTAAATTTTAATGTCAAAAATATTCATTCAAAAAAACTTCACTATCGCGATTTGAATTAATTAATGAAATCTTACATGTACACTTGAATGCAATTTGTACACGACTAACACGGTTATAGATGTGTATTGTCGTGTCTCGTGTATCACCGTGTTTCGATAAAGTGTGATAATTATTACAAGTTATAAAGGCTGCTTACGAACTGAGTCCCAGTATAACCTTTTATGACGAATTGAGTCCCGGGTTGTTTTAGGGTATAAACCAATTGAGTCCAGTGAAATTATAGGTATAATACTAATTGAGTCCATGTTTTAATACTAACTGAGTCCCGTAAAATTAAAAAAAAAAACATTTTCCTTCCCATTTTTACAGACTTAGGACTGTCTGTAACAAAAAATTATACAGGTATGGTTAAAAATGTTTTTTTTTTTTAATATTTTATAATATAAATATATAATAATGTAGGGGTATAATATAATATGAATAATTTGTGTATAATTAAATAAATGAAGATAATGATAAAATAACATTTTTATATTGGTAAGAATTTATGGGATAAGCACTGTATATATTCAAATCTACTTATTGTGTTCGATTGAAACAGCTGCATTTGATGGCTGATTTCTTTTTCTTTTTCTTTTATACAATTTCTTGAATTAATTATATGAACACTTCTAATTTTTATATACGTTTCGCATTGTATATTCAACAAAATGTTTATAAATTGGTAAATGTTGGGATGGGCTGAATAAAACATTGCATTCATTTTCGAATGAAATGATTCACAACTATTGGTGGTCCTCGCCAATGAATAAGTAAATGAGGCCCACATTTCTGGAGGATAATTTGAGCTTTCAGATATGTAATTTTCTAATATATAGTCAGTAAAACGTTCCACTCGATAGTCTTGAGGTAAAATAGAAATTAAGTCATCGGTGAAGCAATCATTGACATCTGGCGGGTTTAAAAACGAAAGCCCAAAAAATGTTTTTAAATATTTACCAATTTCAGAGTTTTTATTTTTATATTCATTGACCAGACCCAATGATTGGATTTGTCTAAACCATGCTTGTCCCAAATGGAATCGACAACCCCTAAGTCGTGTTGATGGCCAAACTTTATTTACGGCAACATGAATTGCCATTTCAAAATCAGCAAACACAGTTTTAGGATCAAAACATAAATTAAGTTTTTGACATTCTGAAATTATTAATTGAAAAGAAGCCTCATACGTGGTTGAAGCTTTGTCCAAAAGTAAACAAAATACCAAAGGTATGTAGTTATTATTTTTCATTCCGTGGATAGTAAACAGTTGAGTAAACTGTATTGGGCAGCTTTTAAAAGTCCCGTCAATATATATTGTATCACACATAATTAAAAATTTTAAATTGATGGCACATGAAAATATTATTATATTTTTAGTTTCGTCATTAATCAATATAAATGATTCGTCTTTATTTGTTTTCGGATTAAAATCAATAAGAGCTGCATGCAATTCTGTTAAGGTTTTTGGTAATTTAGGCATTATCGATGTTCTAGCATGATGTATATTTTTCCGAATTAATTGTAAGTCATAGGTATTTAATGTATCTGTGTCATTCTCTCTGAGATCTCTATGAATAATTTTTGAAGGTTTCTCAACGGGATCATCTAATGCTTTGCGTTTTAGTCTATTGCTAATTTTCTGTCTATTTATCAAAGATTCACTCTGTTTTTCATGGTTATGACATATAGATTTCTCAACTAAAGTATTAAATTCATTTAATTTAAAAAATGACTTACAGTTATTTTTGCAACAAGTCCAGCGTTGGTAGTTTTTCGATAAATGCTTATGAAAACGAAATTTGTATCCGTCAATTAAAAATATAGTTTTATTTCTCTCACTTAATAAACTTCATCCATGATTCTTGGCGTACCTCGTAGAGTGTTTAATATAATGAAAAAAAATGTCCGGCCTAAATAATATGTATTATATTATGTTATCTGACGAATGTGATGATAAAAATGATATCGGTAGACGGTGATTATTATACAAGCGATGATAGAAATAAAATCTAAAATTCCCGACCCATAGTATGATATGTTACTATATTATCTGACGAAAGTCATAAAAATGATATGAATGATATGTATATATAGGTATATCCGTATGGAGCGGCTATGCAGCATAATTTTAATTATTATTATTATTCATAATTTTCGCTGTGCCTGGACTCTGGATGGTTATTTCATATTTTACTCAAAATAATCCTCGGACTCAATTCGTATACAATTAGTTTCCTAACCACGGACTCAATTAGTATATGTCTCGTTTGTACCCGGGACTCAATTAGTATATTATTTTTTCCCCGTTCAGGTATAGGGACTCAATTAGTATACAGTGGTTATAAAAACCAACAAGTTATACATATATATTGATATAAAAGGTACCTACTGCCAAAACGATAAAATTCGATAAGGTTTGATATTGATACAATACCATTAGTTATATTATGAACATAAAATATCAATGGTTTTATAACTTAAGTGGGCCTCACACGATCAGTAATACTGACAGTAGAAATATTGACAGTATTTACATTACTGACAGTGTACTCCTTAAACGGTCAATACAAATAATAGTCAATACTCAGTATTTTTTACTTTCACAGTAGTTCAGATCAATTGTTGATACTGTAAATGAATTCTTTTAGAGTCATTAATTTTTTTAAGCTCTTATTTAAAGTTGCTTCTTAATGTATTTTCAATTGTAGAGTCGTTTTTCAAAAGTTTATAATAAACTAAAAGTTTTTTATAGGCAGAATTTTTTTTTATCTCTATTGGAGTACTCTTTACAACGAACATCCCACAATTCGGATAATTATTTGTACTCCGAAATAAAATCACGCAAAATGGCCCGATCGCGGAATTCGCGACTTGTGGTTTCACTTCCGTCATCCCTCGCTGGGATGCCAATACTGATGAAGTGTCAATATCGACCTCACACTATCAATATAATCATCAGTAAATAAATACTGACGACTCGATATCCGATTTTTCCATCAGTCATCAGTATGGTTTTTTCATACTGACAGTACATCAGTACTCACATTAGCTAACTAAATAGCCCCTAACTAAATAAAATTTGTAAATTTCTTATGTTCAGCAAAACGCAGAAACTCATAATTAACTTAAAAATTCATAGTGTGATATTAGTTAATTAACTAATACAGTCGAGCATAAATTAGTATATTAAGCTTTACAATAATAATTAGTATAATATTTACTTTCAATGATATGTGATGTTGTAGTAAGATATAATCCTGAGTGAGTAAATGAAAGTAAATGTTTAACTGTAAACATTGTAGCTGTTACAAAAATGCATTAGTGCAACTAAAATACTAATACAAAATTATAATGATTTAAAACTAAATCATATGATAATAAAAAATAATATTACGATTGTAATTTTTTTTTTCTGCTTATTTATATTTTAGCCAAATTTAAGATTTTATCTTCATCTTGACTATCCATAAAAAAGGCATATTTCTTAATCTACGAGTATAGATCTGTGTAATGTAATGTTATAATCACGATAATGCATTTTACTTTTTCCCTTAAATTACACAGTTCAATCATTAACTAATTATAGATATACTTGTTATTACAAACCAATCTGTGTTATGAAAATAAGAGATATATGATATTTTTGTTTGAAAAAATTCAATCAAATTCAGTGATTTGTTTGAAATTTACATTAGATGCATTGGCACATTTGCCTAGCAATAAAAACGATGTATTTAAGAAATTAATATTTTGTAAACTACTTATTTACAATTGCATGATAATACAACAATACGTGTACTTACCTTATTTGTACGTATGCATTGCATAATAATATCACCAAAAACAATTGTTAAATAATGAAAAAATAATGCTATAGTATTATTATTATGCATTTTAATATATCATTATATAAATAATATTTAAATAATATTACTGGTATATTCAACGTGATATGGTCGTTGGCATTATATGTGTATTTTTTAGATTAATCTAAAGCTAAATTTACACGAAAACGAAAGTAAGTTAAATTTTTAAACTTATTTTCTACTAAATTACACGACTAAATGATTCGATTCGATTAAAACCAAAAAGCGGTTTACTTGATTTTAACATATGCGAAAAGCACTGCCATCAAGATTGAAAGTAGAAATACCATTTAGTACAATATGATGGCCTAGTTGTTTAAATGGTCGAATTTAGCCATAGGGCAATGACCGAATTGTTAAAAATGACCAAAAGTAGACGGATTTTCAACTTTAACTGAATTAAATCATTGATCATGCGATTAAGTCGAAAATTGGTTTACAAATTAAATTTTCTTTCAATTTTGTCACACGGCAACAGTCATTTGACCGCGGTCGACCTGTTTAGACGCAGCTTTAGGTTAAATCAAAATGTGTGCATCTTGAAAAACAGTCAATATATTTTTCTTATTCACAGATACTGGCGCCTTGAAACGTACTTTGGTTCTTGGGGGGATGGTCATTTGGGAACACTACGTGCCATTGGCTTTATTTTTTTTTAAATTGTCCTTAGCGTGAAATAAGAAAAGGAGATAAGCTTATGAAACAAAGCTTATAATAGTTATTTTACCTAGTGCATTAAGAAGTCGAATGATATAAAAAAAGTACATTAGTACATCGAAATAGTATAGGTATTTTTGTGGCATAGGCAATTTCGTATTATTTGTTGAACTTATAATATAATTTTCAAGTCAATCGCGTTGTATGATAATTACATTATACGTTCAACAAATAATAACACGAGATTACCTATGCCTTCAAAATACCTAATCCTATATTATTTCGTTGTATTTATATGTTCAATTTAATTTTACATCATCCAACTTCTTAATGCTTTAGGTAAAATAACTATTGTAAGCTTTGTTTCCATAAGCTTCTTTCCTTTTCCGATATGATTACCGCTGCCATCAACACAACTTTTTGACATCTAGCTTATAATAGTCCACGTAACACTTTTCGCCGATTTTCAATTCTACTTTCATCCTGTAGACCGCCGAATTTCTAGTGTTCCGCAGCCATAGCACTTCAGTCTTTAACTCTGGACCGCGGTTTTCTGCCTTTTGTTTTTCAGTGTCTGCAGTAACACCGAGTATTTGGCGTCTATGGCCAAGAGTGGCTAGGGTACTGATGTTTTGGTCCACCACTATACCACCGGACGGTGCGTGCACTAACTGACTTTTAGCTACCTCAAAACACCTTTTGTGCATCACACGATTGCACGCTGTCAAACGGAATATTCAAGTTTTAGATAGAATACAGTACTTTTACTTAATCCCGCGAATACCCCAAAAATTGAATGAGGATTTTGATGATAGAATTGTATTTTTTAGAAACTTTTGTTTTTGTACCAAAATCTTATCTCTAGTCATATATGTCTACCTTACCGATGCATTCAACCATTTTCAAAACTCTAAAAAGACATCTTTGATCACACAGCGAACATTTCTTCTTCGTATACATCATCTTCTTAACTTTCAGGTGGCCGACCATATCACAAATAAAAATTGCTTCCGTGTTGTTCATTGTTTTTTAATTTATCTTCCACAACAAATTAAGTATAAAAATAATAAAATATACTCTTGGTATATTTGAAACGAATAAATTACAAAACAAATTCGTAATACAGAAGACAAAATTAACGAAATCGACGGAAAATGTAAGAATAATTCTACTATCGAGGTATCAACAACTGTCTCCAGTGGTAACTAAGAAAAACGTTAATTGATTTTTCGAGATTGCCTATGACAACTATTAAGTAATATTATTTTTATAAAACATCAAAATCACATGATTTGGATTCGCGCGGGATTTTAAAATACACTGTTCGTTTTATGTCGAAATAAAAAATAAATAAAAATTACTTTTTTAATTTTACATAATAATTTATATATATAATTTATTATTTATTTATTATTTATATAATAATAATATATAGTATTTTCTGATGCATTAATATATTTTTCTTTATTGCAATTCTCTCTTTGATCATTTAATAGAAGTAAAATATTTTCAAACAGTTTTGACATATATGTAAAATAAATCATAAGATGTATATGAATTCAGTAGTATAATGATTATAATAAAAAGAACATAATATTACAAAGTGTATTTTTGCTATAAGAATGATACTGTAGAATGATACATAATACTGTCAGTATCAAAAATATTGTCAGTGATATTGATCGTGTGAGGGCCGCTTTATAAATATACCTTTATATATATTTTTATTTTGACGTCCAAACGACCTCGTCCAAATGGCTATGTTCATTTGTCCCTATTCGCCAATCAAAGCAAGTTAGTGAACGAAGTATAACTTAATTCTGAAATCATAGAAATAATTGTTTTTAGAGACGTACTTTTTTTGACGTAGTCAAATTTTCGTATTCATTGTTATTATTAGTTTTGTAAAAATTTATAAGACAGTAAATTCAACATAACGAAAATTAATACAACGCAGAGGTATTGTCTTACTGTTTAAATTTCCCTGCCATTTAATTATAAATATATGTATTATACTCGTAGAATTAACAATATGATATAAATGTGATATACATACGTATACTTTATATTATTTATAGTCCGACTAAATAGGTATAACTAAATAGGTACCGACTCATATTTTATTGTACGTTTACCGAATTAAAGTAGATATGAGGTACATAATGAAGTTATATATATAGAAAAATACCTTATAACATGCATAAGATAAGGTATATGAAATTAATAGACCTTAATATCGTTGATATTTTGGAAATTCATACTATTTTAAGTAATGTCTTATAAAAAAAATCAGTTTTGCGATAAATTTGGCGATAATGATTAACGATTACAAATATGTAATCATAATTACTGATTACTTTGAGAGATGATTAAACGATTAATGATTAATGTAATTTAATAAAGTAATCGTAATCGATTACGTAATTTAATCGTGAATTAATCGATTACGCCCAACACTGACACCGGCACTATCCCGTGATCACTAACGCATCGTGAAGATCGGGTGCGTACGGTTGTTAATATTAAGTGTTAATGTGTTATGTATCAGTCTATTCTAAGGATTTTTGTCAACAGCGTAATTATTTTACAAGTCTTTATACATATTGTTGCGGTATTCAATTTAGTTTTGTATACTTGTCTGTAATAACTGCGTATTACGTATACAGTATAGCTGTCGAAGTGATTTTTATTATAATTTTTATTTATAATTGCATTTAAATGTTTTTAAATTGCATTTTAAAATGCATTTAAATTTAAAACTTGTATAATAGTTATAAATAATAAAATATATTTAGACATAACACTCTCAATTTAGGTGTTGAATAAGCATTTAGGATTTATTATTAGTTGAATAATTAAAATGAAATCAAATAAAAATAATAATTATAATATTTTAAAAATAATAATTACTTCAAATATGCCTTTAAACCATGGTAGTTTTTTTTTTTTTTAATTGCTACCTTTCACCCAACTTTCAGTTTTATTCAGCCAGAATTGTTGATTTGATGAATTTGATGATCGAATATATATAAATAATTTTTCAACAGTCCAAAAAGTAATTTTAAACGGCTCAAAATTAATTCTCAATAACGCTAACAGCGTTCAACAGCGCATTAGAATAGATCCTAATGTATGACTAGATACCCTGCCAGTGATGTCTGCGTACGCTTATGGGCATAGACGGTTTGACATTTTTCAGTTGGTGGTTCAACCATAGTTAATACCACGCACCTACCTACCTAAAAATCATATTAGATACAACCATTTACCTAATTTCTATTAAATTACCAATTTTATATTACCTACCGCTGCCAGTTGCCAAGACCCACCCCAAACTTTTTGGTAGTTCAGTGAACCACAAAATTCATGATTAAGCCGCCTCCGCTTATGAGTAGGAGTAATTGAATATAACATTAAATGTTGCTATTGATATAGACCTCTACTCTGTGCATAACGAATGTACTACTCCGTAAACAACTAATTATAATTCAAAATCCTATATTATGAGAAACGTAAATTAAAGCTTATAAAGAAAAATTAAAAAATATAAGTAAATTACTAATTTCAATGTTATAATGTTAAACCAGAAAAACCCATCTCAAGTAAGTTAAATTTAAATTAGTACTAAGAGTGTCTCTTATAAAAACGGATCTCTTGTAATGTGTTGATAAAGGTATTTCTATTTGTTTTAACTTAAATTATTTTTATAACTCATAAACTTTTTATTCTAAATCTTTCAAATAAATAAACATTATAGAATAATTAATAAGCACAATAAATGCTATAATATCTAGTACATTACAGTTTGTAATACATAAAGTAGTATACATTTTTTAATTTTAAAAACATTTTTTCAAAGGCACGGAGACAATGAGTTCTACCTATGTTTCAAAAGAAAGTAAGTATAATATATAATAAATCATTCTTACATATTAAATATTTTTGATTTCTTGAGAACAATTTTTTTTTAATACTATCATTAAAAATTTTTCAAAACAATAAATCCGAAAATTTAACTCTTAACGCTAAGTCCAATTTGCACTAAATTTAATATCTCTAAAAATTAGCGTTAATCTTATATTTTGAGAAATGTAGATTAAAGCTTATAAATAAAAATAAAAGTATTTTATTAGTTTTTGAAAATGCTGTTTTTAAAAAAATAGTAAATTTAAAAATTCACAACTATTTACTCATATTTTTTAGCCATTGAATGAAGATAAGAATGATCTTGCTTGTGAGTTGAATGTAGCAGTTCATTATATTTACATGTGCAGTGTATAAACTCTGACATATTTATCTTGATATAAACCTAAACTATCTTTACTAATATTTAAAGTTAAAAATCCTATTCCACGATAAAATAAATGCGTTGAATCAGGGCCTTTCCAAAGTCTTTTGGGGCCATGGGCTAATTCATTTGGGGGGCCCTTTGACCATAATAATAAGATATGATAAATCAAATACCAGGGCTTGAAACTGGTATCTGATGTAGTTTTTGAATACCGTTTAAAACAGTTAAAAAACGAAAAAAATCAATAACGATATTCAAAACCGAAATCAAAATCGGAAAAAATAAATACCGGTATTCGAAAACAAAAACGAAATCGGAAAAAATATATACCGTTTTCCGAAACCGAAATCGAAATTGGTAAAAATAAATACCGATATCCGAAACCGAAATTAAAACTAGAAAAAAAATTTTCGGTTTTAAGCCCTGCAAAATACTCACTAAGAATAACAAAATTCTTGCAAACGTATTTTTCCAAACCTCAACCGATCAAGCTCATTTAAATTCATGTACTGAATTACATACATACATAATAAAATTTAATATTATAAATATTATTTATAATTGAATGGCTCAATGTAATCGGACAAGTCGCTACACGTTCACACGCGCGCAACTTTAATCACCGACACGCAGCGTGTAAAATTTCTCAGTGTAATCGAAGCTTTATTATTAATTATTATGCATCAAAACTTTATGCCCCCCGCTTAAAAAATATTCCAACAATGGGTCCAGGGGAAAAATAGTCCCGTTGTCCCTCCCCCCCTTTGAATGGCCCTGCATTGAATATAAAAAATAAAAATTATTACAATAAATTTATAATATAATATGCTTAAAAAAAAAACGTTTTAAAGGTATAAAACATTATATGTTTTTAAATGTTGTACTGATACTATTATATTTTAATTTTATTATTTGTTATATTAAAAAAGATAGTTCAGATTTATATCAAGATTATATATATTATATATTATTATATTATATATTAGATCTATTGCCAGTGATATTTTTATGTCATATAAAAATGCACGCATATGTAAATATAAGCTGCTACAACCTACTAGTAGGTTCATTCTCGTCTTCATTCAGTGGCTAAAAAATATCAGGAAATAATTGCAAATTTTTAAATTTTCCATTTTTTTAAAAAAAATATTTTAAACTGCATGTACAAGTTATTATAAAATACAATTTTTTTTCCTTTATGAGCTTTAATAAACATTAGGGAAGGGGCTATAACCTCCTAGCCACCCCTTGGCTACAACACTACTAACTAATAATTACACCCGAAATGTATTGAACAACATTTTTTCTTTGGTTATACGTCCATGAAAATTAAAATTATAAATTATTGAAAATTATTAAATATTATTTGTATATCAAAGAACAAACTAAAAATTTAAAATTAAATTTAGGGACCAGATTCTAATGCAAATTAATTACTTTGATCATTTTTTATGGGTACCCTTTCAAATAAATGTGGTTTAATCATTTATAGCTATTAAACAATGTAATTTCGTGGATACAGATTTCGCCGAACGTTATGACAGATTATTCTAAATCAAAGTTATTAAATAAATATACATATATACTCATTGAATATTTTTAATGTAAATAAGGAATGTATAATTAACTGGCTGACTGCAAAGCAATCACAATAAAATCAAAGATTTATTTAATAAATAAATTATTAACGCATACAAAATATCATATATATTTTTTGTAGATAATTACTTCCTCTATAATTTTTGTTTGAAACTTTTTATCGTACAACCAACAATAAGCAAGATATAAAAAAAGGCTATTTTCGTGATCTTTGACTTCGAATAACCTTAGATGCGCACTTTGAGGTCGACTTTTTACACTTTATGACGATGTTATTTATAACATGTACACCAAAATTCAGCTTGGTGAGATTTTTTCCGTACAGAATCCTAATTTTCGTCTTATTTGTCTTGGCTACAAAGAAACAACTACTAAAATAAAATCATAATATTTATTAATCTAACAATTTCTTGTCGTTATCAGGAGAGTCAACTAACACGATCAATTTACCGGCCCGTGAGCATCTATAATATTTACATTTATAAAATAATGATGTTTCATACTAATTGATATATATTTTCATTTTATTTAACATTTTAGGTTCAAATATGGATAAAGGATTTCTTAGTAAGTTCATTCAATTTACTAAATGTAAAATCATTAAATGTGAACTATTAAATAGTTTAATCGTCAATTTTAACTTCACAATATGTTGTCTATCAACTAATAATTATATACTATTAAAAAATTTTAAAAACTTTATGACTCTACATACAAATAGACTGTTCATATTTTCAGGTTGCTTCCATTCATTACAAGAAATTATTGGATGTAAGTATTTTATACAAAAACTTATTCAGGGATATTTATTTTTCATTAATACATTTTTATCATAAATTATACCACATTCAAATATTGAGAGTGTTTCATAAATTATCTGGTAGTTACAAGTAAACAATTGTTATTTTGTTGTTAACTTAAAATACAATAGTTTTTATAAAAAAATAAATAAACGTCTTGCTTTATTCAGTTCAAACTGGGCGTGAGCGTTTGAATACGAATATTCTAATTCACTGTACATTTTATTTTTTAATAAAAAAAAAGACCCTCAATTAGTATGAATATAAAAATTATAATTTTCAATGGTTAATATTCCATAGATAATGAATAAAAATTATATGATCCATATTCTATTTCTAATCGATAAACAGTGTTTATTCTCAAATTAAATATAAAACCTTTAGGCTTTTGGTAAAAAATACTTATTACTAATTATAAACTTTTTAAATTTTAAATTATGTGCATCAATATAGCGTTTTTAATACGTAAGTATAATTTTAAATATTAAATAAACAAACTTAATGAATTTATTGAAAGTAATTATATAAAATCAAAAAGATTTAAAAACATTTTTGAATTATTTAGTCGTTCTTACGAATTTTTAATATTTTTAATATTTGTATGTTAGCATAACTTTTGTAACACTATTGTCATTATCATATGATATAAAAAATAATTTTTCAACATTGTTTTAAGTTATTTATAATACAGGATATAACAACATAATATTACTCAATTTTATATCATTGAAGTCTCATGTGTCCAAATCCTAATATAATTTGTCATTTTCGATCGAAAACGTTTATTTCATATAATTAGCAATAATTGTCTATTATAAAACCATTTGAAATTTTTTAATACTTTTTTTTTATTTTTTATTTTTGTTTTATGACAATATGTAATGTGTTATGTGTAGGGTTCGGATTTTAAAGTATAATAAATAACAAAAAAAGTACAAAATAGTCTTAAAAAAACAAAAATGAAGCATATTTATTTTTAAAAAAAAAAACAAAAAAAAAAAAGCATGACCAAAAATTAAAATGAATTATATAACTAAATAAAAAGTAATAATTAACTGCTATGTATTTTGTAAGATTTGCAGTAGTGAAACTGTCTCTGTTATCTTTTCTGCATCTAAGACAATATTTATATATTTTGTCATTGATCTGTCTGCAGATCGATAATCTATACGTTAAATAAATGTAATAATCAAGCCGAAAACAATAAAATCCAATACAACTATTTAGTCCATATTTCGGGTTTTCAAATTACTTAATAATTAAAAACAATTTTTTTTTATTGCTTTTAGTATAATAAACATATAATAATTTAACAGCTGAAATAACTGAAAAAGCAATAAAAAAGCAAAAAAAAAGCATTTTCAAAAAAAAAAACTCCAAAAAAAAGCAAAAATTAATTGGTTTATTGGAAAACCGAAAAACATGTAACGAATTTATATTTAAAAATTAAAGTTCTATCTCATATATAAAAAACGAAGCATTTGCTTTAAAATCCGAAACCTAGCTATGTGTAATAGTTTTCAATTTTTGATTATTGAAATATATTAAAAGTAATGAATATCATTTTTAGAGAAATACAGTAAAGTGGAAGAATACTGTTTGAAAGAATGTATGTAAATGTAAGAATTGAATTTATTGATTCCAAGTTATGTTTATTATGTTATTATTATTATTATTATTATTTTATTTTATTATGTTTAATAAAATATAATTCAAATAATTTTATTAATTTTTTCTTAAAAACAATAACTCACAATAACTATGATAAAAGCAAACGGAATAAAATTATATTCAAATGTTTCATATTATTATCAAATTTGATGAAATTATAATTAATTAATTATTATTATTAACTTTTTCTTTAATTATTACTATCCATTGTTAATTAATTTCTTCAAAATATCAAATGCATTATATTGTATTGTATAAATAAAACTGTTTAATTCCATTTGAATATTTTACTGCCAATCTTTCCCTCTCTCATATAATGTTTTAATTAAATGAAACATTCAATACTTATAAAAAAACACCAACTGAATGACTCGTCGTTGCCGGGTTTAAGTTTAAGTATATATTTATTGTTGTTATTCGGCAAAATAAAATATCATATAAACTATATAAATAAAATTTAATTAAGATTATTGAAATAATATTTTATATAAATATATATTAATTAGTTAGTAAGTTAATAATTATCATTACCTATTCTATTAATTATAGATTTTGGCCGCGGCTTCGTTTGCGATACATTTTAGCAGTGAAGGTTTAAAATATAAATCTTACTTATACAAATATGATTTACAAAACTTCTTTGTAGACAATATTCTTCATTAATATTAATAGTGGCCAAAATCACCAAGCTGCTGAGCAAGCTTAAGCGTGAGTAAGCTACTTAGGATTGCCCATATGAAAAACGTTTTCTCTCAAGTCTATTACTCACTAATTGTAGAGTTTGGCCTTAACCTAGCCCTAGTTTAACCATTGATGGACTGACACAATTAAAAAAAATATATATATAATAGTGAAACAAAGCATTACTCTCTTCATTTAATCAGATCTTAGAAGTTCAATCTTAAATTTATGTATTAGGATATACAATTATCCTATAATTTCATTCGTGTGCAAGATAAATAATTTATTTTAGAAAAATGCAAAATTAAAAATAGAACAAAATATATAAATAGAATAAATGTTACAATAATAGGTTAACTATAAATTCTATATTACACTTATTTATGTTTGACTTTATTTAATTAATGTTTATTTATGTTCAATGTTTGACATGAATGAGTCACGAGTAATTATATTACAGTCCGATAATAAATAATATATTACAATAGTACACGATAATCACATCATAAATATACGCCCACGTGTGTAGTTAGTATGATATAAATAAATTACATTTGATATCGTAACAATAATCTTTCGAATAAAAATCATGGTGTTACGGTCATAACACATGCATTTTTATCAATTGCCGCATTTGGGATATTTCCATGAACCAACCAATGGGAAGGACTCAAAGTTTGAAAGCGTTTAAGTTTTTTTCTAAAAATGGAAATCCATATAATTCCAATGACAGAACACAGAATCGTCTCTATGTAATAGCCGTCTATTGTTACGTCGCAATCATCTTCATTCGCTGCGTTTATCTAAGTAAATTTAATAAGCATAAATATTATCTTCCAATGTATATGTTGAAAAAGAATGATTAAAAAATATAATTAAAAATAAATCACTATTAATAAAAATACATCGTAATCAGTTGAAAAATAAATCCTTCACACACCAATATGCTAAACTTGATCCTGATACAGTACACCAAATTGCAATAAGTATAATTTATTTCGATATATTAATTTGAAATAATTGAACCATCATGACAGTATGTAATAGTAACATTTATGTCTCCTCGTTAATAAATTATGAATACTATATATTTATTTCAACAAGCGATAATATTTATAACATACATTTTATGTGTAACTAGTGAATTTATGATCAAGTTGGGTCATTAAAAAAAAATATGCAATAAGTATTGTATATCACATCAACCAAGAAATCTAAATCGACAAGCCGTTTGATGGAATCAAATCCATCATACGTTTCCATTAACTATAAATCATATTTGATGATTTTATTTCAAAATTTCGTGAAACATTTTTTTCTCTTACTTCATTCTGTCTTCAGTACATTTTATTAATTGTTACGAGTAGTAGCAAAACCCATAACACTCTTTGCTCTGGTTTTCTCACTTTTTCAGCTCTACGGTATCACCACATGGATACAGTGTTTCTTTAAAGTTATTTCACATACTGACGGAAACGTTTTACATAGTTCAATTCACTGATTTATTTCGTAACGTTATAAAAACTAATAAAATGGCAGTCTCGCTTGTATTCTCTCAACCATACAATTATTCGCATTTTATTCATATCAATTGTTATACAATTCTTACGTTCCGGTGTTCTGGTGGACATTTTTTGATCGTTAGAAAATTAATCAATCCAAATGCTGCTGTGGCTGTCCATTTGATTCCAAAATTTGAAAGTGTATTCAACAGCGTCATGTAAGTTCCGCCAAACCGAGGGTCGCTTATCCGATTGAAAAACGATAACATAGCTACAAACATGATGTACATAAAGATCTAAAAACATATATATACACGATTCGTTAAATTTTTATAATCATTCCTATAATTGATTTGATTGTATATTAATTTTTAAATATTATTTACAATTATATAGTACAATTACATTTTATGGCTCTACATTTTTTTTAAATTATGGAAAATCAATTTTTTTACTGCAAAAAATTAAAAATAATAATATTACAATTTAAATATAAATAACATACTTGATGTAAAAATGTTAGTATGACAAAAATCACGTAGTAATAAATCGGAATATTTATAACTCCGTCTTTATAAATCATTGCTGGAGTAAAATAAACAAATACAGGAAATGCCAAATTCAATAACAATCTAAAATTGCGTAAAATCAAAAATATTTTATTTATATTAAGATCGTTTGTAAATATATATATTTTTTTTATAATAAAAATATATGTTTAAATGATATTGTCTATTCAATTTCAATGTATTAACATATGTGTTGACAATTTAACCAATTAATATCATATAAATTATTTGATTTATTTACCTGTATGGTATTAATTTTATATATACACTTATCGGTTTTGGACCTGATGTGTATTTTGCCACAATTAATGGAACAAACAAATTTATTCCAGGAACCACTGACTGTATAACTGTAATATCATCTTTAGATAAACCTGCATCCATAAGTTTGAAATTCGCTACAGAATCTGTTGCAGCAAATCCGATCTTTTGTGCACAACAAAAAAAAAAAAAAAAGGTTATATTATAATAAAAAATACAAAATTAGTACAAAAATAGTTTCCATTCTGGAATTCTCGATAAATCTAGGTTTTAAATATTATTGAGCAATGGGTCCAGATTGACAAAACTCAGAGCAGATTTCATTTTTGGAACGAATATGCTCTCAGTGTCTCAAATATTTCCTATTTACGATTCCTTCCATACTTTTTAGTCAGATGCGTACATTAGTTTTCCAACTATTTTTATGTATTTTTTGGCATATTTTAATTTCTAATTATTTTTTTATGATATATTTTTTGTAATACGTTTTAAAACTGGTTGCGAATCGTCAGCACAATACTAAAGACATGGAGATATCCGATAGAAATTGTAAAAAATATAATTTATTTATATAAATAAAATTTTATAAACCATGAAATTTATCAAAATAAATTTATAAAAAGTATAAAGTATGAATCTCAAAAAAACAATTTTATTTCATTTTACTTGTATTTTACCTTTACAGTTAATAATGCTGCCGCCAATATTTGAACATTGCGTAGTTTGAAAATATTCCACAATAGTAAATAGTTTTGAACAATATTAACTTCTAAATAATCATCGTCTAAGGTGCTATCTTTTTCTTTTTTGAATATGGCAATCGACATAGTTAACAAAATAAATGTAATGCCCCAACCAAATAGCAAGTCTGTGTACATAAAAGAAGGACATTGAAATCTAAAATATGTTTTTGAAATTTTTTTCCAAGGAAATTCAAATACATTATTTATATAAAGTGAAAATACTAATCTAAACCTAAACGATTTTATAATTTTATCAGAATGTTTAATATTTGATTAAATATATATATTTTATTTAAATGATCATTGAGCCTACATTTAAATACAACCATTTGGAAATTAAGTACAGTCAGTGAAAGAAAATTACAGTATTATGTACATCAAAAATTTATTTGTAAAAATTTATTAAACATGAGACCCGGGGTGGATTGGCCTATCGGGAAATCGGGAATCTTCCTGATGGGCCGGTTCTTATTTGGGTTGCTCTATATTATTATATAATAACCAAAAACAAAGTTTTATTTTTTAAAATAAATAAAAATCATTAAAAAAATAAATATATATTTAAAGATAAATTAAGATCAAACTTCAAGTTCAAGTTGGAACTGATTAATCATGTGACTTACCCAAAACTGTTATAGCTATAATTATAGTAAAGTTATTGTTGATTTTACTAATTTAGGGGTGAAACTAAACAAATTTTGAAATTAATGCAAAATATGGCATTTTTTTGGGAGGGAAGGGGTAAAATAGTTTAATTTGTGGTCCATGGGCCGGTTTGTTTCATATTTCCTGAGCCGGAAATAATTGCCCATCCACCCCTGCATGAGACATATAAAAAGTGCATAGTATTCATTCTCAGAAGAAAACAATGAAAATTAATAATGTGTAATCTTACTTTTATGACAATATGAAATGTGGAATACTTTTTTTTAAAAAAAAAAAAAAGTAATACGTGTTATTCACTAGTAATGTTTTAAAATTGATAGGTTTAACTTATTCTTCTTGCGTTAGTAATGAAATGTAGGTACTGTATCAAGCTATTCTAAATAATGAATAATAAATGAAAATATTTTATTCTAATACAAATATCAAATTTTTATTACATTATTTTTAATTTATGACACTATTATTGGCCGTAAAAGGATTTCAAATGACAGAAATCTACAAAAAATAAATAGAACAGGATCATAGTTTAGTGAACTGTAGTTAAAAGCAATTTGCTTATAATGCATATTTTTGCATCACAGCTTAATGTGAATAACAAAATGTTGATTTTATAGAAATTTGAAACAATAAAATGGCTGTTTTGAGTGAAGCCAGAAATGATATAGATGTGTAAACCTCTACCAAAGAAGAATATTATTGAATTTGATAATCGATTGAACTAAAGTCCAACCAATGAAATTCATATTATTAATTTATGAATTTAAATTGAGAATTAAAATGCTGGGTACTTTCATAAAAATTGGAAGTTTATCGACTATTTTTATCATTATTATTATTATTTATTAAACGATTTATGTATTATATTGATGTTTCTTTTACTCGTGTGTTATATCAAGATAATTCATGTGATGGTAAAACCCACGCTGAAGAATATGAGCTAAAAAAAAAAATGTGCCTCCTAAAATCCAACTGTTTATTTGCTGTAACTTACTCTGGAATGACACTATTCCTTCCGTGGCAGGTGAAGATCGTAGAAATGTATTACAAAATTCTTTTGACGTGAACAAAACTGTTATGTAGTTACCCAATAGCATGCCTAACGCTTGTCCCGTCGAATTGCAAGTCGATGCATAGCCTACATTGTTTCTGTACGAAATCAAAGTGCGTTGTTGTAAGACATATGTTATTTCATTAAAATAGGTACATTGTATTTGCGCATAGTATGCGTACGCACACACATACACACACACAAATTACAATACCGACTTTTTCAGCATCGTCAAGGCCCAACCATCAACAGCTACGTCTTGTGTGGCGGACAGAAAGCTTAGTGCACCGAACACCACAATCAGTGCAACAATATTTGGTTTCCCAGTTTCTGGCAGAAATATGTCGATGACGGTAGCCGCGTAAAGTAAAATAATCCCTATTCAACATTAGAAACATCGAATGTTTACACATACAAGCAAATATAAAATAGATTTCCAAATGCAAGACCGAATATTCGTTCACCGTCTTATGTAACCACAATTTACACGGAGAAAATATTTTTTTTTTTTAATAGTTCATAATCACACTGTGAAATCAATAATTGGTAATAACAATTGATTTGAGAACATTTTCCCGGGTGATCTACACTAAATATACAGAAAAGTAAATTTAACTTCCGGTAGTAAAGTAAGCAGGGACGCGCGATCGATATTTACGAGTAAAGTGCACGATTGATGCTTTTGGTGTAAAAATGATTTCCCCTAGATCACTTCAAAGGAATTAATGTTCAATAAAATGGGTGCTATTTTCATCGGAGCAACGTGCTTTGTACGTACCGATTAAAATTTGAGTTGGTATAAGCCAAGACTTTCGCCTTCCAAGTTTTTGTATAAAAAATGCGTCTACCAACGGAGCCCACAACAGTTTTATGCTAAATGGATATCCTGAAAAACTGTATAGAGCCTGAAACGAAACACAAAATATGTATTGAATACAATGATAGAGCACGGCGTATTCTAAGTAGACCGTAAAATCGTCCAACATTTTAATAATGAGTTTTAGCGATACCTGTTCGTAGTACGTGCCACCGGACCTGCTTTTCAACAATATCGGTATAGCTGATATTAAGCCTAAACACAAGCCTTGCATCGCGTACATCAATATCAACAGAAAAAAGTTCGGCCAGTCACCGTCCAGATTTGTATCGGTGAGTGCCACATTCTCGGTTATGGATGTTTTCGTTTTATCCACTTGTTTCGATGATATCATGATGGATATTAAGTACGTATTCAATTCGATTGTGGTTGAATAAACAACCGCAACGCCGAAATAGCGTAATTGTACTAGTCCGATTTTTTTGAAAACGAATTAATGCGTGTGACGATTATAATTTCTTATCAAATAATTTTAACTAATTAAATCATTGTGGTACGCTTATAGTTTACTAAGCCTTCGACTACAATTAACACGACTCCCAACAATAATTAAGCAGTGATACAGTTCGGTTTGACATAAAATAACGTAAAATTAGATATTAACCGTTGATTTATCGTATATTATACTTAGTCTAATGTGGGTAACCACAAACCATACAATAAATAAATAAGTGTCTAAACTCACGTCATATTATGATAACAATTTGTCTGATTTTTAAAAATAAAAAATTAATTACTTCGGTTATTGTTATAATGTTTAACTATTTCAAATTATATGTTTATCTGAATTGTACGAGTATTTTATTTTTAAAGTTATAATATTTTATGTTTTTTTATACCAATGGAATTGGCTTTATCATTATTTCTGAATCAATAAATAAAATAATTTTTATACGTGTAAATATATCGGTTTGTATTGAAAAATAATAACTCTCGGTTTCACTGTTTCCATGAGTAGATAACCTTTCAAATAAATTTTCTGCAGACACTTGTAGTGAGTGATTTGTTATGGTCAAAGGTTTCCCAGAACATTTTAAATTAATCTAAATTGAATAAGTATAAATTGATAAATACATAACATCATACAATATAGTTAATTACTAATTTTTAATTTTTAGCTAACTTCGAACAATGTTATTGAACCTGGTTTTAAGTGAAATTGTATAACTGATAATTATACTGTAAATTATGTAACTATTACTTGAACGTATAGATACCTATAAATATATATAGTATAAATAGATACCTGATTCTATAGATAAATGTAAATTGCTCAAAATACCCTATTTATACTTGTATTCAATATGTACCTTACAATTAATCCTACAGTGCGGTTTTACCTTCGAAAGGTGCGTTAGCAGTGCCGTGTCATGGTATGCCGCGGGAGGGAATACTGCGAAGATCAAAGTGCACTGCAGGGACGATTGTATACTCCGCCAGAATATCGGGTTAGATAAAAAGGTAGTAAAAGATCTAATGTAAACTCCGTCAGTTTTTTTTTTTCTTACTTGTAATGGGTATATGTAAATCTCCGCTAGTTTTTTTTGTATTTTGCCTGTGAATCCTTTTACAGTCGTCTAAAAAATTCATTTTATAAAAGTCAACCGAATGTTCAAATGTTTAGTAAAATTCTTACCGAATTTAAAAACCTTTAAAAAATTTTAAACCCATACTTATATAAAACTAAATGGCATATCTCTAGTAAATAAACTAAAGAATTCGAAAAAAAAATGACTGTTACAGAATGCTATAAATAGGTTATAAACACTAATAGAATAATACTATACATAAAATATTTACAAATTGTATCACATAATTTTAGTTTACATACATGATATAACTATATATTTTTGGATTATTAGGTATAACGTTATTTTAGTTTTTATTTTTTTTTTTTACTGTAATTAAAATATTTAGTGTGGATGATTTTTAATTATTATTATGAAAAATATGATTTTATATTATTAGATATAATGATTATTTATTAAAATTTAAGTATTTAATGTGAACGATATGATATTATATTATATTATAATTTTTTTTTAATAATTATACTACTACTTGATTTTCTTCACTGGCGGAGTTTATATAAACTCAATTTTACCTGATTTTTTTTAGTGGTGAAGTTTATATGAACCAAATGCTACCTGTTTATTTTTTCTGGCGGAGTTTACAATAAAAAAAGGTACTTATTGCGGAGTTGACATGCACCCTAAAAACTGTAGCCTCAATATTGTAGGCTTGGAAGCCCTAAGGACTATCCTAAGCATACTGCGTGTATAAAATAATCGTTTACGAAAAATTACCACTATTAATATTCCTAGATTTCTTTTTACGGGAAATGGTTCTGTCTAAATCTTATGTAAGCAGGGTCAGCGTGAGGGTAAGGTGACTCAAGCGGTCGCCTAGAGCGCCATTTTTAGGGGGGTGCCAAAATTTTTTTTTACAATTAAGCACATAATGTCAGCAATATTATTTTTTTTAATGTAAAATACCTATAACTTTGTATTGAAATATTGATAATAATTATGGATATTTCGTTTAGCCAAATATTAAAATAATATAAGTATATTTTAAGTATATTTATTATGGTTTAGCGTAGAATGTTTTATCCTATATGTTACAATAATTCCCAAATATTTGTTATCGTTCAATTGGTATCGCGTCGAGTCGTCGTGACTCGTGACTAAAAAATTAGACGCTAACAAATAATATACAAGTTGAGCATAATATATAATTTTTCTGTATTTCTGTTCACGAACAATTTTTTTTTTCTAAGTATAATGATATTACGGGTTGTTGTAAGAAAAAAGCGCCTGTTGGCAATTTGGCCTCGGGCGTCATTTAGCCTTACGCCGGCCCTGTATGTAAGATTTTGGTTGTAAGAATGGATAAATCCTTTTTGCTGTAACTAATTCACAAATGCCAGCACAGACTGAATGAACTGACACAATGGAATATAAAATATAACTCTATTACAAGCTGTGCAACGTCCCCGTATAGCAATGACGATCGGGTGCACCTAGTTTGCGAACAATTACTTAAATTACAACTCGTTTGCGCAAATGTTTACAACTCGTTTACAACGCACTGAATATTTCTAGTGCAACCACTCGTTTGCGCACAGATTATTTCTAAAGTAACCACTCGCTTGCGCACACATTTCCTTTCCCACTTTTACAGACTTAGGACTGTCAGTGAATATTTTAACTTCACTGGTGTGATTAAAAATGTGTTTTTTGTGTATTATATTGTGTGGTATATGTTACAAATAATTCGAATTTTTAATACAGCCTCGTTAACGGTATTTGGGAGTTTCGGAAAATGTTATTTTCTTGTTGCATACATTGAATTTCGTAACAAATGAATGTCACCATGATTTAAATTTAAATCGGATTTTAATAATAATTCTTGTCTAATAATTTTACTTGGTTGTGTATGCATATCTTCAACGGCCTTTCTCTTAACAGAACTTCGAATAATATCTTTATGTACTTCGTTCTGAGAATATTCGCTGTGATTATGTTCGTTTTTATAATTAATAATAATTGTACTCTGACTATTAAACGTAGCCACTGATTTACATTTTTTATTGATACACCGGAATAAAAAATTACCACATTTTAATTCTCTGTATTTCGAAAATTTAAAATTGTTTATAGACACACACATTTTGTCGCGACGCATGTAGTATATACAGTGAAACCTCTGAATAGCGGACACTCTCGGTCTCCGAAATTTTGTCCGCTATTTAGAGGAAAATATTTTTTTTAAAAAATAAATAAATTCATTAATTTTATTTTATATTACTTTTACATTAATTAAATACACGATAAAACTAACATTTATGAAAAAAAACCAGTTACCTAAATTTTTATTTTATTTTTACATTAATTAAATATGAAAACTAAAAAAATAAAAACTAATAAAAATAAAAAAAATCGTAACAATTTACGTAACAATTGCGTACGATATAATTTCTTAAACTGATGAATTACTCCTTGGTCAAGCGGTTGGCAATGAGAAGTCATGTTAGGTGGAAAAAACACAAGTTCAATATTTTTCATTTTTAAATGTGGATGAGGAGCCGCGTTGTCTAAAAAGAGTAAAACTTTTCTTTTATTTTGACCCATTCTGTTATCAAATTTCATTAGCCACTCAGTCATTATTTCAATCGTCATCCAGGCTTTTTTGTTCCAAAACCAATTGACGGGAAAGTTGTTAATATCCAATTTTTTGAAGGCTCGTGGACGTTTAGCTTTGCCTATGACGAGTGGCCGTTCAAACTCACCTAACATGTTAGTACACAAGAGTACAGTTAAACGTTCTTTTGAAATGTTTCCTCCAGTACATATCTCATTTTTAAACGCCATAGTTTTATCAGGTAGAACTCTATAAAACAATCCCGTTTCATCTGCATTAAAAATATCGCATTCTGCGTAGTTTGCTATAATTTCGGGTATTTTTACTTTCCAGTTATCAATGGCTTCTTCATCAACACTTGCTGCTTCACCACAAACTGATTTAAAAGAAATATTATTTCTTTTCCGAAATTTTTCAAGCCAGCCATTAGAGCCTTTAAAATCAAATCCGTGCATTTCAGCGATTTGCTTACTTTTTTCTTGAAGCATCGGTCCTGAAACAGGAAGATTTTTTTCTCGTAATTTTGAAAACCAGTTTAATACTTCATTGTTGATTATAGAGGTTTCTGTTTTTTGTAGCTTTGTCCATTTCCGTTTCTCTTCTCCATTTTCAGCCCAAGTTTTGTAAAGAGCGTCTTTATTTGCTATAATATCAGCAATTTGTGTTTTACTAACACTAAATTTGTCTGCTAATGCACGAACGCCCATTGTATTTGATGTTCGAAATTCCAGAATGTCTATTTTTTCTTTTAAAGTTAATCGTTTTCTTTTGCAAGCCATAGCGCACTACAATAAAGTTTGTATAAACAATACGTTAAATAAATAAATTCGCACTACAATAAACGTTGGCACCACAAACACAACTAAATGCACAAAGGACAATGCATTAGTTACAATACTTCGTTGACGCGATAATAATTCAATTACTGAACAGATAAGATTTTCATGTACAGTATAATAATGTACACATAAGATAACGTTTTTATTCAGGTATTCTAAAATAATTTTTAATTTAAGATAAAAATAACTAATATCAATGTCATAAAAGTGTCCGTTATTTAGAGTGTCCTGTATTTAGAGGTTTTCCTATATAAAAGTGGTGAAAATGTACCCGTCCCCGAAAAAACGTCCGCTATTTAGAGGTGTCCGTTAAGGGAGGTTTCACTGTATTAGATATTTCATATTTCATGTTCGCTGTACGAGAGAAATGTCCAAACTAAAGTTGAAAAATTACGAAAATGTATATCAATACCAACAGTACCTACTAGTTATTTCATGGGTAATAAATATTGATAAAGTTTATCGAAGTATAACGAGCTGTCAAAATTATGGATAAATCCGTTATTTTTAACAAAACCATTGTATTTTTATTTTATTTCGAAACCTTCAAAGTGGTTATTGGTTATTAATAAAATATGTCTACAAAATGTTGTGCGCTATCGAGTTGTTCCTTCTATAATATGTTGTGCGCAAACGAGTGGTACCTTCTACAATAATTTGTGCGCAAACGAGTTCCAGGTTTTAACTGAACAATTTTAAAATGTGCGCAAACTAGTTGTAGCCATGACGATCGCCACATGACGGACTCATATCATATGGATATGGAATGGTCGCTAACCCATGGCCGAGGTGCATGACCGGAGCACATGCGATTTTTGTCATAAGGAATAAGGAATAATGTCATAAGGAATTATAAATAAAATATTAAAATAAACACATGCATAGGTTAATAAAATGTTGTTTATTAATCATGGTCATTTTTTTAAATTGCAAAAACAAAGAAAACGTTCCGTGATCGCCGGCCCAGAAATATTAAATATATACATTACCACGTGTGCGATATTCGCACACATTTTTTCCTGTAAAATTGTGCCCCAGCGACGACTTACGTCGCGGGTATGATGATGGTTATCTACTCCATGGCCGGTCCTGATGACATTTTCTTAAAAAAATCGAGTCATTTAATGGAAAAAAAAACAATATAGCTTATTAAAATAACCGACGTTTGTTCGCGATCAGTTACTAACACCGAATCAGTCGGTCTCTTCAGTCATCAATCGCTCTCAAGCTTTTACCGTTTTATCTCAATAAGCAGAAGGCGAGGGGTGGTGGTCCCGACGATAACGACTATATGCACCGGTCTGCGTCCCGATACGGCCTAGTACACATACAGCGGGCTAGCCATGTTCTGTAAAGTTACAGCTGTACAATATTGTTTGTAAATTTTTAACAGAATTAGTTTAAATCATAGCTATATTATGTTATTATTTGATATGCATACGAATTACAATAGTTTAATTATAAAATTTTAATATTTATTTTCCGCTAAAAAAATGAAATGTATGGTAAGTTAAATAAATAGTTTATAAATATACTTACAATTTACATACATATCCCATTTATTTTTTTCCGTTGTCTTGTCGATGATAATCATTATATTTGTTTTCACGAAAAAATAATGTACAGTCGAGTCGCGATAACTTGAAGTTGAAGGGAGATAAAATTTCATTTCGAGATATGTATTATTCGAGATATCTAACTAATTTATAGGGGAAGAATTTGCTGGGGGAATAAAACACAATTCGAGTTGTTAAGTTTTTCGAGTTATCGTGACTCGACTGTATTACCATTGATTATAAATATTAGTACAATAATATTATACTATAATAAATACAATACTACTATATTATCCGGAAAGTTTTCTACGATTTTATGTATATAAAATTCAGATACTTAGCCAAAATACGGATATAATTGCATACATAATTTGCAGATTTCAAGTCGCTGAAGATCAGATTGTTAGATTTTGATACTACAAAATCTTGAATAGAAAAATCGACTGCCTTGAACTATAAAAAATTGGAATTATAGAATCATCACTCTTGAAAAAATCCTTTTTTTACTATACCTCAGTCAATCAAAAATTATTTCATTAATAGTACGGTGTGTCGCCTACTAACGATATGCAATCAGATAAATAGTTTCAATTATTTTTTCAATTCTTGAACTACGTTAAATTTATGTTTTTATAAACTAAATAATTAAATAATTTTATCTGATAATAACTATAGTATAGTACAGTAGTATAGTAGTATAGTACAATTGCATTCATCAATGTTTAATACAAATATTTATTATACTTTTAATCTTTGGAACCTTGTTATTTATTGATTTCAACAATAAATAATCTATTAAATAACTAAATTAAACGTGTGTGTTAGAATATAAATTTCCTGAACTCAATATGAATTTTATATGAAAAATACGCATAATCAACTTTAATAAATATAAACCATTCAATATATTCTTACTATTATTAATTGTTATAATATTCAATGTTCACTATTCCACAAATGATCAATAAAAAAATATACGATATTTATTTCATTTCAAAATGATAAGCATTGATAAACATCACAAATTAAATGTATCTTCATTACGTCTTCAATCATTTGATTAATTTGCAAAAGATCTTCGTGCATCTATATTGTTACTCAATTTTTGAAACTTCTAATAGCTATTCTTCTCCATGTCTATTTTAATTTGCTTCATATACTCGATCCTTGAAAGGATTTTTAAATTTTTTTAACTATTTTTATTTTTTTATTTACCTAAACTGGTTAAGGGATGAGAATATGAATTATAGCATGAAAATTGGAAAAAAGAGCATATGTACGGAGGTATTTCCACCGGGATAAAATAATGGACATTTCTGTATTACACAAATTAGAATATGAAATGTGTGTTTGACATTTTAAATTTTAGAATATATATTGCCCATTGTTTTTTATTGAATGTAAGTATTTATTTAAGTTATGTAAAATACACAACAAAATACGAATTAAAAGTGATTATAAATGTAGAAGTCATAACTGAAGGATTAATGTATTAAAATTGTTCAATTTTTAACTTGAATAAATTATAAATAATACGTTCTGGCCAAATAATAAATAATATATTACAATTCAACACAACACATTTTCTAAATTAAAAGTAGGTATATGTAAATACATGGTTCAATACTATATATACTTTACCTCTAATATCGTCCCAATAATCCTTTGGTTATTTCATCATCAAATGAGCTTTATAGAGCATCTTCTTTGTCATCTGCTATAACTGGGGATTTTCTGTGGACTGACCAATGAGAAGGACTCAAAGTTTGAAAGCTTTTAAATTTTTTTCTAAAAATACTAATCCATATGATTCCAATAATAGTACATAAAACCTCTTCAACGTAATAGCCGTCTACTATTATAGTGCAATCTTCATTTGTTGGATTTATCTAAATACATTTAATTATAGGTCATACATTCAAATTTGCATTTAAAAAAAAAAGTGAAAATTATATGATTTAAAAATAAATTAATTTAATTAAATAATCATAAATGTTGAATATAAATCAACTACATAATTTATCTCATGGTATAATAAACATTAACGAAGATTCACCCACTTATCTTCATTTAATTAACAAATTATTTACTTCTTATTGATTTGTATTTCACCTTGCTTTATTATTCTTATTTTTTTAACTTACCATTTTGATTACAACCATTTGAATGAAAAGTTTAAAATAAAACTTATATATTATTTATGAGTTTATCTAAATTCTTACATGAAACTACTGTAATATAGTATAGTAAAAATTAGTTCATTCCACAAAATATAATCATAGCAATATTAAAATACTACGTATATTGAACAGATAGAAAGTAGATTAATTGAAATAACATGAAATAGTTAATTTATATAATCAATTGATTAGTCAAAATTGGTAAACAAATCTTACATTCGAATTTTCAACCGAACAATGTTTGAACGTTAGCAAATCAAACAGTCCCAATGCTGCTGTGTTTGACAACATTCCTCCTAAATTTGAAAGTGTATTCAATAAAGTCATGTAGATTCCGCCAAAACGAGGATCACTTATCCGAGAGAAAAATGATAATATAGCTATAAACATGATGTACATTAAAACCTAAAAAAGATAAAATACAATTCGTTAATTTATAAAATCATATACAATATAACTTATTATAGTACCAAGTATTATTTTTAATTTATTTTAATTATGTTGTATTATTAAAAGTACATTTAAATCCTTGAAATGTTTTAAAAATTTCAAAAAATCATTTCTTTAACACAAGTTATTAAAAATGATTAAATTTAACTATAATTAAAACAATAAAAGAAGCCGTATATATTTAAAACATTAGTAACTTACTTGCTGTAATAATGTTAATATAGCTAAAAGCACGTAATAATAAACTGGTATTTCTATAACTCCGTTATTTTTTACTATTTTTTTTGTTACATAAACAAACAAAATAAATGCCAAGTTCAATAATAATCTGAAAATGTACAAAATCAGACGTTTATTTTAATATTCTTAATTCCCTTTTTTACGATAACATCAGTTTTAAAGAACTTTGACTGTTACAATTTCAATTCATTAACATTTATAAAATATAAGAAAAGACAAAATATTTGACATGTTTACCAAAGTATTTAATTTTATATCTTCTATAGAAGCAATTGATCATTCTTAATTATTTCGATCTAAATTCACGAGTATTAATTTTCATAAGATAATAGAAAATTAAATAAATATTAAAAATTAGTTGGTTGTTTATTGTAAATTAATATATAATTAAATAAACAAATAATCTATATATAAAAATAAATAAATTCTTAGCCTGGAGTATTATTATATTTATAAAGTACTGATTTCCAATACAAAATTCATTGTCAGGTGTGTACAAAATCGCCACATAATATGAAAATCTAAGGGAAGCAAATACATTGAGAATAATTGGTCGTTTTACATGAAAATAATTTATTTTAATATAAGTAGAAGAGATTACATAAAATTAGTTTTTATTAGATATATATATATATATATATATATATGTTAAAAATATTAATACTTTAGTTATTATTATTTATTATTATCTAAAGTTAATCAATAAAAGATATTATTTTTAAAATAGGTTTGTACATTTAAAATATTATTAAAATTATTTTTCTTTATTTCATTATGTACGGGTAACTCTTCTAAAACTGAATTTATATAATGTTATATCAGTATTTATTATTTCTAAGTATGTATTTATATCAAAATGTATATTATGGTTATTTTCTAAAACAATGATTAACAAAATTTAAATTAGGGCAGTCTTTTTAATTTTAAGCAAATTTGTATCCATTAATCAGTGCAGTAAAAACCGAGTGTGTAAAGTGTGCATTGCACACAGGCCCCGAGCCTTATACAATGTTATGGAGACTCAAAAGGTCAAAAATATAAAATTATAAGGAGACTCGAGATTTTGATTTTCACACAGTCCTCGAGTGGTTTAATTACGGCACTGTCATTAATATAATATACTAATAATTATTTATTTTTTTCATTAAAAACTATTATTATTTCAAGATTTTCCATTATTATATTATTATTATAAATTTATAATAATAAATACCATCATTGATTATAAATACTATAATACTATGTCCAACCAATGATATTAAATCAATCCGATTGTACGATAAATGTTCGAAGTAAATGCCGCATTTAAACTGATAATATCATGTACAAAATTAATTTCCAACAATAAATAGTTAAGTTAGATTTACAGATAGCTTATCAACAATCCAGGCAATCTACGAGCTTATCACTAAATATGTAGACTTGGGTATATATCATTCTTGTGGACGCAACTCGGATACGTTGTGAAAAAACCGCGGATGCAACTCGGATATGACGACATCTATTTTCGTTTTTAGGAACGCAATTCGTATGCAACCCTTATATCGATACATTTTATATGATAAATAACCAAAGTATTTATACGTCCAAATATGTCTATGTTTAATAAGAACTCATTTTAAATAACTTCTCCTATTCAAATAAATTATTTCTATGTAAAACTTATCTTTCATAATCTTTCGCGATTTTACTGACTTTGTATATACGTGAGAGTATTAATTCGAAACCGGCCGTACATTACAAAAATAATAATACTGCCAGTTTGTATGAAATATGATCTTGAATAGCCGAAACCAAGGAAAAAGAAAAAGAAGGTATATTAACTATTGATTTATTTATTTTACCCATGAGATTTTGATCTAACTCCACTAACTCTTAAAGACATATCCAATAGAACCAACTACTCTAAAATGCATCTTAATAATTAAGATTATTAATTATTACTCTGTAGTCCATTTATTTTTTAATAATTTAACTAATTTAAAATATATTGTACAAACTATAATTCAATAAAACCATTTTCACTCTGAATAACTGAACAATGTTACATTAAATTGTTAACTACCATCAGGCAATTTATAGTATATCTTAATTTGATAAAATAATATTTAATTTAATTAGCAATATTTATTTATTTATTATATATACGTATGTATACAAGAAATCCCTTTTTTTATTGAAATAATTTATAATAGTATATTCAACAAGATATATGATAAACTAAACTTAATAAAATAAACATGAATCAAGAAAATAGACTTGTATACATTAAACAGTAAGTAGTGAGTAAACAATATTAATAAGTAGGGCTGGGATTTTAATGTTCTAAAAATAGCAAAAATGCTCTTAAAAAAAATTAAATAATGCCTTAGAAATTATAAAAAATGCACTAAAAAAAATGTATTAATTATGTTTTAAAAACAATATTATAAAAATCAAATTACCAAGCACATTTAACTATATTTATTCAACAAAATAATAAAATAGGTACCTATTTGTTTAATATTTACATTTTATTTAACTTTAATTCAATTTGACCGTTGTTGATTCTTGCAAATAGAAAAATTTCTTTCCACTATTTTAATTTTGTTCTATATTTGATAAAATATGTACATGGGCTGATATGTTCGTATTTATTAGCTTATCAATTTAATATATGATAACATGCACATTTTGAGCAAATAAACGCCGAAACGCGTAATCAAATATCCTAATATTTAAGAATTATCGGATAAATTTAAAAAAAAATGCTTTAAAAACTTGAAAAATGTTATAAAAACAGCAAAATATGCCCTAAAAATGCGTGTAAGGAAAAATTTGTCATAAAATACAAAAAAATGCAATATAGAAACTACATTAAATTAATCAGTATCATGATACTGCACTTGTTAGTGCACTAGAAACACATTTATTCTTACGGACTTATGTGGAGGGACATTAGAAAAAAAGATGCATGTATCAAAATCCCAGCCCTTTTAATAAGTACATTTAGTAACAACTACGACTTCCGGAAATAAAACTGTGAGCATAGAAATAAGCAGTTATAGGTAAGAATCTAAGAAGTTATGGTCATTATTGGTACTAGTCATTAGACACCTAAGTGGTTCGTATTGTTGGTAATTTGTGATGGCTTTGAAAATATGGAAAGTTGTATTAGAACGTGTAGAACGAGAAAGGATTTTAAAATTTACTCAGGATAGTGAGGTGGAAGAAAAAATTATGTTGAAGATGATTGAAGAACTTAGAACTAAGCATACGTCTACGTTCAGCGAGTGTATGTATCCCAAGTGCTTCAGTAACAGAAGAGTAATTATGTGGTTCATGAGGAATACCTAAAGAGAAGCCAACAAAGTCCGAAAATGTACGTTGTATTCATTCAATTTGGTTTGAACCGGTGGCCGTATAAAAATTTCAGATTACCAATCCATATTCTAAAATGAGTCGAACTAGAACATAATACAGGGATTTAAATGATCTAGAAAGTTTAAAATCTTTAGAAAATCGCATAATAAAACCTAAAATTTTTAGATGATTTAGCGCAAATTATTGAAATATGTTCACTTGGATTCAGGTTACTTGATAATTTGAAGCCCAGATCTAATTTATAATCAAAGACAAGTGCGATGTTAGGATCAGAGAGCTTATATGTCCATAGAATTGGTTTACAAAACCGAAAGAAAGACATGGCATAAAGCAAGATTAAATTTTAGGCCTACATTTTTACACCACCTTGAGAAAGAATCAACATTATTTCGTAGACATAAACAATCGTCACCTGATTATTTTTCCAAATATGTTTTCACATATTATATTATATGTCATCCGCGAATCATACGATTCTAGCAAAAGGCAGAGCATTCTGCACACTATTGGCAAATAAAAATAAAAATATAGGTGATAGGCGACCTTTTAGCGGTACGCCAGAGGGAGACGAAGATATGTTATATAGCATTATTTACTATTTAACATTATTGTTAATGAACTTACATATTATCTTTGGAGAAAAAAACATTTCTTTGGATGATACCCATTTATTTTGAGTTTTAAATTTAAAATTAGCCATTATGATTGTAAGATTTGTTTACCTGTAGGGTATTACTCGTAAATACACACTTATCACTTTTGGACCGGATGTGTATTTCGCTACAATTAGTGGAATTATCATGTGTATTCCAGGCACCACTGAGTGTATAATTGAAATATCATCTTTAGATATACCTGCATCCATAAGTTTAAAACTCGATAAAGAATCTGTTGCAGCAAATCCGATCTTCAATAAAAGACAAAAAAATTATCAATTCGTACGAGTACTTATATTAATATACAAATTGAAAAAAACACAATTATAGCAATGACATTTACTTTTTCTAGAAATGTTTTCGTTAGTTTTCACCGTGTTTTAAAAATGTAATTTTGAAGCAATATAATTTTTCAACCAAAACGTAATAACCATGAAATAAACAGTTTAGTTATTTTATTTACCTTTACTGTTAGTAATGCTATTGCGAGTATTTTAACATTGCGTATTTTTAAAACATTCCACAATAGTGAATAACTTTGGATAATGTTGAGTTCCATAAAGTCATCATCTAAGGTATTATCTTTTTCTTTTTTAAATATGGCAATGAATATTGTTAATAAAATTATTGTAATTCCCACACCATACAGCGAATCTGTGAATATTGAAAAAAAACAATTATAATAAAAAATCTCTTTTTACGATTCGGTAAATACAGTAAAAATAATACATTATTTTAGAACTTTAAATAATTTTGATAGAAACAAAGATAACTTTAATAATTATAAAACTATATTTGGATATATACAGCCTTTAGGTACAGCAATATTAATTAAGATTACTCACTTTTAGCCTTTTGATTCAGTAGTCATATAATTTCTTTGAAATATAAAACGATGATAAATCATCATATTTGTAAAACTATTTTGGAATATGGTCCATCTATTAAACATAGATATTGAATACATTGACGTGCACAAGGGCATAAGCGTGCACACGGGGTAGTCAGGGTAGGTACTTGACTATTCTGTGAAACTTCCCACCCTCACCAAAATATTCAATATGATCACAATAATAAATAAACATATTATTTTCAACCACTTCGAAACATTAGTTAACGTTAAAAAAAATGTAAGAATACTGGAGAAATATAGTTTTTAAGTTAAATGAAGTTACGAATGCAAATTTTTTGTTAATATTAAATGATAATGTATTATGTTTGACTACCCTGCCAGTTATGTCTGCACACGCTTATGCACAAGGGGGATACCAAGTGTGCCTGGGCACCACCGAAATTTTGTAAATGAAGCTCTACGATTGTTTGTGCACCATCGCGACGAGCGTCGAGGATTCGCGAAGACCACCATCGGCACCCCCTCTTTTTTACCCCCATCGGTGACGCGCACCCGGTCGCCCGGGCCGTCGATCGCAGTGGTGTGTGCTGAAAAACTTATTTGTTCGTGCTTGGCCGGCCATTAACTGTCGCGCCTGCGACGCCTTTCTTTCCGTTTGTATTATTTCCTAAGGCCGATTCCTTTTGATACGCGATTGTCGTCTGTCGTGCGTTTGATCCGCGTGTAGTATCAACTCGTCTTTTTTCTAGATATTGTTGACCTCGTGGTCACTTTCGCGGCCTTGTGTCCTTACACCCCGTTTATCGCGTCGGTTGATTGGTTGACAGTGGTATTGTGCCATCACCGTGCACGTGTTTCACGAACTCGCTCTTGTGCGTGTTAGACAGTTCCTCTTCGAGTGCGTTTCCCGTACATCAACCTGTTTTCGGTTCGCGATCACTCTGGTTTCGTTGGCGTCCACGTGGTTTTCACCCGTGGTCTTTTTTACAAGTCGGTTCGTCGTGCGCGTCGCGTACGCCAGTAGTACCAACTTCGTTCCCGACACAAGCCATCCATCGCCACGATTGTTGTCCGTTGCGGTCTGCCGGTTGGTAGCAGTGCTTATTGACGCTGCCATCTAGGAGTCAGTTGTAGCGATTATCAGTTGAACCCTTATCACCACCACCCGATATAAGATTGTTTTTATTTACTTATTGTCTGTAAACCTTAATAATAATAAGTTTGGTTTGTGCCCAAGGGCATATTATTAATTGGTCTATAATTTCTTTGGCCTTTTGTTGTCCTTGAACATCACCATCTCCTCCTTTCACCATATTTCATAATCTTCAGAGCGCACGTTCGCGAGTGTCGCGCGGCCGGCTGGTGATAAATATTTTTCAAAGGCTCCGCGACGGTGCGTTCAAACAACGATTTAAGTCTAAAAGTAAGGAGTCCGTATTTGAACTGATATTTCTCAAACTAAATGTAATTTATTCTAAAATGTTTGTTAAAAAATAAATTATGTTTTATAATAGGGAAAATATATAAAAATATTTAAAATGTCCGTACAAACATTTTTTATTATAATATAACAGCTACAATCGACTACAAAAAAACAAATCGTAAATAATTGAAGCTAATTGAGAAAAATGTACGAGGTTAAAGGAAGACATATTCATGGGATCAATATATCACAATATTAAACAAAAAATTAAAATTATGTTTATTCAATAATTTGAATATTATAATTTATTAAATATACTTACACGTTTTATTAAGATAGGGCCCATAAGTATTACAGGCAACCCTTGAAATATAAGTCTACGCACGTCTATCTTAAGAATTAAAAGAAAACTAATTGATTATCAATATTCCTAAAAATAGACCAATTTATGAAACCTCAAATATTAAATTGTTAATCATCAAATAACCTATTGCTAAAAAATTGTATGATTTGCAAATTTACAACAATTTTTTTATTAAATTACATATGTATCAACTTAAATCAATAAAAGGTAGCATCAGTTTGTAGTATTTTATTATTTTATTTATCAAAATAATAGTATTATTAGAGCTCAACCAATAAGTTGGTATTTAAAAATTGTATTATTTAAATAAAAGTTTTTGTCCTTTGTACATAACACCATCGATTGTTTAATATTATGTTAGTAGCTTAAATTTTCAGATTTACTTTTGATATAATTTACTAATTATAAGATAATTTCAAAAGGAATTTAATAAACTCACACTAATTTAAGTGAATAAGAACATCTAACATACGATATTTGATTAAAATATATCTACATATTTAATTCTAGATAGAAATAATGAAATATTTAAAAATATACTGTTCATTGGTGTAAAAATAACTATTTGACCTACTTCAAAAAAATTCCAAATTTATTTACATTAATTGAAAAAAAGATTGAAATTAAATTATTATTATTATTGAAATAAATTATTAACACTATAATATCTATTACATAACTTAAAAAGTAATCGTAAAACCCATGTTAAAATTGTTTTCAAACAACAACAAGATATGTAATTTATAAAAAAGTTACAATTTATTGCCCAAAATACATATACTCACTTACTATTTAAAGATATTATTCCTTCGGCACTTGGTGCAAATCGTATGTATTTATTACAAAATTCACTTGATGTCAACAAAATGGTTAAAACATTACCAATAATTATGCCAAATGCTAGTCCCGTCGTATTGCAAGTCGATGCATAACCTACATTATTTCTGTATAAAATCAAGGCATGTTGTTTTAAAATGTACATACAATAGAAACCGTTTTTAATAACATTCAAGGGACTAGTAAAAATTGGTTATAATAACCGATTATAATTAAAACCAACATTTCAAAAAAAAAATTTAAAATTCGATTATACGTTCATATATAAGCATAATATTTTATTATAATTAATGTGTCATGTTTTTATTACCAAATCGTAACATCAATAAATAAATGTAAAAAAATGAATATGAAAAAATTATTATTATTGAATTATTATTTTAGAATAATGTAAATATATATTGCAATAAAAAAATACATAGAGTTCTTTGATTTTTATACCATCGTAGTAAAACAGTGTCTAAATCCGTGTACTGTACAATTTCGAAGTTTTTTTAAAGATCATTTTTGGTTTTGAAACCTTATTAAATTTTTTCTCTTTCCATATATTACAAATTATAGAATGACCTACTCTTAATTTACTAGTTATGTCTGAATTTTTTAAACGAAAAATTACATTTTCTTTTTCTTCAATTGTAAATTGCTTTCGTTCACAATAATTTAACATACCAACACACACATTTAATCATACGACGTTTACGATCAAGCGCATACACGGATACTTGTACACAAGGCCGGATTAAGGGGGGTATAGCCAGGGCGGTAGTCCCGGGGCCCAAACAATTTTAAGCCGATACACATTTTTTATCATACTAAATTTAGTAGTTTTATAGACTCAATTTTATACACCTATTAATTTTATAATTTTGTAATGCAATTGACAATTTGTGTAATAGTTAAAAAAATGTATTGGTCTGCGAGTTCGTGAGCGGCTTTGTAAAGCATGTTTTGTCAAAAGGGTCCATTACACCCGATTTGTCATTATAACCAGTGTCATTATAAACGGTTTCTATCGTATTTCGTAATAAATACATTTTACGTGCACATTGTGCACGTATGAATTATAATACCGACTTTTTCAGCATCGTTAATGCCCAACCATCAACAGCTATATCTTGTGTGGCAGATAGAAATACAATTGAAAAAAAAATTATTACGAGTGCAGTGATATTTGGTTTTTCTTTTTCTGGTAAAAATGTATCAATGTTCCGGCCAGCGTAAAGTAAAACTATTCCTGTTCAACATAAAAATTTTGTCAAGTTTGCACATAAGACTTTTTATATAAACAAGAAAAATGTACGAGGTACATGAGTCAAGGGATATTGGAAATCAATAGACCTATTTATAATTTAAAAACGTAACGAATTCCAAGAGTGTTTAAATGGTACCAAAAAAGTCTGTCGTGAAGCAGTATTTAGTAAATTTTGAAATGTTATCAATTTTTTTCAATTATTTACAAAACTCATTTTGAAATTTAAAATATAACCTTTCAAATCGTAAATAATATTATTATATATTATTATAATGTATAATAAGTTAACATTTAGTTAGAATTTAACCCTAAAGTACAGTGAACAGAGACTTCCAATTGTAAAGTTAAATTTATTTCATACCTTCAAAGAAAATAATGTTAAATATTTATGATACGGGGATGTTAAATTTATTGAAACAATGCGCTATGTACATTGCTAAACATTGTTATATACATACCAATTAAAAATTGAGTGGATACGAGCCAAGTCTTTCGCCTTCCAAACTTGTGTATATAGTATGAGTCCACCAACGGAGCCCAAAACAGTTTCAAGAAATAGGGATAACTCGTAATACTGTAAATGGCCTGAAATGAAACACAATTGATTTAATATATATGTATTACGATTTTTTCTGAAAGAATCGCAATATTGTCAACGAATACATTTCTCCATTATTATCTTTTGGTAATACCTGTTCGAAGTATGTCCCGTCTTTCCTGCTTTTCAATAATATCGGTATAGATGAACATACACCTATACATAAGCCTTGCATCGTATACATTAATATCAACAGAAAAACATTGGACCAGTCCCCTTTCAGATTTGTATCGGTGAACACCACGTCCTCCGATTCGGATGTTTTCGGTTTATCCGTTTGCTTTGATGATATCATAATGTTCACCTATATTTATTGTTCGACTCGAGTGTGATGAAAAAGTCCACCGTAACGCAGGAATAGAGTAATTGCACTAATAATATTATAATGAAAACTAATTTATGAGTACGTTCAGTTTTAATATCTTATCATAACGTTCTGACCTATTGACCATTGGTTCTTTGTTTTATGTAGGTATATTGTTTACGTGTAATTTTCAATCAAAACTTTGTGTATCAAAAAAGTGTATTTAGTACATAATATTATGTATATTATAAGCATGTAAGCATATGAGCATTAATAATATAAAAATATTCTTATTGTTTGTTAAAACCAAATTGAATAACTTTTTAATAAAACGTATTATATCAATCTTAAAAACATTGGGAAAAAGTTATTTTCCTTAGAGTGTGTAGTATACACTGTATACTTGCAGTAAAAATGTAGAAAATTGTATTTTCAATGCCTATAAGTATAATCATGGAATATAAATTAATTAAGATTCAATGGTATTGTCCATTGAGCGGCCAAAATTTTCTTCTATCATCAAATTAACAACGATTTTCTGAGAATTTTATTTTGAAAAACTTCATTTCACATCTGATGAAGCTTTGAACGCACATTTAAATTCAAGTATTACTTTTCCACAACTTTAAATACGTGATAATTTTTAAAAAACATTATAATATTTAAAATCATAATTTTTTTCCCCAAAACATTACTTAGCTCATGATTAAATTGTCTCTATGATTAATATCTTAACTATATTGTTTTATAGACGAAATAATTGCATTTAGTGTTGAGTTTTTCTAGCTGATAAGAAATCATAATTTTATTTATAAAAAAAAAAAAAGAAACCCTAATTCAAATAAATTGAAAAACATTATTTCATAACGTACAATTTTCGGAAATAACAAATTTTGTACTATACTAAAAAATAAAAATCAAACCAAAATTACTTATAAAATATACCTTAATTAGGATTTAATCGAAAAAATAGGTTTTTCGCATTATTTTACAAATAAAATAATGATCAAACACTACACATAGGAGAATTAGTTTAAATTAATTTAAGGTATCTCGTATATTATCTCATAAATAATCCGACCGTAGGAAACTGTTATAACCGAAATAAACGAATTTACAGGCTTCTAATTTAATATTTATTTTGTTCCGGAATTTGAGTCCACTAACGATTTTAAAGAGATTTAACATAATTAATTTTAAAGATTTTAAAAACAGAAAAGGAATCTACAGTAAAGAAGAGATAAATACAAATAAAGTAAAAACATTCTATCTCTTGATACTAAAATGCCAATTAAAGTTATACATCTTAGGACGTCTTATCAACTACATAAACATCGTCCAATTAAGGCGATAATCCCTTCTCTTGGTAATGCATTTGATACCTTAAAAAATAAGAAAAGCTCTTATCTCACCTCAAGGGATCAAAAATTGGTACTATTTTGGATAGGAGACTATTTCAACGTGAATAAATGAAGAATATTCGAAATCAATCAGCTCAGTGGCGTACATTCAATCTTGTTCGGGGGAGAAGGAGGTGGAGTTAGCAAAAATAATCGTTACTTTTTTTTTTTCGTGTTACAGATAAATAACTGCTATAAATAGATATTATTTTATACGACTTTTTTAAAAATTTACAGTATACTTTTACATTAAATTAAATTAGTAGCTACATGAATATAAAAATAGCATAGTCAACAAAACTTCAAACACCTATCAATATAATTATTTAGTTCTTATAATATTTGTATAGTTGTATATTTTAAGTTCAAATCCTAACAATAAAACTATGAATATATTACACGTCATCAATAATATCACTATTTTCTCTTTTTTTTTGGCTCTGGGGGGGGGGTTTGAACCCAAACCTCCCCTTTCTCTCCATATGTACGCCGCTGAATCAGCTAAAGGTCAAGCGAATGATGATCAAAATTGTACAATTACATTTTTTTTTCTTATTTTCTAGCTTGAACCCAGAAGCGAGAAAATTTGAGGCAATAATATGATTGTATGGTTCTTGTGATTATGAGATATCACAGATATCGATCTTCTGTTTTAGTCGCTTGATGGTATGGTTGGTAGATTTTGTCTAGACATTTTTTTAGTGGAATGTAGTTCTTGTGAGGGTTCCTTTTTATTCTCTGTTTTTTATTTTCTTCAACGTTGACGCGGAAATCGCTGCAGTCGTTATCATATCGTCAACCGCGTCTTTCTTTTCTGATAAACCAACAGACCGTGGGGCTCAACGCGACACCCAGTTTCCCATCGATCATGGGCGAGGGGACCAGGAACGGCCGCGATGACGTCCGACACGCACCGCCACCGAGTAGATCTGTGTGCGTTTCGCGATCTCGACATACATGGACTACAAAAATCTTCATTTTTGTCATTTCTGTTTTACCAGGATATACCAGGATATTTTACCACTGTATGGTAGTGTATTATAATAAACATTAATCTACTACCATCTTTAATTGTTCAAATCGTTATGGTTCAATAGGATTATTATGTAATTTCATCTTACCTGTTGGGCGCCGTAATGACTGAAATGCTATCGGAAAGCTATAAAAACGTACTAGCGATAATGGAACACATATGTTATAAACATTGATTAAATTATTTAATCAATTCTATAAGAGGTCAAATACGTACTGATAAAATATATTAAATGTAAATAATATGTAATTAAATGTAGCCAATGGCCCTAGTCGCCGAGGCATTTGTTTAATAAAAAAAAAAAAATGTATTAAAAGTACACAAAAACTTAATTACCATTATATGATCTATTTAATTTGTCGTTATCTATTGGGTCCTTTCCAACCTATTGGAAATTTCTTACTATTTACGAAAGTGATGATAAAAGTAACGTTTTCAACTATAGAAACATTTTTAAATAATCTATTATCCTCAAGCCTTTGAGTATTATTATTAGTGTTGGGCAACGATATAATATTGTGTATCGTTATCGTTCCGATTTTCTCGATATTGTATCGTGATATCGGGATTTGTTCGATATCGATATAGTATCAAATTAAATTTTTATAAATTTAGTAAAATAATATATTAAAATTTAGTATCTGATATTTATTATTGGTACACCAAAATCGTAAACTTTTATCTAGTACATAATGCTTATCGATACAGATAACATTATAAACTATATCAAATGTAATAATAATGACGTAAAATTAAATATAAATAATATAATAATTCACATTTCCCGAGAACACGTGTACAAACTTTATCACTTATATTATTACTTATTAGTTATTAGTTAATGGTTTATTACACAGCACACACAATACAATTTATTGAAGTTTAGAATCTAAAAATAAAATATATTTCTAGAAAAATTATTAAATTTGATATTGCAATATATCGTACAACTATAGAACGATATTGGTGTCGAAAATGTGTCACGATATCGATATCGTTGCCCATCATTAATTATTACTAAAAATTATGCCAACTACTGTTTAGTTATCTTTGCCCTAACCAACACGGGTTTTGCCTTAAAAGATAAATTTCCAAAAATGTATTTATATATTCTCCCTCCAGGAAAATATCAGAAAACATTTTATAAAAAAAATGACCTACAAATGTGATAGTTATTTCAAAGCTTCCTATGAAACTTGCAAATAATATAAATATATATTATATATATTAGGGTGGTCCTTATTTATATATAAAATTATTTTTTACAAATTTTGAATGTGTCACCTTAGAATTTTGTTTAATTGTATAAAATAATTTTAAGTTGAAAATTTGAATTAATTACCTCAACTTTAAGATGTGCCTCAAGAGGGTTGAAATTTCACTCAAGAGGATGGATTTTTGTAAATTCCTCATACCACAATAATTATTGCAATTTATTAAAAAATGCATGTAACAAATATTTTGTTCTTCTGTTGCTATTATTATTATTATTACCTATTATCTTAATAATTCAGTTATAGCTGTTTGCTATGACACTACAGCTTCAAACACTGGTAGATTAAAAGGCGCTTGCGTATTATTAGAAGAACGTCTTGAAAAAGATTTGTTGTACTTGCTTTGTCGACATCATATTTATGATCTAATTTTAAGAAGTGTTTTTGAAGAGAAATTTGGTTCCACCTCTGGACCCAACACATACAACTTTCAAAAAAATTTCAAGACAACTGAAGTAAAATAGATACTGTAAAATTTAATCCAGGAATAAAATATGATGATGTTAGCCTAATATTATGCCATAATGTCGAACAACGTGTACTTGATTTTGCCTTAACTCATTCTAAAGAAAAACAGTTTAGAGAGGATTACAGAGAGCTGTTAGAACTGTCTATAATTTTTCTTGGTGGAATTCCACATCGCAGTATATCATTTCGAGTTCCTGGAGCATTTCATCACACTTGATGGATGTCTAATGCAATATATTGCTTGAAAATATATATTTTTAGAAAACAATTTCATATGACCAAAACACAAGAAAACGCGTGTCGTATTTTTATTATAACGTTTACATTGAAAAATGGTTTCGTTCACATGTTGCAATTGAAGCCCCATGCCAAGATATTTTATTCATTCAGAGTCTGATTAATTATGAAAATATTAATAAACAAATATCAAATATTGCATTGAAAAAATTTTGTAATCATTTGTGGTATTTAAATCTCGAAGCAGCGGCATTTTTATTTTTTAATTCAAATATTCCTTTGCTAATGAAAATAAAAATGGTAGATTCACTTAAAATTCAAGATGAAAATTAAAATATTATTAAACGTTATGTTACCCCGTTGAATAATTTTACATTGCTAAAAAATTCACAAATTTCTGATTTTATCAAAAGTTCATCGATGAAATAAATGCTACAAACTACAAATTTCTTTTTTTCTACGTTTGCTCCAGTCAGACTGATTTAGTATATTCATGCATTTGTCCCTGTCAGACTTGATTTAATATATGTCATTGAAAACAGATTTCATTGATACAATCTACACATAGAAACTTTGAGAAAGTAAAACATAAACCTATAAATAGTATAAAACAAAGTTGCTTCCTGCTGTCTGTCCCTATGTACAGGGATATATTAGTACGTATAAGTAGGTATACGCCGTATACCCGTCTCAGATTTTCGATTTATGGCGTTTATCTAACATAAAATATTATTTTACGGATATACGCTCATAAAATAACTCGTAAACCAAATAAAACTTATTTAATAGTTCATTGGAAAAAATTGTTATGAACTATAAAATTTGAATGAAATATCTATATTTTGAAGATTAGAGTTCAATGTATTTTAAGTTCAATTTAGTAAATATTTTGAAAAATAAATGTTTTTAAATTTAATATGGAGTATGGACTTACAGCTCATGGTTTATAAATCTGCACCAAGCAATTTATAACGAGCGGCAAATGTTTATCTTGTGGCGTTCTATTATATAGTCTTATTAGAAGTTATAAACATGTAAAAGGTTAATTAAATTTATTCGAATTTAGCGAGAAAAAAATTTTCGAGCGAAACGAGAACATTTTCTTAGGATTAATTTGCATATTTTATTAATGCGTATACCCATCGATATATTTACCAATACACCACTGCCTATGTAATACATAGTCGTTCAGCATGATTTTATGTCTACATTTAAAATTCGAGGGCAAGTGTATCACTTAGCTAGGAGCTTGCTACCACTTCGATCCGATGAATACAAATTTTTGCAAATTTATTTTATTGCAGATCCAGATAATGCCCGTGCGGAACCGGGGCAGGTCGCTATTATACATAAGTTAAAAAATTTCGGTCTGTACTGTAATTTTTTACATTGGATAATTGTCTGCCAAGCAGATGAAAGCTAGTTCAACTAGGTTATTTATTCAAAATTTGTTAATTTTGTGATATGAATGTTTGAAAGAGTAATAATGTAAAATAATTTTATATAATGGAACTTGGTAACTATTTGTTGTTTATAATTTTCTATTAGCCGATTTAATAATTTATGTCATATTTCTGCATACCTTTGCGTACCTAAATTTATTATGAACGTTTATGATATAGTCCACCTTTTCAAATTGTAGGGTTTTAAAATAATATTTCATATTTTATAGTGGCATAATTTATTAGTATGTTCTACAAAAATAAATTTACTCATCATTTACAATGAAGACAAGGTTTACAAAAATATTTTGTTAAACATAAAATGATGGTAAAGAGAAGTTCTTATTGGGTAGTTTAAATTTTAAGTTTAGAGGAGTTTACATGCAGCCAACAAATTAACAGTGCATTAATATATGTAAAAAAAGAGTTTTAAGTTTTTATTTTATATAATATTCAGATTATAAAGAATCAAATTATTTATAATGAAATTAGAATTATAAAAACAAATTGATACATTTTCTTAAAATCATGCATATATAATTGAGTATAAATATATTACTAAAATAGTCTTTGCAAATTTCAAATTTGTTTGCAGCAAAACAATATTTTAGTAAAAAATATGTAATTTATTCAAGTTCTTTAAAAATTCATAAAATTGCCTCCCATAAGTAATGGTTAATCTAGATTTTAATTGATCAATAACCAATAAAAAAGGTATAACCTTAAAGACTCTAAAAGAACAGTGATTCTCAGTGTCTTTGTGGAACCTACGGATAAGAGGAGAGGAAATTACTAAGGGGAGATTGAGGTCAAGCTAAAGAAACAAGTTCCACAAAATATAATATTTCCTAAATATTCCATGAATATAAAAGTTTGAGAATTGCTGTTCAAGCAAAATAAAAAAAAGATACATGCATTACTAAAAATCATTAATTCCTTGTGCCTCAAAAAATCTAAGACCCCATTAATTTGTTAATGCCAATTATATTTGGATTGGGATATTTATTTTACATTACACATTGATCATTTAATCTAAAATAAACTAAATGTTATTCAAGGATTATATGATGGTAACAAATTAAAAAAAAAAAAAAACCAAGTTGTATAACTGATTAATTTGTTTTTATAAAAGAAAACACTCGATAACAAAAATTGCTTCCCTTAAAATAAAATCTTAACTTATCCATATCAATAAAGAATTACTTGTATATAAAGATAATATAATTTGATAATCGTTCAAAATATAAAATGAACTTGTACATATAATTAAAATTAAACAATTACATGATTTTTAATAAATTCTCACTTTTTACTTGAAACATTATTTTAGTTTCCTATATACTAATTGATAATACTTCTAATAAACGTCAATGTGGGCTACTTAATCCTATGATGATTACGCTGATTAAAATAATTTTTTAATTTTACATAAAATATATAAAATATCTATTTAAAGGAAGTAAACCATTTTTAAAAATCTTATTTCTATTGAAATACAGCTGACAAAGGTAAAAAAAAATTAACATTTTTTTTGTCTATTCAAAATATATATATATCGAAAGCAAATTATACACACATTTTATTGATATAAAAAAAAAAATATAATATTAACTGTTTATTTCGTAAAATGTTGGTGCAATTTGTCGTAAATTATAATAAATATGTTATACAAATATAGACTGAAGTATTAAAAATTGCAATATCTTAATAAAAATGTATCAGTTTTAACCATATCAAATGTTTTAAAACTATTGGAATTAATCAAAAAATTTGGTATTTGTACTTGGTATTAAATTGTTAATCAGTTATTATTAAAATAGAAAAGCATTAATGGTTTTAAAATAGATAATAAATCAAATTAAGATTTAATCTTTTCATAAAATAATAAAAAAAAAATACCAATTTGTGTAGAAAAATGAGTGCACTTAAAAGTGTTAGGTACCCAACAGGTTTCAAATCAAAAATACATTTTTTAATCATGAATGAAAAAAAATACCAATTAACGCAATAACAGTCAGGAAAATACAAAGACAACTTTTAAAACAAATGAGAATATAACCTTAGCAAGTGCAGGTATTAGTTATTTTAAATTTCTGTTGTTTCACTACGGTAAATACCACTAGGGGGTGCGTAAACAGCAAATCCGTACTTGATAAGTTCATCGTTGACAGACAAGGTCTGAAAAAATATTACAATTAGTATGAAATAACAGAATACTAAAAAAAAAAAAAAAAAAAAAGTATTTACCATTAATCCATCAAATGCTAGCAAATTAACAAATTGTACACCATCAGACTTGTAAACGACTTGGGCAAACAACATTTTGCCAGAAGTTAGAGTTTCAAACATTTTGAAGGATTCTTCACACCACTCTCCATCAACTAATTAAAAAATATTTAACAATTAATTTTAATACAAATTAACAAAAAGGTCAACCCACTTGGAGCAATATTAGCTAAACTACATTCGATTGCTTGAAAACTTAAAAATATTAAAGAGTCATGCATTGGCCTCATATCACATTGTTCAATTTTTTTACAACCACCGTAATCTAAAAAGAATACATTAGCAGATTCATATTTATTTTCATCTACATCAATCACTTGTGCACGATACCAGTTATCTTCGCTGTAAGTAGCCACTACAGAACCTGCAACAAAATTCAGATATTAAAATATTTAATACTTTCAATATGTAGCAAATTTTAAATTACCGTGAGTAACTGTGCGTAAATCAACTTCTGGTATATTTTCTTTACTATTGCTATATGTTTCATTCATAGCTAAGTTCAAGGACGAAAGTAATGCATAATCTGGACTTGATACATTATGAACAAAGAAATGATGGGTTGCCACTACATCAGTGATAATAACATGATTATTTACACCTTCAATTAATTCCGACTAAGGACAATTAAAATATGAATTACAATTTTAGAACAACAAGAAATATTTTATTATTTATTAAATTTACCTTAAAAAGTTGAGAAATAACAGGTGAACTATCCATCAATTGAGTAATGCACTCCAATGTAAACTCTGGATAAGTTTTTTCAGGGAACTTAACTCTAATTAACTTGAGCGCTTTATTAATATTTCTTTCAGATCCTACAATTAAAACATTACAATAAATAATAATAATACAAGTATTTAATACAATTTTTAATACTAACCAACTAATGTACACATTTTATATTTATCCTCTGGATTTTCAGTTTTGTTTTCAACAAAAAGTCTAACATTGCTTTTCTCTTTAATATATTTAACAAATGCTCCTTTTTTACCAATAATTGGTCCCACTAAGTCAATTGGAACTAGAAAGTCATAATTTGTTTGCTCGTCAGAATCTGATACTGTGCGTATATCTCCAGAAAATGAACTACCTCCTTTGCCACTATCTTGAGAACCCTAATTATTTTTCAAAACAAATATACATAAGAACAAAATATAATTGAAATAAATAAATTTAAAGACTCACTTCACTTCTAATATCTGAATAAATTGTATTTGGTGCATCATTAGTATCAATACTATGATCTACACTAAGTGCTGAGTCACAATCTTCTTCTATTACTTGATTTTTCTTCTTGGTCAATTTTACTATATTATTTGCTGTATTTTTAATGTGCGATTCAGTAGGAAGTTTAATAATATCTTTTGGCTGATTCTTCTTTCGGCTTTTTTTCTTTTTACCTTTGAATTTAATTCCCTCAAATAACATTGGTTCTTCATCTTTTTTCACTTTTTTAATATTAATTGCTTTAGGACATTCACAGTTATCTCCATTATCAACCATTTCAGTCCAGCAAGCTTTATTATCAGAACACTTTTCTTCACTCAAATTTTCTTTTAATATAGTTGCTTCTTCTTCCAGGTTAATGACATTTAATTTTTCAATATTTAATTTATTTTCTGAATTAACTTTATCACTTAATTTTAAATTATTTAAGTCTTCAGTTAATGAATCTACTATTTTACTAATGATTTTAGATTCAAGCTGTTCATTTGATATTTTTATATATTTTGTATCCATTTCATTTACACTTGGACTATCTATAAATGATTCTACTTCTTTACTTGCTATTTCACTAATGGTTGGCTCCATACTCTCTTCACGAATAGCTAAATTCTCAATAGGTTCTTTTTCAATAATTTGAAACTCCTCTGTTGGGCAAGATACTTCTAATGCCTGAAACAATTCTTGATCATCAATTTTAATCAGTTCTGAAGTTACAGAACTTGATCTCTTCTTGTCACTCTGGCGATGTGACAAAGTTCTCTTGCGCTTGTACCAAAGATAACCGAGGTATAAGACGGCTGTCGAAAACGTTAAAATTCTCCCCAGCGATACAGTCCTCACCTTGAACATATCGTATGATATCCACTTTGATACGAGGGTAAAACCTTAAAAATAATAATTTACATTTAACATAATTATCTATTACTACTAAGTTATCATGAGTAGTTGAACATAAGTGTTTTGTTCATTTCTCATAACTTAATAATTACAATAGTAAAGGCAAAGTTTCCCAGGCGCGATATGTCGCGACGACAGCTGCGACAAGTCGCCAATATCTGTTTACACGAAAATGGTATACTCTGTCTTGCAAGACGCGAAGATCGCAGTAACCGAATTTTGAGTCGCTGGGACCAACAACACTACTGCGCGACAAGTCACCGCGACACATAAACATCATGACGAACGTCGCTAATTTTTTGATGTAATGGCATCAACTTTGATTTTTTCGGCAGCAGATGTTGAAATTCTGACACGAGAGGTCCAGAGTTATTCGGTTTCTCTATAATATTGGAGTTTATATTATACCAAATTATAAAAAACATTATACTAAACGATAATATTTAGAGAGTCATATCTCTAAAAGTAGAAAAAGTATTGTGCATTATTATGTTAAAAAAATATAATATGAAATAACAAAACAGTAATTTGTAGTGGATGTGACTAAAAAAAGGTGGAAAAATATACGATATTCTTACTCCAGGAATAAAACCATCTACTGATTCTGTAGCATCCAAAAAAAAAAAAAATGGTAGTTATAAGCACCATATTTTGATTGTTATTATTACTTTAAATATAAGTATTCATTGAAATTAAATGCATAATACGTGCGCAGTAGGATAAGTTGTGTGAATTAACTAAAAACGTAATTTAACCTCGAAAGCTAACAGAAAAAGTTGTGCCGCTGCGAAATATCGCGTCTTGAAACCACTTTATAAGAATTGAGTCACGACTATTCGCGACATGTCACGCCTGGGAAAGCATACCTTAAGAATACTAACATTTTAAATAATGATATAGCAAACAATATAATAAAATATTCTTATTTTTTTTTTCTTAAAAAAAATTGATCAGGCTTGATGACTGTTGAACAGTTATGTTGAAACAAAGAATTTATTTTCAGGTGATTCTAGTGATCATCTGAGTTAATCATTCCAACCAACGACAAGTTAAAATAAAATAATGATAAATGAAAGAAAGAAATATTTTAAAAATACAGCAAAAATGTTATTTGAGAAAAAATAATTTCTAAATGTTGATGATTAATTTTGTATGATAAGTAATATAAATATGTTAGATTTATTTAAATACTGACAAATACGAAAACTTTTCATCTTTATTTGTTTTTAAATGGTAACTTACAACTAACATTAAACCAATAAATGCAGTAACTGCTGACACAGATGGTTAAAGGACATGTATTTGATTGAAATTAAGTACAGGTGACATGGTAAAATTGCAATCCATAGAATTTAAATCAATGTACATGATATATTTTAAATTTTAATTTTAACTCAATACAATGTGCTCGTAAATTTATAAGTAATACACAAATAAAACTAAAGACTCTGTTAAAATAAATTTGTATTAAAATTTTAAATTAAAATACCATTAGCCTTGAAATTCTAAATTGATTTTCAAAATAATAATAGATAAAAATACAAAAAAGCTAGAATTAAGAATCAGATGTGTATATATAAATGGATGTTTGAAACAGGTGAATCGTTACTATACATTTGAAATCAATGTACTATTGGTTTCAAAAAACAATTATAAGCAAAGGAAGAAGCATGGATTTGCCTTTATGTAAAATTATACAATATATAATAGTCCAATTACTATATTAGACAGTACTATGTCCATTTTTGTCATAATTATAATCAATAAAAAAAAATACATAATGTCTTATATTATTTTAGATTTAATATTAAAATATACTAAAATAAAACAGAATAATAAAATAATAATAAATACTAAAATATGAAAGAAAAAAGGTGTTGTGCTCGCGAACCTTTAACGTAAATATATAAAGCCCATTGGTTATTTGAGTTAGAGACCACTAGTGTAGAAATACAGAAAAAAAATTCTTATCGTGGAAAAACCAATACATTCTTTTCATTTCACTTACAATCTACATCGTGTTCATACGATCAAACTTTAATTAAATATTAAGTCTTCTAAATTTAAAATTTCCTCAAGGAAAATAAAACAGTAAGACATATTCATTTATACTGGGTTACTATTAAATGTATAACAAAAATTAATCTAAGTTCCATTAATAACGTTTAAAACTATAATGATTTATGAAACTTATTAAACTTCGTGAAATCAGCAACTCATAATATTAAATATGTAACCACATTTTTTTTTAATTTATAGGTAAATTATAGTTAGTAGGGTTATGATTTTAATGAAAAGTGCATATTTTTTTTGGTTGATCATACACAATGCTTTCTAAGAATATAATTCGTTTCATGTAACCAGGGTTTCAAAGCTACAACTTTTATTTTGCATTTTTTTTTTTTGCGTATTTTGACGTTTTTTCATTTTCAGCATTTTTAGTATTATTGGGTCATTTTGTTGGTTTTTAATGCATATTTGTTCGATATACTAAACAAATTTAGCCGATTTAAAATAAAATCAAAAGATAAATTATTTTCTTGATATTTAAGTAGGTTTATCGGGTTTTTCCATACACATTCAATCTTTATTTTTCAATTCAGTTTTTATCATATTTTAATTTATTATTAACACTATGGAACGTCACCAGTATTCGGTCCAAAAACAATAATCAGTAAGTTCATGTTACATTGCAAACGTTGTTCGTATTACGTGTTTGTGATTTCAATATATTAAATAGTGTATTATATAATGTCCAAAATAAAAAAAATATATGTAATTTTTAGTCATTTTTGTGGTAAAATGCATATTTTTAAGGACATTTTTGGCCATTTTTTAGAGCATATTTGAATAGTTTTAAGTACATTTAAATCCGGGCCCTAGTTATTACGAATGGATACCCATAGTAACTAAAATAACATCTACTTGTTCAATTTAACTTAACAAGAATTATAAATACCATTTCATTTCTCTTGATTTTAATTATTAATTTTGCACTATATATGTCAAATGTAGTTTAGGCGTTGTCTGAAAGTGCACGGAGAGCAGATTTACCGGAGGCTGTGTCTGAGAAGAAATCAAACCACATACCTGTTTTTCCATGAACATATGACGTATTGAACCGTACGAAAAACAGGTTTGGCTGGTTGCTACGTTCTATCAGTCAATAAACCTATCTCAAATATGTACCGGGTTTAAATACATGATCAAAAATCAGTCATTAAAAAATACTATTATACTTCCTACTTAAGTTAATACTTAGTGAGTTAAAACTTCACTTCGTTCCTAGGAATTGTGAAAATGAAATATTATTGGAAAAATCGCAATAATAACTCAATGAATCATAAAATAAAAGTATTTTAAACCAAGTACGATTAATTCAAAACTTTTCAATGAATGAAGAAATACGAGCTAAAACTAAAAAATGCATATAACTAATGGGAAACCATAGGAATGAAGCCATCAAATGTTAAATAAGACACCTGCATTAAAAATTGATTATTATCGTCTACTTTTGATAATTTATATTTATTTCCTTATAATGATATAAGATATAAATTATTAAAAATAGAACTAAGTAATTAAATTTTTGTGATGTTTAAAACCCAATCTATATATCAACAAATAAATGACAACGGTGCGTTGAAAATTTTAATGACAAATTTGAATATCAATTCGTCTACTTCCAAACGAATACTCACATCATTAATTTTAACTAATAATTTTGTTTTTATTTTCACCTTGATCAATGAAAATAATTTCGATGAAAAATCAAAATTAATATAATTAAAATAATTCAACATTTTTATCGTAGCGCTAAATCAAATAGTATTTTGGAAATTGAAAGTCATAATTTCCATGTTGAAGGATTAGATGAGACAGACATACAATTATTGCATTCGATTATTGATCCCTTACGGATTTTAACATAAAACAAGGATAAATGAAGATAATTTTATTCATCTATTTCAGTATGAACATTTTTTATAACCATTATGAATGTATAGTTTTTGGGTAAACATTGATACATTTATATATTATAAGTTTAATACCATAGAATACTTAATAGGATCTCCATAATAATAAGCCGGCGATTCAAAATTCAAATCCACTAGTTAATTATTTATTAGGCATCCAGTTTAAATGACGCATAATTCAGAAATAAATATTGATAATAATACTAATAGGTTTTTTTTAAATGTAAATGTGCACTATCAGGTAGAATATAATATGCGTGGTGGGTACACACAATACAATTAAGTACAAACATAAAATTACTTTTAAAACTATTAAAAGTTAGTATTCTATTAAAAAATAATTAAAAAAAAAGAACTAATATTATCACTATTTTTGTTTTTTATAACAAATAATTATTATTTCGGTTTTGAATCTTATGTATAGTATTATAGTAAAAATCGGATTAAATTGATATTCAAAGTTAATAGTTTTAAATAACAGTTAGGGACGAACTGTTATCGATTTATTAATATTTGAAAAAATCGTAATAAATATTAATTAAAAAAAAAAAAATTAGATAAGTTTACAATACACTTCATGAAGAACCTGATTAAAAAAACGAAATCCAAATACATAACGAATAAATTCTACATTATGAATAAGTGATAAATATATTAGTAATTCACGAATTAGAAAAAACATTAAACAGACCAAAGGGCTACTTTCCTGAAGTTATAAACAGTGTGCATTAATAATATTAATATGATAAAATAGAAAGGTAATTATAGCAATATATGACAGATTTGAAATATATGGTCGTGGTGTGTTTAGTACGAACATCGAAATCCTAATATTCTAGAATTATATAACGATTAAATTATATACTATACTTATTTACTAGTTTTTAAGAAAATACACATACACTTGTATGAAATACTTGTTAGCTAAACACAAATTAAACGCATATAAATATACAATCGGCTTACTCTTTTAAAGTTGTTCAGAGGCGAATTACTGGAGAAAATTAACTTTAAGAGAAAGAAAATGTCGATAATTAGGGAAAAATAAACAAGTTTCGTATTGCCCGCATGTTAAGAGTATAAATATAATAACAATTTCGCAATTTTCACCTGAGGGCATATGACGCTGTACACCATTGATATTATATATATAAAGTATTTATGTGTAATAGATGGTTGTACCACATTTTATCGTTCCAACTTTTACACATAGGTACGACGTGGCCTAAAGGTAAGTGTAACACACATACACGCAGTGCGACAATGAAATTGTTAGGTTTTTATCAAGTGCGATAATATTATAACTTATTAACAATACGACCAATCTCAATTTACCAGTCAAACAACAAATTTGTAGACTAAAATTAGATACAACGAAGGACACGAAATTTTCAGACCCATATAAAACGACCGTTAAGCATTTAAAGCACGTTAAACCGTTAAGCAATTTTGAAGTTTGCACATTGTAGTAAAATCGCATCAAATCGTAAGCTCTTAACGATAATCATAGATTGGAAATTGCAGATTTGGAAGTACGCAAACAGAACCAGCGCTTATTTCAGAGGAGCGATTTGGGTAAAGGGATTTACCCCCAAAAAAATACACACCGCATGCCATATATTACTCCCGAAAATGTCACCTAACCTCCAAGGAAAAGAAAGTCAGAAAAAATGACGATGAGGTGAATTCGCAAAGCAAAAAAATTGGCATTCACATTCACTCGTGACACGACGGCACGTTAACGGTGAAAATAGTTAACATGACACGTGTGTTCGCCGCGATGCCGCTGCGCACCGGTGGTGGCTGTGCGTGTAATCAACGTGTTATCAATTTCTAATGTAAAAAATAGTAAATTATCAATGAAATAAAACGATTTATTCGATGTACGAAACGTGTAAGAGAAAAACGTAATGGTCCATGTGGCGGTATGAAAATCGAAGCGTGCGAAGGGGGATCGGACGACCGAAATATTTCACGATCACGTGACGTCGACAATAAAAACCACGTTGCGAGTACGGCGCGCGCACACACCGTGGCAGCGGACCGGCGCAGGCAGAAAACACGAGGATGGAATACTCTACAGCCCACGGGCAGACAATCAGAGTTGGTATTGTACGCATTACCATGTATATAAAACGGTAACCAACCTTATCCACGTTGTATCGGGCCATTATACTGTGCAACACGCTGAGCTACGTTAAACACTTTGAGTAAAAAAAAAAAAAAACTATTTAACCGTACAGAGATAAAAAAAGAATAACAAACGCGGTCGGAGACGATACGCGACGAGAACTATAATACGAATATATTTGAACGAAAAAAAAAATAAATAAAAATAAGCCGATGGCCACGAAAATAAAAAACTTCTAAGTTAAAAACTTAAAGCGGACACTCACACGAGGCGACTGTTGCAGGAGTAATGCACTCGTCGGCACGGGCGTTCGAGATACAACGGCGCAATATCATACAGCAGACTACAATTCCCGTCAACGTGGTAGTAAATGCGGCGGCGTGCATGTATATGTGGATGGTGCGGGAATCCAGAGGAGAGGAGACGGACGTACGGGTGGCGCGGCGAGTGGGGAACGAGAAAGCGGTGGCGGCGATAACGGCGCACGAGGCATAAGTGGTGCGGGGGGAAGAAAACATGCCGGTTTCGGTCACGGGCGGCGGGAGTGAGCCGGTCGCGGCACGCGCAGTGCTGCCCGGCTAGAACGGCACGAAATTGACGTGCCGCACCGGCCAACCACGTGGCGGACGACGCTTTCACGAGTTTAGTCGACCGGCGTGTGGACCATCGGGCCGTCATCGTCCGTGAAACTGGTTTAAATTTACGCGTCTCGTGTACCAACGCAAATTTTAGGTAACACCCGAATTCCTGTACGGTAGTTTCAAGATGAACAACAATCGTTCTACGCTATTACGTATAATACTGTTGGATTATGCAATCGATAATGGCTAAAGCGGCGAAAACCATCTTCGTCGAAACTGCGCTGCGGTGTGCAAATTTTTTGTGAACACGAAACCACATTCATAAATATCGAAAAAATCTTAATAAGCGTAACACTTGATTTGGCAACCAAGTAGGTTGACATGATATTTATAGTATGGTGTGAGTTTAAGTTTTTTAGTTTTCGGGTTTATTTCATTTTTTTTTTTTACTTAGAACTCTGTTGAAACCAATATCGATATCAATATAATTTTTAACGAAGGTTACGATGTATTTACGCCTATGGAAAATGTTCGTTTTAAAGGTCTCCTCGCACACAATACAAACTATACAAAAGATAACGAACGGATATGCGTTTCAGCTTCAGCTGCTCGTGTATTGTTCGATCAGCTGCACGCTTTTTCAAATATAATACAGGGCATTTTTTATGTTTCTCTTTACAATTTCAACATTAAATATTTAAACATTCCATGTATAATATCTATCTAGTAAAACGGCTATTTATTAGTATTTAATAATAGTAATTAAGTTAACATTTATTGCAGAAATGTTTAGTTACATATTTAACTTTACCTACATATGCAAATCGAAATATTTCAAATCACCCATGTCATGATATTTTAGTTAACATAACCAGTTTTTCTTTTTTTAATTTCTATACTTTTAATGTCAAGTAATGATATTCAATTCGAAATTTAACAGTATATTTACGGTAACCAAGAATAATAACATTCAAATAAAGTAGTAACTTTTATAAATAGAAATCTATACAATAAAAATAATTGTTCTGAATTTAAAAGAAATATCTTTAAAATTGTGAATGTAATCAATAAATTAAACATTTAGTATAGCAATACTATGCAATTTAAAATAATTAATCAATCCTCATAACATACAAAAAATATTATTTTCTAAATATACATTGTTCACATAATAAATAGAAAATGAGTGCAAATTATCCTTAAAACCTTTAGCTTCACTTGATTATCTAAACGTCATATGCATTACTAAAAATAAAAACGGTGTAAAAGCATATTTTTCAACTTATTAACAAGGTAAGAATATTAACTATCGAGAAAAACAAACAAGACAAGATTATTATTAATAATCAGAATTAAAAATAAAAGATGGTACCCCAAATTATAAAAAGAACTAAATATTTAATTAAAATAGAAAAAAAAACAAATTTTACAATAACCAAAATAATGAAAATAACTAAGAGCGTAATGTACTAATTTATATACCTATCAAAAATGTATTAATAAATGTTTCATTTTAATTTAGTTATATTTAAAATCGATATTATTAATACTTAAAATATTTTGTTAGATGAAAAAATGATTTCCCTCTGATGTACACTAATTATTTCTCATTCTTATTTTAATTCAACTTATCAACAACTATATTGAAGGTTGTGAATATTTAAATGGTCAACCAAAAAATAAAAAAATACTATATTTTTCTCAAATAACTATAGCGTATAACTAAACATGCATATTTGTTAGGATTGCAATATAAAATTAGAGTATAATCATCTCTAAATGAACAAACAACTAATAATATATAAATAAATAGACAAAAATTTGATAAATCAATTTTAAATTAAAAGCAAATTAAAAATATAAACATTTCAAACCATTTAAAGAGTATCAAAATAAACTTCTTTTTAATAAGATCCTTTTTTTTTTATTTTGAGGCTTAAGTTAAAAGATTCAACTAAATCAATATTTTTTTACTGTCTTTAGGTTGATTTAGTGAGAACAATTTCAATTTTTTTTATTTTTTAACATTTTAACTGCAACTTTTTCAAAATAATAAAAACTACCAAAATAAATACTAATTTCAGTGAATTTGGTTAGAAAATGTTTGTTTGATTAGATTTTATTTAGTCAATTTTGAAATTATCAATAATTTCTCAGGATTGATTTCTCAAAAAAAAAAAAAAAAAATCGATTTTGTATGTTTAAAACCATTTTAATACTGAGGGAAATTATGAATTGTTGTGTTTTGCTGTTTTTTTGTTCTAAAATGTGTTTTATAATTCCTAGTCAACCAGAAAAAAA